AATCCAACTGTGATATTTTTACAGCGACTTAGTTTACAAAAATAACCATCCTTACTGTTTAAAGATGGATGAGAGACTATAAATTCCAGAAATTACTCTATTTAGAGAATTCAATGGCTATTTTCTTGACAACCGCATTGCTAGTTCCTTGAAGTGCATATACATGGCTTATAGATATAGCTTTTGGGTACCAGAATCTATATTTTGCAATGTGTATCGCCATTAATGACAGAGTAATATTACTTTTGAACGAAAGAAGATGTACGTAATCTTGATTATTTTCAATGTACAAGTTCTTTGAATAGAGGTATCTTACTGAAAACTTAACCGAATCTTACCAACTTTTTTTTAAATCGTACCAATGGATCTTACCTACAAAATATATGGTTTTCAGTTTTTGTAGATACTCTATATCAACAGAGAATGGATTTCTTTTTTCATCGTACTGTAAAAAAAAAAAAAGGCTGATTTCTGATTGGCTATTTCAATTGTGCTCTCTTTGATTGAATTGGATTGAATAGTTTTTTGATCAAATATATATATACATGTAAATATTTTTTATTTTATTGGCGCTGCCGTTTTTGGTTCCCAGATGTATTTATCGTTGTTTGTAAAGAACAAAACCGTTCAACTATATCACTTAACTCCCTTGCTGCGTCGGAACTTCTCACAATGCTATCTGAATCATGGAGACTCTTTTTGAGTATCTCCGAAGATTCAGTAACCACATCAGCAATCCTCTCCGCCTCAGCAACCTCCTCTGCTTCAGCATCCTCTACCTCCAACAGAGTATCACTCATGCTGGGGTTAACATCCCCTTCCAGGCCATCTTGAAAACTCTGGATCATAGCATGTCTATCAGGGGCCCTCTCAAGGACATCATGTATGATGTGGAGTGGTGGGTCTGGGTTATCCTTATGAACTTGATCAAAAGATACATATGTCTGCAGGGGCGCTGAGAATACATAAAGTACTGACAGTTACATCTTGAGATAGTTTCATTCATGCCAAGCACGAAATAATATCCGCCAGATATGGAGAACGAGCGCACACAGTAAACGGTTCGGTCTCCCACTTGCTGCTCGTGAACAATGCGCTGTGGAAGGTCTTCTAGACCATCTAGAAATTTTCTTTGGTGAAAGTCATCTCTCTCGCCTTTTAAATGTCGCCCATAGCGTCGCACAGTCTGCATTGCCATCATTTGGTAAAACTCATCTACATCATGAGTTAAGATATAAACCAATCTATCTTCCCTGCAGTTTGTATAACCTCGTAAGAAGTGCGACTTAAGGTGGTTATGCCAGGACTCGACGTAATTGTTAGTATCCATCCCGGCATATAACTTTCCCATACGATAACATTTCATCCACCTTCTCCTTCGGTCTTTACTGAGGTAGCGTTCTCTAAAATAATTCCAGACTTTGCCCTCATTATGATCCTGCCATTTCAACTCGAATTCTGAAATAAGAGTCTCAGCTTGCGTATGGTTTGGATTAAACAAAATTCTACGGAGCTCTCCCATCGCTTCCTCCCTCAACTCCTTAGCAGCCTTGTCTTGCGTTGCACGGATATCATTTCGAAGCTTGGTGCTCCAAGCTTTCATAACATGCCATAGACATAAATGAACTGTGACTGAGTCTCCAAACGCCAATCGGATTGCTTTGTATTCTGCTCGAGCATCATCAGTGGTGATGTATTCAGGAGAGCCAATGGTTTCTCTGATATGTTTCAAGCATTTTGCCAACGGTACATGGCTATGATCGTTCGTAAGCAAGAAGGCAACTGGGATAGCACTCAGACTTTGTGGGTTCCGCACAATTATGGTGTAAAGCTCGTGTTTAGAGCGGTTTGTTCCATGCGTTAAATCTAGCCCAATGTGTTTAAAATTGGATCCATAAACTGATTTCTGGAACGGCGACATAAACCCATATGCAAACCTTGCATGATTCACTCCGTCTATTACGATGTGGTAGTCGAGCATGGATACAGTGAAGCCCTTGTCCTTTAGTTTGTCCATCCAGAGCCTCTTCGAGACTAAGTCATTCTTTTCAAGCTGACTCTGCCCACTTGAATATTTATAATAAATATTATACACATCTTCATACTTCAGGACATGGTCACGCTGCAAAGACCCTCTTTGGTGTCGCGAGAATGCCTGGCTGCCAGACAGGTTTATCCTTGTCAGAATCTTTCTTGTACAGAGACCTAAACGGACAAGGTTTCGAATTCGCGATTTTGTTTCTTCTGTCACTCTGAGATGTTGAAAGTTCTCGAGACTAGCAAGAGTATGCCCAGTGTGCTTGTAGTAATATATCACACGCAGCTGGTTCCTTTCTCCTCTACTTGTGAACTCTTCTATATTGGGTTTTACGTCATGAACAATTAGTCTGGCTTTACAGCCTACTTTCTTGGTCGGTTTATAAACATTGCGAGTTTTCTTGGCTGGCCTCTCAAGTAGTTGATCTTGGTCAGCAATCTTTTTTTTGCGTGGGGCGCCTGCACAGTGGCAGAAATAAAGTTGAAATGAACGCAATTTGCCTTTGCTATCATTATCGTTGGTGATTTCAGAGTCTTCATTGTCTTCATTTCTACCATTTATCTCAGAGTTGCCTTTATTCCAAATAAAAAAGTAATCGCTGCCATCTCGGTCCTTCCACAGTTCAAAGTCTCTTTTGTCCACATAGAATACGCGCGGCAAATAATCGTAATCCTGTTTCTTAATCCTGAGGCCATCAACAATATCCCTAATCTTAGTCTCTGGGACCATCAACTCAATCCAAGAGTATTCTTGTAGCTGCGTAGACACAATTGTGGAAGCCAGACTGATTGCACGAGCCTCCTTATCTTGACTCAACCTCGATATATCCTCTACTTCTTCTACGTTATTTTCAGATGGCGCCTCAACGAAAGATTCTGTTGCGAGATCATTCCCAGAGGTGTTGGCTTCACCGGATGGTTCAACTGGCCCCCACACTATTTCTGGCTCGGAATCTGACACATCTGAAGAATAGTCTTCACCATCATCACAGTCGTGCTCTTCAGGAGCCGTATCAAAGTCGGTAGCTTCATCGTGATCGTAGAATTCGAAGCCTGGCTCAAAGACCTCTTCAGTTGCATCCTCACCGTTACTCGAGGCAACTAAGGTATCAGTAGTGAGGACCTATAACTTGCATTAAGAAAAATAAATAATTATAGGCTAATGAACTAATCGAAATAGCTAGCATGTCCGTGATATTTATAAATACCATTGTGGAAAGGACGGCTAATTTTATCTATCTCAGAGAGAAGGAAGACAAAGAGTTAGAAATGAAGCAGACTAATTTGAATTTACGCGTTTTTTTTTTTTTTTTTTTTTTTTCAAAATATACAACTAGCACAGAACTCTATTTAAATTTCTTCATATTCTCATTTGGTAATTGATCGTTTTGCCATTTGTTTTGACTACATTATACTTTTTAATGAATTTATCTTACTGCACAAAGTCGATCACATTCTCCCAAGCCAGCAGTTCTTCTACCAAGATCAAAGGATATCATGCAACCGACATCCATGACGATGCGGCAAGTCCTCCTTGGGATGTTAAAGTAAAAATAAAAAACCATTCACTAAGCTTTGCGCGCGTTAGTGTATTTCAGCTTTGATTTAATCACTTTTTCAATTTCTGTGGTGCATAGGGGATCCATATGTCTCTTTTTCTTTTTTTCTTTGCCGATGCTTCCGACTTTGCTGGCGGCTGGATCATCAACTGCGGAGATTGATGGGTCGAAAATGTGGATAACGATGTCTCTGGTAGGCTGGACCCCATTATTGAAGTAGAAGACGAAGCTAGAGGAAGTAGTGGTGAAGAAGGAGCAGTAGTTGATGAAGAATGATTCATCCAGTTCTGCATCCGACTCTGCTGCAGCTGTATATATTTGAAGTACTGCTGCTGTTGTTGACACAGCTCAAGTTGGTGTTGTTGCTGTTGTCCATTTAATTGCTCTTTTAGCTGACGCAGCTCGAGCTGAAGCTGTTGTTGTTGCTGTTGTTGTTGTTTTAACTGCTGCTGCAAGAGTTGATAGTGCATCTGTGAGAGCCTCGAAATGTCCTTGAATCCTTCTGCGATCTCAGGAATTATCGCATTATACTTTTGCACAATATTAGGCTCAGGATGTTCTACAACGTAGCTCATCTCTTTCTGGAACTCCAAGAACAAAGGGGACTTGAAGATGTCATCTTCCAAAATTCTGCTATGGTGACTATAGTGTAATCGAAACGCAGCATCTTGAAGTATGATTCGCCGGCATCGCACAAGCAGCCTCAGAAACCCGCAAGTGGAAATCTCATTTTCAGAATAAATATTTTTCTTTGATGAGGAGTTAGCTACTTGTGTGGCTTCAACTGCAACTGTTGATCCAAGCACTGCACGAATATTGGGCAGACTATTTGGATCCACTTCGTCCATTTCCTTCAAACATTCATCTCTCCACCATTTGTTATTTTTCCCAAAGATATCTTCAATCCAAGGAAAAACTAGCAATTGCAAGGCATTCGATGGCCTGATAGAGTTTCGAAGGAGGAAGAATGACTTAGAATAGAACCCTGCCATCCCAAGAGCAAACCTCGAAGGCAAGCATGGCAAATAAAAGCTTTCCATGCGGCCTCGTTTTGCGGTCCACCGCCCGCCTGCTTTAATATCATCCTGACTTATACCTAGCCTATGGGCTTCGATAGTGCCAGCATGACGGCCCCCATGAGTTTTCCTAGGACTGTTGACATTGTGCTGATCATAAAGGGCTTCCACAGTACGATAAGTTGATTGAGAGGCGAGACTTTTTGTCCTCTCTTTATTGCCCGGAATGACCTTGAGTTGGACGAAGTCAGAACTGTTAATTGACTTTACGACGTCTTTAATTTGAAGGCTCTTGGATTTTTCGTGATCCGAGCCCTTGTGATGAAAGATGATATTAGGATAATAGAAAGTAGAACAAGAAAAGAATGTTAATATAATCCATTCATCATTACTACAACACAATAAAGAAAAAAATGAAATTAGAAAAAAAAAAAAAAAAAAAAAAAAAAAAAAGACAGCATGATAAAGTTGAAATTGAGAACTTACTTGCCAAAGTTGATACATGTAAAAGGCAAAAGCACTAAAGACGCATCTACGTACATCTTCATGTCGCAATGCACACGCATACCAGTTTTCATTATTCTTGTTGGTCTTACCCTTGTTAATTTTGAAGGTGAGCCCAATTGGTTGTTGTCCTCCTTCAGTTCTTTGTGTAATGATGGTGCTGAAGCAATCCGCAAAGTTTAAGTTTCGAAGATCCTCATCCCGAAGCAGCATATTATGCCGTGCAGTTAGACAGAACATGTCCCGATAATTAGTATCATACTCACGCGCTCGCATGTTTGGCGAATGTCTTTCCTTCGTCCAAAGTCCCATCAATATACTGTGGAACTGCACGGGGGTGTAAGAATCTCGAAGTGTACAGCCTGCTTCACGCCTGCCACCCGATCGAACGACATGAGTGTGAAGACTCTCTATATGCTGGATAAGGATGGTTTGGAGTAGCTTCATTTGAGATGGCGAAAGATCCCAACTCACATCGTTTCGCTCGGCCTGTAGTGAATGGATTCGAATCAGGGCCTTTTTAGCCATCTTTATAGTCTCAGTACCGAGTGATACCGATACGGTTTTTTTACCAGTTTTATCGACTGGAGCAGCTTCTATTACTATGCCAAAGGCCAACGGCGAGGAGAATATGGGGAGAGAGGAAGTTTCGATAAAAACGATATAATACTAACAGAATGTCGACATTGCTATGTCGTCATATACGCGGCACCTTAAATAATACACAGTTGCTCGACATACTTTCGACTAGGCTAGCCCCGTGTATAGCCGAAGAATCCTCCTCAGCGGCAAGGTGCGTACGGAAATCTGCTCCTGGTTTAGTGCGCTTGAGTATAGTCTTCTTGAGGATGACTTCTCGAAAAAAACAAACGACTTTATCCTGTGAGTCCACCAGATATAGGGCACGACCATCTTTATCTGCATACCGTTCGCGATATTTCTCACAAAATGCCTGTTTAGCACATTAAGGGCCCATGTCAAGAATGATTTATTAGATGGAGTTGTTAATATTATAGACCCTCTGGCTAGTTGATAGCATTAGAGGAAAATACGAATACCTTGTTAAATTTTATCCGTTACATACCTTCCACAGACGATAGGTGGGCTGATATGAGGCAAGCGTTTTTGGTTTAATCCCTGAGCAGTCATTCATGTCATCAACGAATCGTTCCTCAGCATCCGGGGGGTCCTGACTCTGATACTCGGAAACATATTGCAAAGGTATCGACCTATCAAGCGATTGATCTAGCCTGACCGCGGGTTCGGCGGGCAATGATTGATACGGACGCGGATGTAGCTGACTTCTTGACTTTATAAGTTGCTGTTGTGGTGCTTGCGATGCGTTCTTAGGACGTCCTCTGGAACGCTTAAGTGATGGGGAAAGCGGTAGCGGTGGTATTTCTACATCTAAGGACGGTGCAGCTGTGAGGACATTGGAAGACGCCATTGTAGACACCGTGGCTGATCCTAGACTTGACCCTGGCAGCATCCGTTCCTTTGAAAAGAATCCAAATTCCTTTTCCATTTTTGCTTTTTGAAAAAAATAAAAATAAAAAATCGACTTCTCTAAGATTAACTCTGCGAAATGACAAAAGTCAGAGAAATGAGAAGTCGATTGCTGAATGCTACGGCTAAAGCAGAATGGCTTTGGGATCTCGACGCAACAAGAAGAGGAAAATGTAGGCGGATGAAAGGATGGACAGAATAAAGAGAATGCAATGGACTGCAGTGGCATATAAGAAAATAAAAATCATACTTCATCTATAAGCATTGGTTGGACGCGCTTTTGACAAGCGAAAATAAAAAACTGGTAAGTGCGTTTACCAACTTTCTGTTCCCTTTTATGGAAATTATAACAAAACCAAAGCATTTTCCTCCCCAAAAAGGCAGGAGTTTACAGAAACGCACTGTCCCCTGAAGAAACGAAAATAATTCCTGACACATAATTTTCAGGCACAGTAAATTGCCGTCTTTTTGCCGTCTTCTGCCGTCCTCGATTTTCTTTGACTAGTTCTGTTGGTCCCCCCCATGTGACTTCTGTGAGGCTATCACCTTGGTATTTCCAGTGGGGCTGAGCCATTTATGAGGCCCAAGGAAGCCCTCACTGGGAGCTGTCTGGGGCCTTTTTATTTTATCATTATTTTTAAAAAAACACTTCACGAAATACGCTCAAAAATATTTTATTGTCATGTGATGCATATCGGAAATAAGAAATTTTAAGTTCCGGACTGAATATTTATTTCCTTTCCTCTAAAATCTAAGGGGACTCGTTGCTTTACTGTTTACTTGCATCTATTGCTTTACTTGTATCTCATTTACTTGGTCATCAAGGTCATATGGCAAGACTTTTATTGCGTTTCACAGTTGCTCCTAGCGTGTCTATGAGGGTGGGACGTGAAGATTTCTTGTCTACGCGTTCATACGGATGAGCTCTTTCAGCCATTGTCGCCATTCAGCCACTGTCCAGTAGTCCTCCGCAACTGGTTATGCTCAATGTCGTTCATCTGATGCCTCATTGATGCCGGCGGGGAGGGGAGCCTTTTGTCATGTTCACGATTACTGCTTCTAGCGTGTCTATGAGGGTGGGACGTGATTTCTTAACTGTGCGTTCATACGGATGAGCTCTTTCAGCCATTGTCGCCATTCAGCCACTGTCCAGTAGTCCTCCGCAACTGGTTATGCTCAATGTCGTTCATCTGATGCCTCATAGATGCCGGCGGGGAGGGGAGCCTTCATATTTCTTTATTTATTTTATTTTTCAAGTATTTGTCTGTATGCCAGCTGACTGACATTTATTAATGTTCTATTTGAGACAAAACTCTTAGAATGAAATCGTTTAGGCTATTTGCCATCACTGACCGGCACGACCACTCCGACTTCGACAAGCTTTACGCATGCTTTGTAAGCTACGTCGGTCGGGAGCGCCTGCGTGGCGATCGGGCAGCATCTTTGTACCAACTCGATATGGAAAGTTGCCGAAAGGAATACGATGACATTTGTGTCTTGGGGACCTTAGACCGCTCAAACGCATCAGCAGTTTCGATGATACGAACGTCAATCCAACAACATACTGAAAGTAAGTGTACTTATTGCAATGACTCTTGTATTCTGTAGATCTGATAAGAAATTAACACGCGCCTTCTTCACCAATGTAGAGGTTTCACAAGGTATTTTTATTGATGATATTGTCCTCTGTCCAACCTGGCCTCGTTGAAATTGTTTCTAACACTACACATTGTTTCATCTGAGACATAGCGAGAGGAGGTAGGTGTTGTTCTTTGGACGTCTTGTTTCTTCGGCAAGGTCGACTTCATCAATGCTGACGTAAGGAAATCTCTTAGGTACGATAGATGAACCTGAGACGACAAAGGCTAGCACTCAAGAGTCAGGTACTACCCTAGCTGCAAGTGTGGGAATGCTCTATACTTTTAATTGATATTAATAGAGGCCGTAATTACCCAACGCTCAAATAGTTCCTGAGGAGATTTCGAGTTCTTCGCCTGTAACGGAATCAGTCTCTGCCCAGAGTACACGGAAGAGAGCGAGAGAGGCCTGTATCACAGAAGAGCCCTGGCATTCATTGGTAGTATCGCTGACCAAACTTGTAAGTTCGTTTGGTTTGGTCATTTATTATTTATTGAATGCATCATACATAGTAATATATATTTATTCTGATTATTTACAAGTAGATCAACGGCGAAAGCAACGTTACTTTCCCGTCGCCCTTGCCCAACATGAGCCCTTCGCACGTCCACCTCTTTGAGCATGCGGTCGATTCTCTCAAGAGGTATCAGGAGCAAGGCTCTGCTCATGATGTCACTCTACTGAAAGATGCACAGTATGTGTATGCTAATCTGCATAACGAAACTCAGCTTGCGCTTTCGTTCTAACTTGAAATTAATTTATCTTGCGTAGGGTGGCCATGAGCTGCGTGCTTAATACAATGAGTGCCAATACACAAGATTATTTCGACAAAGTACAACATCCAGAGCTTTTCGAGGAGGCGTTTTCACTAAGCGTTATTGATGGATTCGACAGCCACCCATCGATCGCGATCGCTCAAGAGTATGAGGACCGTCTTTCCAAACATGGCGTTAAGGGGCTTTTGAAACAGCTGATCGTGGACCGTGGAATTCTCCACAGCAATTACATGGACCACGACGACCTACCGCCGGAGGCTGACATGCGAGATAAAGTGTTGGAGATTCTCACGAAACTGTAAGTGTGCTATTAGAATAAAAAAAGGCTGGGACACACGAGTCTTACCAATAACCAATGAAAATTCATGTCATTTAGATGCAAGTTCGTGTTACGACCGCCGTTCGACACGGAATCACCTTCGGAGAACGACTGTTTACACCTTTGGACCTCCGTGTTCGATGTGATTATGGACAAGGTTTCTCTGCATACGTATGTTTTTCGTCATATCATTTGTTATAACGTTTGAGGAATCGTACTAAGTGGGTCGTTTTATTTTATTTCTAATATAGAGGCGAGACAATGCTAAAAGCTTCAAAGACAATGCGTCACATGCAATGGGAGGAGCATGGGGATATCAGCGACACTGGTCGCAAGGTGGATTGCGTTTTCATGTACAAGGGGATAGAGCTATCCAACATCGAGTTTAAGCGTACAGACGTTGGAGCAAGAGACATTGCAATCCAGAATCGCAAAAATGTACGCTTGGCACGATGCATTCAGGAAGTTCATACTTCTCTAGGAGTGAAAGACCCTTCTGTGTTCATGGCGGATGTGCATGGTAGGTTGAAAATGTGAATTTTGTCAATTATTCACTTTCTATAGCATTCAATTTACACCTCATATAACCTTTTCTACTATTAGGTTTTGTCGGTATTTTCTATCAAGTACGACCCTTGGGAGATATTGCCATAGCAGGCAAGACAACATCTGATCTGGTGCATTTACCGCGGACAGCTGGGGGTTTGAAAGCATTTCTGCAAGGCAACTCGTTAGCGATCCTCTGGAATTTTATAGTATGTAATTGGTTACACATTCACTTCAATTTTCCGTTTGTTCAGGCTGAGATCCGAATGTAATTGCTCACGCTTGCTAATTTTTGTCGCCATAGGCCAGTCTTGAGACTCAAGCGCCTCTAATCCAACTGGCAAAAGAGTTCAATGAGGTGGAGCAAGAGAAAGCGGCATCTTTCAGACGTGTTAACCGCTCCATTACGCCTCCACCGCCTGCGAGGAGATTCCAAGATCATGTGCTATTCACACCTCAGAAGAAGCAAAGGAGAAAGACCGCACCCCTTGATCTATGATTTCGCTACTGCGTTTGATTTATATCACTCTCCACTGTCTGAAGGAATAAAGCACCTTCGATACTCGAGGTTATATGCGATAAATAAATAAGCGTAAATTACAATATCTCAAAGATCATAATGACCCTTTAACACTTCAAAGGTATTTGTAATATGCTCTTTCGTCCTTTGAATCTGTCGCTCGTACGTCAATGACTTGAGCAGATGGAGAGATTGCTGCAAGGCATACAAGTCCACCCCTTAAGAACATCACACGAGTGAAAGAAAAAAATAGGTAGGCTCCTGTACTAGTGGAGGGGTGGACGAGCGGAAAATGTGCTTAGCCATGCCCCTCCTCGCTTGACGAGCTTCATTTTGCTCTTTTATTATCTTGAGAGCTGGTACGTGCGCCTCCAGCTTGGCCTATATTTCAAAGAATAAGAAATGGTGAGTGTAATTGATACAAAAGGTCAGACGTAAAAGCAACATGATAATCAAGATGTACAATGTAACTCCAAATTATTGGTAAAGATGAGTCCTCCAAGAACTCTCTAAGTCCGCCAACAGTGCTAGGAAGGTTTACCACCTCTTCGGTTGTTGTGCCTGCGACTGCAATGTCCCCCATAGGACGCACGCGGTAGAAAATCCCTGTAAAACCTAACGAATAAATGAAAATATATTAATCCACCATACTCTAGATGAGGCGACAGTGATTCAATTTGGCCCTCTATTATACCTTGTACATGTACATCAGCCATATAGACCACAGGCTCATTTACGCCGAACGAGGCAAGCCCTTCCTGGATGCATCTGGCCAGTCGAACATTCTTTCTATTTTGAATTGCCACTTCCGCTCCACTGACATTCGGTCGCTTAAACTCGATATTAGAAATCTCTATTCCTCCAGCAACGAAGATACAATTAACTCTCTTGCCAGCGTCGGTAACCTCCCCATGCTCCATTTGCTGCAGTTTCTTCATGACCTTCGATGCCTCCAACATTGTCTCGCCACTATGATAAAACAAAGTAGAATATCTAAATCAGTTGTGCTTTTAAATTTCAACCAAGGATGTCCATAGTGTGAAGTTCTAGATTGAACTTACGTCTTGATTTGTATCTTCTCCATTAAGATCCTGAATATGGATGTCCAAAGATATAGGCAGTCAGACTCTGACGGATTTTCTAGAGAAAACCAAGGACGTTGTATGAAGCCGCACCTGGAAATGAGAACATCAATGGAGATGAAGAACTTAGTTTCACAAGAACAACTGTAGACTATTTAGGAGCATAGACGAAGGTACCAAATATCATGCTTACAATAATTCAAGGACTTGGATGTGCCGTTGGTCTGTCACATAATCCAAATTTGTTAAAGTATGCTTCCGCTGACTTGTCCAAAGCTGAATCGATACATGACAACTCCAATTGCAGACCAGTCTTCGCCTCGAGCATTGTATAGGTTGCAATATTGCAGTTAAGATGATAGAATATGGAGTGCATTCAAATATGGTAGATGCCATCAAACATAGTCCAATACCCAGTTATAGTCCGGTAGACTCCAGATCAGTGCTCCTATTCGAACCATTCGAATCGAACCAGGATAAGGCTTATTCGAAGCTATTCGAATAGGACCACTGGCTACGCGTAGCGAAAGTATGGTCCTGGTATTTTACATCCATTCAAAAAAAAAAAAAAAAAAAAAAAGATTTAAAATTATCATTTACTATTGTGCCAATAGTTCGAATAAATCGAATGACTCGAATTTGAACTTACCCTATTCGAATCGAATTCGATATTAGTCAAATTCGATTCGAATGGTGCGAATAGGAGCACTGCTCCAGATGCAACAAGCACACAGTGCCAAGAGAAAGTTTTCAACTTTGGGTCGATGCCACATGCAACCAGCAGTAGGCACCAAAGAAGGAAACAAACAAATGACTACTGTGGTTTCAAACAAAAGGCGTCTGTGATAAAACATCACAGGGGGAGTCCCTTAGATTTTAGAGGAAAGGAAATAAATATTCAGTCCGGAACTTAAAATTTCTTATTTCCGATATGCATCACATGACAATAAAATATTTTTGAGCGTATTTCGTGAAGTGTTTTTTTAAAAATAATGATAAAATAAAAAGGCCCCAGACAGCTCCCAGTGAGGGCTTCCTTGGGCCTCATAAATGGCTCAGCCCCACTGGAAATACCAAGGTGATAGCCTCACAGAAGTCACATGGGGGGGACCAACAGAACTAGTCAAAGAAAATCGAGGACGGCAGAAGACGGCAAAAAGACGGCAATTTACTGTGCCTGAAAATTATGTGTCAGGAATTATTTTCGTTTCTTCAGGGGACAGTGCGTTTCTGTAAACTCCTGCCTTTTTGGGGAGGAAAATGCTTTGGTTTTGTTATAATTTCCATAAAAGGGAACAGAAAGTTGGTAAACGCACTTACCAGTTTTTTATTTTCGCTTGTCAAAAGCGCGTCCAACCAATGCTTATAGATGAAGTATGATTTTTATTTTCTTATATGCCACTGCAGTCCATTGCATTCTCTTTATTCTGTCCATCCTTTCATCCGCCTACATTTTCCTCTTCTTGTTGCGTCGAGATCCCAAAGCCATTCTGCTTTAGCCGTAGCATTCAGCAATCGACTTCTCATTTCTCTGACTTTTGTCATTTCGCAGAGTTAATCTTAGAGAAGTCGATTTTTTATTTTTATTTTTTTCAAAAAGCAAAAATGGAAAAGGAATTTGGATTCTTTTCAAAGGAACGGATGCTGCCAGGGTCAAGTCTAGGATCAGCCACGGTGTCTACAATGGCGTCTTCCAATGTCCTCACAGCTGCACCGTCCTTAGATGTAGAAATACCACCGCTACCGCTTTCCCCATCACTTAAGCGTTCCAGAGGACGTCCTAAGAACGCATCGCAAGCACCACAACAGCAACTTATAAAGTCAAGAAGTCAGCTACATCCGCGTCCGTATCAATCATTGCCCGCCGAACCCGCGGTCAGGCTAGATCAATCGCTTGATAGGTCGATACCTTTGCAATATGTTTCCGAGTATCAGAGTCAGGACCCCCCGGATGCTGAGGAACGATTCGTTGATGACATGAATGACTGCTCAGGGATTAAACCAAAAACGCTTGCCTCATATCAGCCCACCTATCGTCTGTGGAAGGTATGTAACGGATAAAATTTAACAAGGTATTCGTATTTTCCTCTAATGCTATCAACTAGCCAGAGGGTCTATAATATTAACAACTCCATCTAATAAATCATTCTTGACATGGGCCCTTAATGTGCTAAACAGGCATTTTGTGAGAAATATCGCGAACGGTATGCAGATAAAGATGGTCGTGCCCTATATCTGGTGGACTCACAGGATAAAGTCGTTTGTTTTTTTCGAGAAGTCATCCTCAAGAAGACTATACTCAAGCGCACTAAACCAGGAGCAGATTTCCGTACGCACCTTGCCGCTGAGGAGGATTCTTCGGCTATACACGGGGCTAGCCTAGTCGAAAGTATGTCGAGCAACTGTGTATTATTTAAGGTGCCGCGTATATGACGACATAGCAATGTCGACATTCTGTTAGTATTATATCGTTTTTATCGAAACTTCCTCTCTCCCCATATTCTCCTCGCCGTTGGCCTTTGGCATAGTAATAGAAGCTGCTCCAGTCGATAAAACTGGTAAAAAAAACCGTATCGGTATCACTCGGTACTGAGACTATAAAGATGGCTAAAAAGGCCCTGATTCGAATCCATTCACTACAGGCCGAGCGAAACGATGTGAGTTGGGATCTTTCGCCATCTCAAATGAAGCTACTCCAAACCATCCTTATCCAGCATATAGAGAGTCTTCACACTCATGTCGTTCGATCGGGTGGCAGGCGTGAAGCAGGCTGTACACTTCGAGATTCTTACACCCCCGTGCAGTTCCACAGTATATTGATGGGACTTTGGACGAAGGAAAGACATTCGCCAAACATGCGAGCGCGTGAGTATGATACTAATTATCGGGACATGTTCTGTCTAACTGCACGGCATAATATGCTGCTTCGGGATGAGGATCTTCGAAACTTAAACTTTGCGGATTGCTTCAGCACCATCATTACACAAAGAACTGAAGGAGGACAACAACCAATTGGGCTCACCTTCAAAATTAACAAGGGTAAGACCAACAAGAATAATGAAAACTGGTATGCGTGTGCATTGCGACATGAAGATGTACGTAGATGCGTCTTTAGTGCTTTTGCCTTTTACATGTATCAACTTTGGCAAGTAAGTTCTCAATTTCAACTTTATCATGCTGTCTTTTTTTTTTTTTTTTTTTTTTTTTTTTTTCTAATTTCATTTTTTTCTTTATTGTGTTGTAGTAATGATGAATGGATTATATTAACATTCTTTTCTTGTTCTACTTTCTATTATCCTAATATCATCTTTCATCACAAGGGCTCGGATCACGAAAAATCCAAGAGCCTTCAAATTAAAGACGTCGTAAAGTCAATTAACAGTTCTGACTTCGTCCAACTCAAGGTCATTCCGGGCAATAAAGAGAGGACAAAAAGTCTCGCCTCTCAATCAACTTATCGTACTGTGGAAGCCCTTTATGATCAGCACAATGTCAACAGTCCTAGGAAAACTCATGGGGGCCGTCATGCTGGCACTATCGAAGCCCATAGGCTAGGTATAAGTCAGGATGATATTAAAGCAGGCGGGCGGTGGACCGCAAAACGAGGCCGCATGGAAAGCTTTTATTTGCCATGCTTGCCTTCGAGGTTTGCTCTTGGGATGGCAGGGTTCTATTCTAAGTCATTCTTCCTCCTTCGAAACTCTATCAGGCCATCGAATGCCTTGCAATTGCTAGTTTTTCCTTGGATTGAAGATATCTTTGGGAAAAATAACAAATGGTGGAGAGATGAATGTTTGAAGGAAATGGACGAAGTGGATCCAAATAGTCTGCCCAATATTCGTGCAGTGCTTGGATCAACAGTTGCAGTTGAAGCCACACAAGTAGCTAACTCCTCATCAAAGAAAAATATTTATTCTGAAAATGAGATTTCCACTTGCGGGTTTCTGAGGCTGCTTGTGCGATGCCGGCGAATCATACTTCAAGATGCTGCGTTTCGATTACACTATAGTCACCATAGCAGAATTTTGGAAGATGACATCTTCAAGTCCCCTTTGTTCTTGGAGTTCCAGAAAGAGATGAGCTACGTTGTAGAACATCCTGAGCCTAATATTGTGCAAAAGTATAATGCGATAATTCCTGAGATCGCAGAAGGATTCAAGGACATTTCGAGGCTCTCACAGATGCACTATCAACTCTTGCAGCAGCAGTTAAAACAACAACAACAGCAACAACAACAGCTTCAGCTCGAGCTGCGTCAGCTAAAAGAGCAATTAAATGGACAACAGCAACAACACCAACTTGAGCTGTGTCAACAACAGCAGCAGTACTTCAAATATATACAGCTGCAGCAGAGTCGGATGCAGAACTGGATGAATCATTCTTCATCAACTACTGCTCCTTCTTCACCACTACTTCCTCTAGCTTCGTCTTCTACTTCAATAATGGGGTCCAGCCTACCAGAGACATCGTTATCCACATTTTCGACCCATCAATCTCCGCAGTTGATGATCCAGCCGCCAGCAAAGTCGGAAGCATCGGCAAAGAAAAAAAGAAAAAGAGACATATGGATCCCCTATGCACCACAGAAATTGAAAAAGTGATTAAATCAAAGCTGAAATACACTAACGCGCGCAAAGCTTAGTGAATGGTTTTTTATTTTTACTTTAACATCCCAAGGAGGACTTGCCGCATCGTCATGGATGTCGGTTGCATGATATCCTTTGATCTTGGTAGAAGAACTGCTGGCTTGGGAGAATGTGATCGACTTTGTGCAGTAAGATAAATTCACCTAAAAGGTAAAATAAACGCTTCAAAGTGAGTGACATCACAAACTATTTTGCCATCACTTTCTTACTTTTCTTCATTACAATAACACCTACATTCTTACTCACGAACTTTCAGCTCTTTTCGCACTTGGCTGCTCTCGAATCAGTTATTTCAGCGCACAACTATCCTAAATGGCAACCGAAAAAAAAAAAATAAAATAAAATAAAATAAAATAAACTCTTCTGCATTCTCGATGGCATCTGCATCATTTGAAGTCGAAGCCTGATGACTCCATAGCTGCCCTCAAGGGGGTCATCAAGCCGGATCTTGATCACCTTTCCTTTAAATAACTCATTCCTTATAAGGTATCGGCCCTCCATGAAGGTATAGTAGTCAATCTCGCCAATGTTGAGTCAAAGGAATCACTCGCCAAAGCAACAAGCAAGACCTTAAAGACATTGGCACGTCACCTCTGTCTGAGGAGATTGTCCACATATTGTTCAGCGGCCATCGGCAGGTAAGAGATTAGCAGTTTGTTCTCTTTGTTTTAATATTTTGTGTATGACTTCATTGATGATACGTCTATTTATTTAAACATTAGGGACCATAGGCATATCTGAGAGGCAGCTCATCCAACATATCTCGCCACCAATTGAAGGTGTGGACCAAGGACCTGATGAAATTAGCACACAAGCACGTCCCTGTTACTTAGCGTCGCCAACCCGATCACACCTTGGGATAATTTTCTTGATATCGTGCGCAATATGCCTTTAGACGATGCACATCGCCATTCTATCCCACAATTACATATGTGAGAAGATTTTACCAAGAGGCTACCATTCGCCATATAATTATCAACGACGTTGGAACTGTCGACCGGGCTACAACTATGCAATCCCCTCTTCAATACACTGGCGACTCTGATTTTGTATGTTATCGCTGCCATGACGACATGAATCTGTTTCCTATAGAAGTGAAGCGACCATTCCTTTTATCTTTAGAAGCAAACATTGATTTTTCACAAGCTTACGGTTTGAACCTAGGTGGAGCTGTCCTTCCATTGCAACAAATATTAGGATATATATGGACCAATGGATTTAGATATGGTGTTCTCACAATCTTTAACCAAACATGGTCCATAGGGCACACTACAGATTAACAAAATAGAGATCTTCTAATTTCATCTACTTTATCTACAACTTCACATCAATCCCATTACTCAAAGTTTAGACAAGTCATCAAAAAATGTGCAAAGTATTTTTTGTGCGATACGAGGTATTGATCGGAAAGAGCAAAGCTGCTGCAGATATTCATTCGAAGCATACAATAAGTTATTTTCTCTTATCCCTTCCTCTAAAAGCTGGTATCTCTCCAAGCAGTTGTCGCTGCTGAACCTTTGGTCCCAAAGCTCATCGACTATATCTGTTGATGTCCACCATCCCTTCATTGTGTTTGTCATTATTAAGGTTGATCGTCTTAATTTGGTTATGCGACAAAGACGATGAGCGAATAACATCTTGGTTTTCTTGTGAGTGAATGCCGTTACTTCAATAAATATACATGTATCAACATCGGCTTTACAATGACTATCCACAAGTATGAAACGGTAGAAAAGGGAAGGCCCCCACTTTTTTTTTTTTTTTTTTTTTTTTCGTCAACCGATGTAGTCTATCCATGCTAATGTGGAACTATTCATTCAGCAGTATATCTGTGTTGTCTACAGGAAATTCAGTATCCAGTCCTAACACTATGTCATGACAGATATGCTTGTACCAATCAATAGAAAGCGGTTGGTTCTATTAAGACAGTCTCATCGATGAGGTTAAATGCTCGGTCATAATTCTCCTTATCAGAAGTAGGGGTATTCAAAGCCATCGTGTTTAAATACTGTAGTATTGCGAGAATACTGATCGTCTCTTGTAATTGCTCTTCGCGAGGAACACTTTGTATAATGAGAACTGTTTTTTTTTAAAAAAATTTAATAAAAGTGTCGTTTATTTCTCTTGACCAGTGTGCATTTGTCCTTCAATGCGATTCAACAAATGTATCTCTACAGGGTGTCACCGGCTATTCACAGCATTACATCGTCAAAAATCCTTGTCTTACTCTTTGAGGCATTTTTTTTAAAGTGTATGTCCACTCAGAGAAGCTTGGGAACAAACCATCCAATTCATTTTAATTGCAGCATCCATTTCCAAGTTTGTTGCTGCCTTTTTCATCCACTACCAAAGTGCTGGGATTCTGCGTTTGGTTGGTCTGGGTGTCGATCATACGCTTCTTAATGTCCCTGTAGGCCAGATTTTTTTTTTTTTTTTTTTTTTTAGGAAAAGATGTACAAATGTAAGCACATTGAATTACAAGTCATGCTTTAAAAAGGGTTCAGAGCGAGAAAAAAAAAAAAAAAAAAAAAAGTATACCTGGCAAGGGAGAAAAATGCTTCTTCAACACAGATATTGGATTTGGCACTTGTCTCCAAAAACTTGATTCCAAACTCATCTGCCAAGGCCTGACCCTGGTCCTTTGAGATAACCTGTAAAAAATAGCATATTTTTTTTAGTATTATTTTCTTTCTCTCTTTTTTTCCCCTACTATCATTCCAGGCATATCAGATATATCAGAATATCTAACCTTCTTGTCCGGCATATCGCACTTGTTTCCAATAAGGATTTTGTTGACTCCCTCACTGGCGTGTTGCTCGATGTTCGAGAACCAATTACGAATATCTAACGAGGGATGGATCCAAAATAATTAGAATGGTGGCGTAAAAAAATATGATTGTATGTATTTAGCCCATGAACTTGTCCATGTATCATGAATGATCAATCCTGAAAACTTACTGCTAAATGAACGTTCGTCCGTGACATCGTACACTAAAAGGATACCCATGGCTCCGCGATAATATGCTGATAATAGAAATCGGAGGAAGAGAGAAGAATGTACGATGTTAAGAGTGTATCCCTGATGTTAAAAAACAGGCAATAAGAATGAGCCACTTTGATGGGTTTGGTACCTGTTGTAATAGTGCGGAAACGCTCCTGACCTAAATTTACAACAAGAGCATGTTTGGTTTAGCTGTCTTATGAATGATACAACTATGGATAAAGGTAAGACCAGTGCTGGATAATAGTAGGCGAGCTTACCGGCTGTGTCCCAGATCTGGAGCTTGATGCGCTTGCCATCAAGCTCGATGGTGCGAATCTTGAAGTCGATTCCGATGGTGGTGATGAACGAAGGTGTGAAAGAATCATCAGAGAAGCGGAGAAGTAGGCACGACTTGCCAACACCTATGAAGAACCGTATAATAGAAATGTAAGTTTGCTTGACAATATTCATCCCATTCAGAAGCTCTGGTCCATTTCCATAGGGAGAGGGAAGTATGGGATGACGCGTGACAGCCAGGATGGGCAGAGGCAATGATTTTAACCACTTTCGAGCATGTTATGCCATGGTGAAGAGGCAGATGCAGTACATTGTGAATACAACAGGATGGTACCATGGTATCACTACGGAACACATGATAGGCTACAGCAAAGATAACCCAGAGCTCTCGAGGAAAAGAAAACAAAACTAGTCTCTCTGCATGCCCCGGATTTGTTGAGGAGGAAGAGAGAGGGAGGAAAAGGCTTGGCTTTGCGTCTAGATGGATAAACAAGGTCCTCAATGACTTACCAGAGTCACCAATCAGTAGCAACTTGATGAGATAATCGTATGAGGCACTCTTTGGGGTCGACATGGCGTGATGACTAGGACTGTATATAAAATTGTATCGATGAGAAGAAGGGATGGATGGTAAAAAGATGAGGCGTGATGGGGAGCAAAAATAAATAAAAAATAAAAGATATAACACAAGAATACAGACGTAACGTGCAACAAAAAAAAAAATAAAAGGACGACACAAAAAAGAGAGAGAGAAAGAGAAAGAGAAAGAGAAGAGAAGGAGAAAGTAGCAACAGATTAGAGAAAGAGTAAAGTGTTAATAAGCGATATTTGGAATCAACTGGACGGGGGTAAAAGTTTTTTTTTTTTGTTCTCCTTTATTTGCCTCACAAGCTGTTGAGCTTGTCCTTGATGCAAAGACAAAAAAGTTGACAAACGAAAGCGTGCCACGCGCAACGTCTTGTGATGTGTACATGGTCGACACATCAGACATGTTGAAAAAAAAAAAAGCTAAAAAAAGACTTACACACAGATGAGGATAGAGGGAATGAAGAGAATGAAGTTGTTGTGGAAGCTAATGAAGCACTAAAGAAAAGCTACACCTATTGGAGTGTCTGTGATGACAAGAGAGGAATTAAGAAAGGTGTGTTGGAAAGGAAAGAGACAAGTAAAGGAAAGGGTTTTATTTTTTTTTTTATCTTTGCTTTCAACTTTCCTTTTCTCTCTTTTCTCTCTTCTCTCCTCTCTCTTTCTTCTCTCTTTCTTCTCTCTTCTCTTCTTATCTTCCTCTTTTTCTCTCTTGTCTTCTCTTCAGCCTTTTCTTTACGATTCAACTTTACTTGTTTGTCAGAGTATCAAAGCAAAGCAAAGCAAGGCAAGGCAAGGCAAGGCAAGGCAAGGCAAAGAGCAAGAAGGAAAAGAGAAAAGGGAATGTTGCATATTGCATCCGAATGCTCTTGAATGCTCTGAATGCTGTCCCCGTGCAAGGGATGGACCAGTATGAAGCACATGGACACGCCACATGGCCCATCTCCAGATTGGCAAAATAAAAAATCTGTTCAACTGCAAGCAGAAAGGGGCATACATGAACGCACTTCTTTCCTTCATATGGCTATTTTACTTTTTATTTATTTAACTTTTCTCATCTCTCCTTCGCTCCAACTAAACTTGTCAATCAACTTAGTTGATCCCAGTCACCTCCCTATATATAAGCTCTAAATAAAAAAAATAAAAAAAACAGCCATACCATGTCATGTTAATTTCTACTTTTCATAGTCAAAAGAAAATAATAATAATAATAATAATAATAATAATAATAACAGTAATAATAATCCACATCATCATTTCCCTTTACCCTTCAAATGTTCCTTGGAAAGACTGTCTTTATGCTTGTCAAAATCAAAAAAGCTCTCTGGAATAGGATCCATCGATGGCTCGTCCTCCGGATCATGGTAAGGCTCAAGATAAGGGTGGCGCAATGCTTCCTCGACCGTAATCCGTTTCGCAGGGTTGAATGTCAGGAATTTTTCCAAAAGGTCCAACGCCAGCGGGTTAGCATCAGGAAACATGTTTGCAAATGGGATTCTCCTCTTAAAAGCTAAAGTACGAATATAATCCCGTGCTCGACGGGATTTGATTCCGTAGAAATCCTCCATCGTAGGTGTACCCAGTACGTCCAAGATCAAGTTCAACTGAGAATGATCTATATATATAGGATATATAAATTAAAAAGACATATTCTCTCTCTTTTTTATACTAATGATCCGTTCCTTTATATCGATTTTCCTTACAGTCACGACCAGGAAATAGAGGCTTCCCACTGAGCATCTCGGCCAAGATACAACCAACTGACCAGACATCAATTGCCTTTGTGTATTCCTTAAAAGTCAACATGATTTCCGGAGCTCTGTACCAACGAGTTGCTACATATTCCGTCATGAATCCGCTGTGCTCATCATTCGAGTTGGCAGAGCGGGCAAGTCCAAAATCGCAGATCTGTGCACAGGAATGAGAGGGGGGTTTTTTTTTAAAAAAAGATTTCCACATTGATTCCTTTAATCATCAGGAGTATTTGTAACATGTTGTACGTTTGTCTTACCTTGAGATCACAATTGGCATTCAATAGAAGATTGCTCGGTTTGAGATCACGGTGCAACACGTTGGCTGAATGCATGCACTTGAGAGCACGCAGGGTCTGATAGATAAAATATTGACAATGGTCGTCGCTCAAATCCTGGGTCCTGATCACACGATGCATATCTGTCTCCATCAGCTCCTGGATCAGGTACCTATGTAGAGCATGTGATAGATGATTTTGTTAGCCAAGGATCAGAAAATCGACACTCAATTGTAACTGTTTATATAAAAATTAAAATAAAAAAAAAAAAAAAATGGTAACTGGCTACAAAGGACTTACACTTCTTGGAAGGCCTCCAATGATGGAGGCTTCACAATGTCCAGAATCGAAATAATCTAAAGATAATAAAGACAATGAAAATATTAATTCCTATCCATTTTTGAGGACCAAGAGTCAATACGATTTAATTAATTGATCAATGTGAATAGATGGTTCATACGTTTTCATGGTTGAAATACTTGAGTAGCTTAATCTCTCTCAGTGTGCGCAAGCAGAACATGGAATGGTCAAAAGGTGTAATCTTTTTAATGGCGACCTTTTGCCCTGTAGGTTTATAGATGGCCGAACTATGGCATAAATGAATGAATGAATAAATGAATGATGAGGAAAGATGAGTGTCAAAATCAACACTGATGAATGATTATAAAAAATAAAACAAGAACTAGTGGAAAAATATAGCCCTTATCATCACTGCTTACCAAACGATACCATAGGCACCTTCACCGACGACATCCAGAATCTCGTACTGTTCGCCAACGTTGAAATTGCGTGCACGCGGATTAGTGGTGGCTGTCATGTCAGAGATTGTGTCGCTTAGACGTTTTGTGATTCGCGAGAGAATGATGGGCAAGTAATGCAGTCAGCGCAAGAAAGAAGAAAAGAAAAAAGTCTGAAAGAGATGAGCAACGACTCGAGACTAAGGAGAGAGAGAAGGGGGATGTATGCGAGTGTAGGTAGGCTGGTAGTTTAGTGAGCAAGACTAGAAAACAATGCTGTGGAAGTGAATGGACCTATTCTGAGCTCCAAAAAAAAAAAAAAAAAAAAAAAAAGGAGGAAAAGGAAGGGGGAAAGGAAGAGTTGGAGGAGCCAACAAAAAAAAAAAAAAAAAAAAAAAACAATCCTAACGTTGGCTGACGAAGCCATGGCATGTCCATTCAGGCTGTGCATTGGCATATTGCCTGATAGACTGAACACTGTTGGTGCTTATAAAAATAACAATGATCGATAATGGCCAATTGCACTCCATTGGAAGCCATGCTTGGTACCCCGACGACCAAAGTGGGTCCTATATTGAACCATCATGGTGTACATCTATTGAACTCTTTTTTATTTTATTTTATTTTATTTTACTTCTTTATTGAAACCAACGTTGCAAGCCTATAGAAGGTCAGTGCTCATTCTCAAACGATCAAGGAGACCCTAAAAACAATAAAAGCATAGAGCATCCAGGTATGTACCATCCTATTGCTCTATTGTTCCTATTGCTTAAAATATTCCAATGTTTGTCTGTCCCTACTGTTGCTCGACTCTCATTCTGCTGTCCATCGTCAACACTCTGCTTCATTGAGCAATCAACATCCTTATTAAATGTTGCTCATCGCTCATGCATCATGGCCTACTCGGCTGCACAAGTATATTTCATATCCATTAACTGGTATCGGAGCATGTACACAGCGGGCATTTTCACAACAAATTTTCTGTCTACAGCAAGATAAGCAACATCATCATTTATCCCTTGAAGAATCTCCCAGATCAATGTATGATCGCGGCCATCAACCAGACCCGGATGAACTACGTCGGCTTCTAACGAAAGGCATTCGAGCCTACTTCTATTTCATTGATGTGCATGGTCAGGTTTTTCTTCAGGACACCAACCCAAAGAACTTCACGTCCTGTTATAAAGATCCAAAATTCCTAGACTTTTTTCTTCGTCGAATCAAACCCAATTCATCCCCATTCTTTTCTGAATATGCATGGCAGAGTCCCTGCGGCAAGGAAATTAACTTTGTTGAATCTGCTGATACCCCTCTTGTCTTCCACGGCTTCCAGGATGGTAACATCTCTTTGTGTAGAATCAGTGATTAACAGAATCTTGTCTATAGAGCAAAGCCTACAATATTCGCTAACCAATTACTCCATTCTTGTTTATAATCTATTGGATATTCACAACATCTCCAACCTGGACCCACAATCATCCCAGGGAATTTGTTATGGGCAGGCACACAACGAACTCCGTTCCTTCCAGAAAAACTCTGTGTATCGGCATCGACCGGACGAATCTATCATCCATTACCTCCGTCACTGCAAATTGCGATACCTTCTTCGAGCACAGACATGAATGCAAATAAAAGGTCAGAATGGCATCGAGGATGCACCTTAGGCTTAATCAAATCGTCATTAGTGCTAAGCGAGTTTGCAGCAGATCTTGATGAGGATTCAGTCGTCTGGCAAGGGACAAGACATTTGTTAAAAAAAGTATAGAGGGGCTTTGGCTCTTAAATCCTACAACAAAGGGAAATAAAGCTGCGATGTTTTTGAATTTTTTATTTTTTTTTGCTTCTTGTTCATCATTTGTACATCACATCAGTTTTACTTCTTACTGCCGCCATAATTTAGTTTTCGCATCAAAATAATTTCCGTTTTTTCATTAACCCATCTACATTATCCGCTGCAGTAGTTTGCTGTGCTTTTATCCAACCTTCGGGAAAATAGCCTGACATCCATTGCCCAAAGATTACTCATTAGTTTAAAAAAGCTGTGGCTGTGGACTACCCCCGTTTTCATTAGATAAAATATTGTCAACAAACTTGGTCTTACGCCTGAGCAATTATGAGTAACATGAATAGCGAGCAGAATGAGTAAGATTTCAGTTTTTAATTCCTCTGCATCGCATAAATTACCTGTCCTTGTTCCGGTACTGATCATCATGAAATCATGTTTTAATCATTTAGTAAACCACCAACTCGGCGACTTGGTGTCACAATGCCTATCTCTGAAGCCTATCCAACTCCAGAAGACCAGGAAAGCACAGAGAAGCTCATTCAAACATTGAAGGATCAAGGACTATTTGAGTCAGAGGAGGAGAGCAAGCGAAGGCAAGGAGTTTTTTTTTTACTTGATACTTCAGCGCATTGATGCAAAGATTTAAATTCTCTGGATTTTCTGTGGTCTAACCTCCACGCTTTTCGTTGCTGATCAATATAGAGAGATTGTACTTGGAAAGCTGGACAAGATGGTTAAAGAATTTGTATACACTATCAGTCTACGTAGGAACATGCCAGAAGCAATTGCCAGAGAAGCCGGAGGCAAAATTTTTACTTTTGGATCGTACAGGCTTGGTGTTCATGGATCAGGCAAGTCAATAGGTTCACTTCGTAGATGGTACAGGCGCCATAGACACTTTCTGGCATGCTAATACGCATGAATCGGTGGACTTCTTTTTATGTATACATGTTCTTAGGTTCCGATATTGATACACTTTGTGTTGTTCCAAGGCACGTGCAGCGAGAAGACTTTTTCGAAGAAATGTATGACATGCTACGCCGACGACCAGAGGTCACGGAGCTCACGGCTGTACCAGACGCCTACACACCAGTTATCAAAATGAAGTTCTCGGATATCCCAGTAAGTGTCAAAGATATATTGGAAGAATATCAGAAAATCAGTTTTTTAATTTTTATTTTTATCTCCGGGCTCCCCATTTCCACATTAATGCTTGATGACCTCCTAGATCGACTTGACATTTGCAAGGCTTGGATTATCGAGTATAGCGGATAGCCTCAGTTTGTCAGATGACAGTCTACTTAGAAATTTGGATGACCGTTGCATTCGATCTGTTAACGGATCTCGAGTAACAGATGAAATTCTCCGACTTGTCCCAAACATTACATCTTTTCGTATGGCTCTTCGTTGTGTTAAACTTTGGGCTCAGCGCCGTGCAGTTTATTCAAACATGATGGGGTTTTTGGGCGGTGTTGCATGGGCTATGTTGGTAGCAAGAGTCTGTCAGCTTTATCCTAATGCCTGTGCCGCCACTATTATATCGCGTTTCTTTTCAATTCTTCATCAATGGTATGTTTTCCATATTTGGTTTATTTTGACACTTATGACAATGGATCAAAACACTTTAATGGTTAAATGCGAATTAAAATTAAACATACTGTTACGATTTAATTAGGCCATGGCCACAGCCGGTGTTGCTGAAGCCCATTGAAGAAGGACCCTTGCAGGTTCGTGTCTGGAATCCTAAACTATATCCCGCTGATAAGGCCCATAAAATGCCCATCATCACACCGGCCTACCCTTCTATGTGCTCAACGCATAACGTAACTGATTCGACTAAAGCCGTCATGTTAAATGAATTTAAAAGTGGTATGATCCAACATTTATTACTTTACTACCCGTCATTATGTCAACTAATGCATGTTGGAATGCGTATCTGATTATCTCCTCCTCCTCCTCTTCTCAACAATGAATCGTTTATGGAATAGCGGCGGAGATTGTGAACAGGATTATGGTTGAGCGCATTCCTTGGTCAACCTTATTCGCAAAAGACGATTTTTTCTCGCGCTACAAACATTATCTTCAGGTGATCGCTTCTTCAGATTCCGAGGAGCGCCATTTGCGTTGGTCTGGTTTTGTGGAGTCGAGGATACGACATCTGGTGACCAAACTAGAGCGTGTTGAGAACTTGGTCCTAGCACATCCCTACACTAAGGGCTTCGAGAAGGTAACTCAATACAGGACAGCAGCTGAGAAAGAAGATGCGGCACATGGAATTATCCGTCCGTCCACTGAGGATCGAGCAGATTCTACGCAGGACGCAAGCGAATGCAATACAATGTATACAGCGACATATTACATTGGCCTTTCCATTCCAGCTCGTGAAGGTAAGATGATTTTATAGCGACCCCATGTAGTTAAAAAAAAAAAAACTCTCTTCCTGCCTGTGGTGACATTCAGGCGAGATGCGCTACTGACTTCTTTTATTTTATTTATTTTGTAAAGCTGGATCAACTGGTCATCGAAAAATGGACTTGTTCCGACCAAAAGATGAGTTTACAGAAATGGTCAAATCTTGGGATAAATATGATGCTCAATCTATGGGAATCGTGGTGCAGCATATTCGCAGGTTCGTTCTAAAGCAATATGATAAAGTATCTAACTCTCATATTATTCAAATACTATGTACTGACGTACCAATATGCTACTACCCTATAGTTGTGCACTACCACCGGAGCTAGTTGATGAAGTAGATCAGAAGAAAGGGAAGCGATCCAAATCGGGCAAGGTAATTATGAAAACTACCTTGTTACTCTACAGCGCCACTTAATCGGAGTGTTTGTAGCAAATAACTCATATTAACAATTTTATTTATTTTCTCTTTTTCCGATGCTTTTGTCTCACAGAAATCGGCTGCTGTGGATGCTAGACCGCCAACAAAAAAGCGCCGCAGCTCTGTCGGACAAAATGGCGTCCAGTCCCATACTGTTTCTGGCGGCTCTGCGGACAATATTAGCACTCTCCCTGCTGTCCCGTCCCCTATCATTAAAGCCGATGTATCCACGACAAACACGGCCATCGTTCCACAAGCTTAAGACTCAGAAAGTGTGTGACATACTTCCTTTGGATGATGACCAGCAAAGCCTTCTTGTCTTTATCTTTTTTTTCCTTTTCTTTTCTATTCCTTTTTATTTTTTTACTTTTTTTATTTTTTTTCTGCGATTGACGTTTGTTTGTTTTTATCCTGGCTCTGAAGAAAAAAGAAAGAAAGAAAGAAACGAGATATTGTGCAGGACGACTTTCCCTTTGCTATTCTGGGGAAACCTTTAACATTTAGATTATTCAGGGATGCCATTTAGGTTTTTTGGCGTCCTCAGAGTAAGTGACCTACTTCAAGTATCAATGATAACAGGGACTGTCAATAACAATAATTGCTGAAGCATTGTAGATCTTATTGACGATAGCTTTGGAAACCCTCCTCATAGTTTTTTTTTTCTTTTTTCTTTTATTTTTTACATTTTTGAAGGCCTGCTACATATGTCTTTCTCCATAGAGCGTATGTGTATCTTTTTTTTATTTTTATTTTTTTTTTATTTTTTTATTTTTATTTTGATAGATTATAACCACAATGCTTTCAGATATAGCTGCTTCACAACCTGTACTATAATAAAATGCCTTATTTCAGGTCTTTAGGTGCGTCGATACTTATTAGATTAGTTGATGAGGAGCTATTTAGAAGCATGACAATTACATCCGCACCCAATTTCATCTTCTTCCTCCGCTATTATATTATGTTGTTGCAAGTCAGGCTTATAGAGCCGTAGCGATTCCACAGATGACGATATCGAGGGAAGTGAGGAAGTCACTGGGGTTTCCTCTTTCTCTAAAAGAGATCTATGAACTCGGCGTCTTTCAACATCTAGCATTTGCTCCGCTGTTGCTGAAACCAAAAAATATCCTCGACACACTCCTGTCTCGGGATCTATCGGTAGGAGTGAATCCCAGAGCTCCCGAACCGTAGCAAAGAAGGGTGGATATTTGAACCTCGCAGAATCAAGAACGAGCACTTTATCCTCTTTAGCATGATAACCACCTATTGGACTATATTTGGATTACGGCAAGCTGGGTGCATTAATACAAAATAATAATAATAATAATAATAATAATAATAATAATAATAATAATAATAATAATAATAATAATAATAATAATAATAATAATAATAATAATAATAATAATAATAAAGAATTATATGCCTTTTCCAGCTCTTTTTTTTTTTTTTTTTTTTTTTTTTTTTAATCTGTACATACCTAAAATGACCGGTGCCTGTTTGACCAAGCGCGGCCCTGGAAAAAGAAAGAACTAAATGGGTCCCTTCAGAACTTGCAATGGTTTGAACATCCCTTCTAAATTCCTCAAGAGTATGGTGATCTGCTCGTTTTGCAACCACTTTGGCATGACATTTTGCTAAACAAGCAAACTGATTAAAAGTAATGCCTTTGAGCTTCATCTCATCGATACTGGCACAACAGTCCAGTTGCTCCTCCGAATACCAGCGCCATACACCACGCCACTGTCTACGCGGGTCGATCTCCAATGCATTGAGGACCATCGATAAGGAGGAGACCCCACAAAAAGCAGGGTCACTCTGGGTATTAAAAGACGTACAGAGGCTAAAGAAACACTCACTCGTGCCTGCTACGATCATTTCCCGGAATAATCTCCTTCCATTCACGCTAGTGATACTGTCAAGGTGCGATGGCAGTTCTTTGCGGTAAAAGGTTGAAGCAAGCATCGACTCCATCGCCTCTACCACCTTTGATTTTTTATCATCTAACGAGACACCCGTTGGGGGAATTTTGGCTACATATGCGCCAGGGAAATGATTTAGGCCGTTAGACTCATCTGCAATCTTCATCATCACGGTGTCAAGTGTTTCAAGCTGTGAAAGAATAGACCCCCAAGGCGGTCGTTTTTCTTTATCTGGTAGTAAACACTGTTTAATAAGGTGCGCCAGCGGCTGAGGGGGCTTTTTGTGAAACCTGACCTCTGCATCCATTTCGACGTCTTTCAGATGAGAAGGCAAAGACGTTGATTCAAATGGAAGCTCTTCAGTTGCAATCTCCCATGCGAGCACACCAAAAGCGTACATGTCATCAGCTTCTATCTCAAGCACTTCATTCAAGCCAGCGCCAGCCTTTTGATCTAGCTTTTGCTGCAAGTTTCGGAGAGAAACAGGTGAGAGCCAACGCCAATATGTACATGCGCCTGATTCAAAATCTTCTCTGGTCGCACCCGACTGATGCCATGAAAGCCATGCATGACCATCCTTGTCCAAAAAAACCGTCTCGCTCGACAAAGCACCATGCTGTTGGCCTTGCATATTTCGTTGAATATAATACAGAGCCATGGCGACCTCCTTGAGAACAGCAATTTTGGATGGCCAATTTGATTCTCCATGTCCTGATGTTGATAAGAACTTTCCTCTGTCGATACACTCACGAAGGGACCCTTCCTCACAATAATCCATCACTACAATCGGTCTCTGTGAACTACAGATGCTTGCAATGGAACCCGGAGCAAATGTGGGCACAATAGAGGGCAGCGAAGGCTGGTAGAGGAGACCCCAAGTGCGCAGCAGATGGGACTCTGATAGAGCTTGAGGATCTGTATCAAGGATATCCATCCACATTTGCATAGCCTTGCGACCACGTCCTGCTCGAAGTTGATGTAACAGAACATGATTGGGACCAAAATAAGCCTGAGCAAGGATTGAGAATTGATTGCTACGCCTTGGCGGTCTAATATGGCTAACGTTGGTCAAGGCATCATATCGTAAAGTCTCCATGAGTAAGAACAGCTGAATAAACTGATAGTTGATGGATCAAACGTTCAATATAGGAGAGAAGACAAAATAAAATCAGGGAGAAAGAAAGAGAGAAGGTGGGAGAGAAAAAAAAAAGAAAGAAAAATAAAGAGTCCTGATGTATCATTGTCATATTAGTTTTTTCAAGTGTCAACTCAACAATCCCACTTCTTAAACTGAACTATAGACACATTGATTTCCCGCCCTAAAAGCGCTTGACAATGTCAATAACGGCATTGTGGCTGAAGGCGACCAGTTCATATTAAGGAGACTTTTGACAAGTACAAATAAAGACTGAATAGATAGGATAGAGCAAAGAAAATACAGCTCTACCTCTCTAAAATAACGCTTTAGGAACACTTTGGAGAATCTGAACGCAATTTTATGGGTACTTTGTGAGTCCGAGGATAACAATAGGACACAGTATCCGATGATCAAGACCATCAACGTTAATTTTTATTCTTGATAAGCAAACCTTGCCATTAACTCTCGCGTTGCCGAAACAGCAGCATCTACTGAACAATAAGTGTTGTATTTATGCTTTCTCCAATCGGCCGATCCCTAGACATTTGGTTATCGACCATAGAGGTGCTTAATGACCACAAACTCAATGCGCAAGCCCGAAAGAAGAACTCCGCACAACACCAAAACGTATCTAACTCCGTTCGGCTTCACACATCCGTCGCAGATACGGTCAAACATAACTTTCAAAAGGCTTCGAAAATTCCTCTCCCATCCCTTCATGCCTTAGTTATGAATGACCCTTTTCCCTTACTTCCTATCTCGACAGTGCACAATCCCATCAAACGTCCTTTCGACCTCCAAGATCGCAGCCACCATTTTTTTATGATTTTTTTGATGTACTAGAACATTTACACCCACAGCGCCACTATTGAGTTCATCAGGAAAAAAACAGTAGAGAAGGCTCTTTACAACTGATTTTTGAGCCTAGTCATCATTACCTTCTTTCAAGAATTCGTAAAAGTGTAAAATGGAGCAAGGAAATCAAATTGCTTAAAGAGCATCAGAAGGGAAAGAATGGAGAACACTAAGCCACTTGTTCATTTCCCTACAGAATAGAGTGTTCCCATGTGGTAGTGGAGCATTTGTTAGGACGCCATTCAAAAAATAATTAGAAACCCTGTCCTTAGACCCCTTAGACCCAGAGTGGAATATTTAAATCGTCTGGACATGTCTTTGCTCATTATCTGATCCGAACGCCGGGATCACGTGCTCACTTTGTCCAAGAATGAGTAGCATGAATATATCATTCCATAAACCAGCATGCTCCATTGTCAACTCCACCCTCCATCTTGAACTGTATCATTCCTTCAAATACCTGCGCCATGGGCTCAACGACATCCAAATCTAACAAGATTACTTCTCAGGACAGAGCCATTCTGGACCTTAAAGTTCAAAGGGATAAACTGAAGGCATATAGTAGGAAGGTAGGGAACCAGGAACCTACTGCTAAAGCTCAAGATTAATGAATGCTTTATGATATATTGTGATATTAAGTTTAATGAAGAAACTTATACTCATTCATGTCTTTTCGCTCGTAGTTAGACAGTGTTATTAACAAGGAACTGGAACTAGCTAAAGGTCATCTCGCCAATGGTGATAAGAAACGTGCTCTTCTGGCACTAAGGCGAAAAAAATTTCAAGAGGGTTTGCTCGAAAAGACTCAGATGCAAATGACAAATCTGGATGAACTGGTATACACCGTCGATATAATTTTCCTCCTTGTAAATGCGACTGTTAGTTGCTTGCTCATCTACTTTTGAATTAGGAAACAGGACATAAACCTTCCTCATATTCACTAAATCACCTATCTTAGACATACTCCATTGAGCATGCGCTTGTTGAGAAACAAATTTTTGATGGACTCGCAGCCGGAAACCAGGTGCTGAAGGAGCTACACAAGGATATGTCCCTCTCAGACGTAGAGAAATTGATGGATGAGACTGCAGAAAGCATCGCCTACCAAAATGAAATTGACGAGATGCTCAGTACTCGACTTTCTGTGGCCGAAGAAGAAGATATCGAAAGAGAACTTGACGAGATGGTGGTGAGCTCATATTTTTATCATCCAGCGCGCTTTCGCGTATGTATCTTAACAGTAATTCTGACACGATAAATGCACAACCTCTTAGGCACAAGAGACCACAGATATGCTACCTAATGTACCTACAATGTCAAAAGAGGAGCAAATCGCTGCTCTCCATGCCCAAGAGCGAGAAGAAGAAGAACAGGGTAAATGTTATTCTTATGTTGCTTCATCAAATTACCTGTAAGCTAGGACTGCTAGAACTAACCATAAAACATCCGTTTTTGCATCTCCATATGTAGCAAACCTTGGTATGAAGAAAGCCACCAAAAGCCCGCGCACCCGGAATGAACCTATGTTAGCATAGGCCTTTTTTGTCCTTCTTTTATTATAATTGCGCTTTGTCTTACCAAAGCAACCGATACATAATCCATGTCTTTACGTTGCGTCTACACGAGACGTCCCTAACTCCCTACAGCTAGATACTTTCCTATTATAATGAAGGCTCAGGTCCGTTTAATATAGATTGAAGAATATGAGCAGCGAGGCAGAGATTGTAATAAATAGCGTGCCAAACTCAACGTTTTACGAGCATTCTCCTGTTCAACACTGCTTAGAATAGTTTAATGTCATCTAACCTTCTTTGTACACTATCTTTTTTAAATTTATTTTTTTTCCTTTATGAAAAATTGCTCCTTATACTAAAGCAACTTGTGCAAACCATGCTTTATCGTCAGGAATAAAGCTTCAGGGTGATTATCCTCTTTTGGTCGTGGTGCGAGCGAGAGCAAGAAAGTCCAACCGACCTGTGACCACCGCGAGATGCTCTCTACCGCTAAAACTTCGCGATAGTTGTGTTCCTTGCACTTTTCATCCCAGTTCTTGATCCACATATCCGCCTCTTGAGGTTACTGATAATACAGGAAGAGCTTGGTTGGTTAAATATACGGAAGACCATAGTTCAATGCCTGTCCTTCCTCGGACGATCCGAAAGCAAAATCGAGAATTATCCGTATAATTTTGCCTACTTGTACATATTCTCTCACTATCGTGTGTAAATGGCACTCGCTACTAAAAATGATTTTTACGTTACATTACATCTCTCGATATCATGATGGTTAATCAATGCGCAGGCCCTGCATTCACCTTGATTATTGATCTGTTTCTCTTACATACTTTTTTTTTTTTTCGATCTTGTTTGTCCACACCGTAATTACCACATCCTGCGCGATGAGCACTGCAAAGTGTGGCTCGTGCTCATATAAAAGTCAACTGTTCTTAAGCTTTCGAACTGCATTCATCAGAAAGCTTAAATCTTCACTACGGCTGGCGTTTGCTCCATTGTTCATTTAAAATTGCGCACATATACTGATGAAAAAGAGCGCAGAAGGGCCCTTGCAGACCTGTTACTGAATCAACCTAAACAGATAACGGAAAAGGATTGATAAATACTCCTTTTGGTCATCAACAAAGTTTGAATTCAATCATTCTTCTTAGGCAAAAAATAACAAATACAAAAAAAAAAAAAAAAAAAAAAAATATTTACATAGACACAGGTACAGGCAAATACCCTGGACTCTTTAGAAGACCAGCATCACATCAAGAGTATTCTTAAAAAAGGATAAAAATACTCAGCAGCAAAGCACTATTCATGACGAAACGAGCCCAGTACTAGACAAAGATGAAAGATAGATTCAAGATCTAGACAACTACGATAAATATAGGGCAATGGGTGATGAGAAATGGACACTAATTTTTACTCAATGTGGAACAACGACTTTTCGATAAAGCTACAAAAAAAACTGTTTAATAAGGTTAGCTGGCGAATTTGCCCGACTAACGGTATAAAGGATAAGTTTGCAATGGACTTGCTGTGTCGTAAGAGTGTTATGAATACAAAGTATATTCTCAGCTAATGTAAATCCTTGACGAAAGTTTGGTTGCGAATACTCCTAATAACAATGTAAAATTACTTGAACAGCCTGTATTGTCAAAGTGGAATAATGAAGAAATGAAGAAAAAAAAAAGTAACTTGAGAAGAAAAAAGGAGTAACAAACACAGTAAAAATAAAAAACAGGAAAAAAAAGCAGTCTATGCCATTATGGTTTAGAGCTATTATTGCCGAATTGACCGTGTCCAGTTGAGCCCATGTTTAACATCTGAAATGATTTTTGTTGCTGTTGCTGTTGCTGACGTTGCTGTTGAAAAGCAGCATTCACCTGTTTCATGTGAAGTGATTGAGCACTTGCTGGTCCCGGAGTCGACGTAGAATTCAAACTGTTCAATAATCCTGAATGAGCGTTTGCATCTATTCCGTTCGCATGGTTCAATACGCTTGCCATAGACCCAGATGCGGTGGTAGAAGATGAGACAGCACCCCCATTTGGAGCGAGCGGGTTAGCTGGCCTGCGCTCCTCTAATGCATCATACATTACAATGAAGTCCTTCTTTACTTTCTCCCAACTATTCGGATCAAAGAAAATATAGCTCCCTCTTTCGAACGTTGGTGTTTTAGATTGCTCCGAAGCTTGATCTTTCATCAACCATAGTCTTAATTCTTTGTGATATCGCCAGTGTCGGTTATAAAGCTCCAATGCAGCCGCATCCTGAAGGACATCTCGTGGTATCGTATAAAAAATGTAAAACAGCGTTTCATCTTGAACCGAACCAAGCTTGGCTTGTGGTGGAGGGGGTGGCTGTACATTATAGCATGCAGGTACATGGAATTCTGCTTCTACATCTGCTGATGTAGGAACCTCAAACCATGGAGACGCAAATGTCCCATATAGCGGTCTATTTCATGAAAACAAATCCGTAATAGTTTTTGGGAGCATCCCGCAAACGGATCAGACCAGAGTCTCTATCTGACAAAAAAATAAAAAAAAAAATGAGAAATAAACAAGGAGACACACTTACTCTGCAGAGTTCAAACTGAGGCCCAACGTAGTCAGATCACGACCAAGTGTGAGGGTGGTTGAGTCCTGATCTGCCGTGCGAATAACACCAAGCATTCCAAACAAACCAAAGCGATCATGATCACTCAATGCAGTCTCAGTTAGTGTTTTCATATCTGTTGATGCATTTACAGAATTGGAGAGCCCTAAATTCGACTCGACTTGTCTTGAAGGATTCGTCGTTACTGCTCCTGACTGTGATGAGCTCAGGTTTGATGGCACGTTGCTACCAGCTTTTGATGTAGCAGAAGAAGAGAGCGCTGACGTCGATGACATGGGACTACTTGCTGTCAGGAATAGCCCTGATCCATTTCCGGCTTTTGTTGCATAACTCTAAGGCAGGGTGAAAAGCTGATATGAGCAACCTTGTAAAGGATAGCTAAGACATGAGGTATTGAGCCAAGTCCGCAGTTGTGAGGTCGTGGCTACCTTTGTCGACTTTCCAAGATCATTGGATGAACTTGAGAGGTGGACACTGAGTGGAGAATGAGAACCTACCATGGAAACATGAATGTATCCATATAAGAGTTCTATACTTTATAGATTTGCCTGTTGCTCAATTAATACAATCATCCTGCTTTTTCGTACCATTTAGATGCAAAATCTGCTGTTGCGCCAATGATTGCTGCTGTTGAAACATAATGTCATTAGCCAGTTGTTGTTGAAGCTGCATGGACTGCTGCATCTGTGGCCCTGATGAAGGGCTTATCAGAGATGAAAATGCCCCCAAGCCATCAAGTTGCGACTGTTGAAGCATATGCTGCGCTTGTTGCTGCGAAGGATGATGCTGCAAAGTTTGTTGGTTCCGAGACGAACTCTGTTGCTGTTGGTGTAGTTGCATCGAACCGAAATGACGACCAGAGCCAGCAGAGTTGGGTCTTGCACCTGGCAATGCTGGGAAATCATCCTCTATGCTAAACTCCTGTGACAACCCATTGCCTGCAGTAGATGAATTTGCATTCACCAGTGTTCCTGCCGTACTAGCGTAACTAGCAGATGATAGACCAGGATTAGAGGATGCGCTATTGACGCTCCCAAGAGCAGGAAAATCCGACATATCAAGGATCTCATGCTGATGTGTAGGGTGTTGGTGCAACTGTTGCGATGTCGGATTTTGGTGTTGTTGCTGCTGCTGTTGCAACAAGGATGATTGCATGACATTTGGGAAACCAGAAAGAGGAGGCCGCGTTTGATTCATTCCGGGCATTGGTCCCGATCCGTATCCCCACCCTTGGTTTGGTTGCCCTAAAGTCCAATGGCAATGGAATGCAGATTTACAAATGAATAAAAAAAATGAAGCTTATGCCAATAACTAGAACAAAGAAAAAAAAACTTTCTTGCCCAATCCATTCAAACAAACACAGAGATTGTCAATATCCAATTCTTTTGCTACAGCTCATATAGTAGATGTACCCATCTCAAACGATCCATGTCTGCCATTGGGTATTCTTCCCGTTGCTTGAATCGCTGAGGCTCGTTGCTGCTGTTGTTGCATATGTTGCTGGAATTGCTGTTGTTGTTGTTGTGGTGTCTGCATGACTGATGGAAGCCAAAAAAAATAAAATAAATAAATAAATAAATAAAAAAATGATGATTGCGACGAACTGTTAGTAACCAAAAGCAGAAAAAAGTAGAATCAGGAGTTTTCAAATAATCTTTTTCAAGATTATAATCCCTGCAACTACTAGTCGTTCACTCCTTTTTACCGACTGAAATGCATACAATGCGCGTGTTGATCAGGAGTAGGAAGTGGATTAAAAGGATCTTTTGCTTGAGGTTGCGTGTCAATATTCAGCACAAAGTCATCATATTTTGAGTACAGCGCAAACCTCTCTCAAAATACGTCATAGGTAAGTCCCCATAGAGGAAATAAATATTCACCTTTGAACTTAAAATTACTTAATTCCGATATATAAGTCACATGATAATAAATATTTTTTGGAAGGTCCCTTTGTAGATATCCATGGCGCCATATGCAAAGTTGCTCATTTCAGACTCAATCGGACTATTTCCGCCTGGGGCCTATAGCTGGTACTGGAGCGCAACTATTGAAATATGGTTTCACGTTTTCTGACCAAAGTTAGTTTCCGTAATTAAGTGATAAGTGCAGCAAGACAGAGTATATGACTAATCTAGCCAACAATTTCAAAATTAGTTTTGCAATACTTGGTAAAAAGAAGAGAGCGCGGCACAGATACACCCAAAATTCACAGAACCCTCAGGTTATATGTATTTTTCAATTACGAATGCAAAGGCGGCAGAATCGCTGCCAGTTACATATGCAGGAAAAAAAAGCTTTCTTAAAGGAAAAGCGGGCAGGTGGTGGAAAATAGCAAATTTTCGATACTCTACGGTCATTTACTCAAGAACTGTTGAATAGAATATCAATAACCAGGGTTTATATCGTAGCTGTAGGTGAGTTGAACGATCCCTTATATTAGCTAGGCTCTACCTCTCATGGTTCGGGTGCAATAGTCTGTTGAGTGTGTCAAAAATGGCATAATTTTGGTTTTTTCTATGCTTCCAATACTTTGTACAGGTGCTACTCCATGAATTCTGAACGGATTCCCTTAGGACCTATTTTAGACGAAAATCAATAAGCTCTTCTATCGACCATTCCAAGGACATCTGCTTTCCAGCGCTGTATCAGGAGTCATCAATTTTTAAAGTCTGTAAAGACCTTAAAAGCACTCAACTTTTTCACAATTTTAGATACTATCTCTATAAATACTGAAAGGATCCTTTTCGTTCTTTTTTTATTTGGTGCCTATTTGAGTCTTCTATTACACATTTTATGGGCATAGTTCCATCATTCTGAGAAAGGTGGTTATAAGCACTTCATTAGCATTGGTGATGGGAGAAACCTTAATTTGGTTTAATTTTTTTTATAACACTGTCGTTGCCGTTTCTTAGTTCCAGAAGTGTTAGGGATTATTGGCACACTATCTAGCGTATTTACAACATGCTTCAACTTCCCTACAGTCTCCTTTGACCTATCTATAATATCAGAGTTTTGAAGAAACTTTTTAATCAACTCAAGCAACTCATCAGTTTCTTCGCTTTGTTGATCCTCCTCAAGCAGAGCCTCAGCCTGATTAAGCCCACTCTCCTCTTCAATCTGATATTCACCATGCTCAACAGTTAAATGTTTGTCCATCACCAATGGCATTACCTTTTTAGGAAGACTCAGTGGACGTTCTTCGTCATTCTGCTTAACTTTGAACAACACAAGCATATGCATGCATGGACGACGCTTACTAATAAAGAATTGGCAATTACATCCTGTGATGGTATTGCTCTCATCGACCCTGACGTTATACATACCACGCCCAGTTGTAGGCGAGATAACGCAATAATGCCCTTCAACATAGATGACCAGATCTCGTAAATCTTCAATACTTTTGTTATCTAAACATCTTTCTTGCAAGATATCTAACTTCTCGCCTTTGGAATGTCGACCATGCCGAACAACGCTACGCATTGCTAATGCCTGATAGAAGTCATCTACATCATGACTTAGGAGATAGATCAGTCTGTCACCTCGGCAGTTAGTATGGCCTCGTAGGAAATGGGACTTGAGGTGATTATGCCAAGACTCCACATAATTATTGGTATCCATGCCGGCATAGAATTTACCAACACAGTATGGCTTCATCCACCGTTGTCTTCGTCCTTCGATAAAGTATCGTTCTTGGAGGTACTCCCAAAGTTTCCCCTCATTGTGCTCCGACCATTTCTTTTCGAATTCAACTATTTTCTCACCGGCGCTCCGGAAAGCTGGATCATAAAGGATCGAGCGGAGATCATTCGTTGCAGATTGCCGAAGTTCCTTACTTTGGTTCTTATCGGCACCTCGGATTAAGGTCGAGAGCTTGCGGGCCCAGGATTTCATCACATGCCATAAATGGATAGTTACTTCCTGACCAAATGCTTTACGGATGGCCTTGTATTCCACCTGAGCGTCATCAGTAGTAATGAACTCTGGGGCGCCAACCATATCCTTGATATGGGACAGTCAACTTGCTAGAGAGTGGTGGCTATGGTCATTGGTGATCAAGAAAGCGACAGGAACGGCACTCATTCGCAGTGGATCCTGGATTATTATTGTAAAAAGCTCGAACTTGGAGCGGTTCGTTCCATGTGTTGAGTCCAGCCCAACACATTTAAATTCGAGCTGTATACTGATCGCTGAAAAGGAGACATGAACCCATGGGCGAATTTACGAATTGCCTTCCCATCCTGCCCTACCATGGTGAAACTCTTTGTGAATATAGTAAACTGTTTCTCTTGCTGCAGCTTTGACATCCAGAGCTTCATCGAGTCCATGTCGTTGTCTGATAGTTTTGTCAGAGCAGAAATGTGTGTGTAATAAATGTTATAAACATCATCATATGTAAGGACGCTGTCGCGCTGTACACGCCCTTGTTTATGGTGGGAATATGCCTGAGGCCCGGCCAAATTGATTTTAACAATTATCCCTCTAGTACTCAAGCCAAGACAAACCAAGTTTCGGATCCGTGTTTTTGTTGATTCCGACATGGTAAGGTACTGGAAATCATTAGGATCGCCAAGGACATGCCCTGTGTGCCTATAGTAGTAAGTGATACGGAGTTGCTTCTTTCCGCCCTTCATTGCTAATTCGGGATCTCCACTATCGTCTTTCATGTTGTGGACTATGAGCTTTGCTGTACATCCGACTTTCTGGCTCTTCTTAAAGACGCGCCTCCTTTTCTTTTGCCTTTGTTCCTGCTCAGGCTCTTGAGGGATGTCTTGAGGAACGTCTTGAAGAGCGGTTTGAGCGCGGTTTTGGCCTCGTGAGTCATGGTTACGATGGCATTCGTAGGTTTGAAAATAAAAATACTTGCTTCTGCCATCTGGCTTATTATCTCAATGTACGCGACGCATCCAGACAAAATAATGATCGCGACTATCTTGCTCAAGCCAAGAGTTGAAGTCCTCCTCGTTAACGTAAAATATTCGGGCAGGTAGTCATACAGTTCCGTACGGGAGTCGTTTACAATATCCTTTATCGTTTCATCATCGAGAGTCGACTTAATCCATTGGTAATCATGCATTTTGAGCGCAATATCTCAGTCGTTATTTCATTCACCTTTGCAAAGACCCTCTCGTCTAGTTCTGAACTTTCTGAGCCATCTGGCATCAGTGAGCTCTCTCCGATACCAACGTCTGCGGAAGGATGGATGCTAGTGGCTTCAAGAAGAGGTATAGGTGGATCAAGCTCTATTTCAGAGTCAGATCCCGACGCTTCATTCGAATAGTCATTGGAGTCAACAATCCACGAGTCCCAGTCAGAGTCTGACTCCTCACTCCCATGGTCACAGTCAGAATCGAACTCTTCTAGATCATCAACACGACCTTGTCTACATCATCCAACAAGTTATTCATATTAAGCTCCAAGCTCTACACAGGAAGCAAGGACGAGGTGAACCAAGAGATGATCAATAAATGTGTTAATATTTATTATTGAAAAAAAGAACATAGCCTTCATACCATAATGTTTTTTCGAGATGATCTACCTGAATGCAGAAATAATACACGTTAATTCACATTCAGATTCATTCAACATTCGGCGTGCAATTGTCAGTTCGTAGGATGAATATCGTTAATGATTTGTATCTGAGAGTTGAGCAAGAACAACCGAAATGTATTATTTTTTTTTGACGAACGCGTGAAGACGAAAAAAAAAGACATATTAGAATCGCTTTTATTATTCCCCTTAATGGTTCTACATTTAAGGGAATTCCCAATGCAATAACAAGCGAGTCAATTGACTAATACATTTAATAGTATTCAAAAAATATAAGGGATCGCGACCAAATGGAACGGGCCATATTTGGCAAAAAAAAAAAAAAAAAAAAAAAAAAAAAACAAACTACAAGCTAAACTTTTACAAGATCCCTCGGATTAGCATTGATGTCGAAAGGGTCTTGTGTGTCGATATCGAGCTCCTCCTAACCTCAAATAAGTGGAATTGCTTTATATGTTACAAACTTCTCTTTTTATGAAAGCTCGACGTCTCCCTCCCTAAAAAAGAAAAAAAGCCCGACGTGAATCTCACCAGTAGTTCTTTGGGTTTGCCAGGAAGGCTCTCTGTCACGTTCGCAAACATGTCTTTAAACTAATGAGCGATATCGGAATGGCTTTAGTGTGGAAGACAAAGACAACACAGGCAGGAAGACCTCTTCAAATATTACAGAAAAAACTTACAAGGCGTCGCCTCTCGGACCATAGTCTACGATGACGCTCCAACTCTTTCGCAACTCGTTGTTTTTCTTCAGTGCTAATGAGCTGTGCTCCAGTACGCAACATTGACAGGTGTTGCGCCAATTGTTTATTCTATCAAGATTATATCGGAAAAGACCCGTTAGTTTTGAGCAGTTGCTCGGGTATGTCTCGACACAAGGGAGTGATTAAGCACATCGAACCTTGTTTGCAATTTGATCTAGCTTGCCAATGATCTGTTCGGTTGTCAGCGAACAATTAAGCGCATGTAGTTCTATATAAGAAGGGATTAATAACGATGAAAACATTGCTCTTCCGCGCAACACCAGCTCAATGGCATTTTCTAGATCATGTCTTCTGTATACCAGACGTAAGCTCTTTGTTTTTGGCTTTTGCCTGTGCAATTTGATTTTGGAGCTTTGCAGTTTCTTGCTCAATGACAACAATCTCTTCAGGTGGTGTGATATCGATCAAGTCCTTGATAAATTTGATAATGTTGAAAAATAGTCAGCAGAGACTCTCCAAAGGACTATAGTCTACTACATGCGCACAAAATAAACCAGTAAATGTATGTACCTGCCGTACGACATAAATCGCCTGCTTCCCATACAGCTTAGTTGTCACCAGTTCCTTGTCAACGAGAGTATTCAAGGCACGTTGGCACTCGGCTTTTGTTATCGCACCATGCAAGTTGGTAATGATGTCCACTAGCCATGGTCAAAACTTCATTAGGCTCAAGGTTCATGTACTTGATCATGAACAAAATAATGCCGGATCCCACACTTACTGACACCATACGGCCTGTTCTGCTTGGTAAGGTAGTCTAGCACGACTTTCTCAGACTGGAATGAGAACAAATTGATCAGTACCATGCCAAAGCAACCCATGCACTTGACAATCCAAATGAACAAACCTTGTCTCCACCTGTCTTGCTAATTGATGATTTTTCCTTTGGCATAGTGGCACAAGACAGAGTATCGCTTCAGCAGAAGTAAAAGAATGTAATCAAAAGGAATAAACCAGTCGAGAGGCGATTGAAAAAGGAAAACGCCACCAAAAGCTTTATTAACTCCAACCGAAGATAGTGGCCGACAGGATGCATCCACTATGCTCCATAAAGATCATTATTAGCATACTATATTTCTGGTAGTCCTCATACGCAAGGGTTTAAATGTCTGTTTTTCGACTGAGGAACATTGCCGACGGCGAACGCGAGCGTCTTCGGTAGAAAGACGTTTGGGTTCAGAGCCACGTGTGCAGGTTGTTCATTGGGATAAGAATAATACTAATGGTCACTTCTTACTTGTGTTCACCACCAAAGAGCAAAAATATATAATATTTGTGTACAATCTTTGCTTCCTCCTACGTTTTCAGTCGATGTCTGCTACCGGCCACTAAGAAAGATACGCGCTCTGTCTAAGAAAATTACAAACTGGTAGATTGATCAACATGAACTTATAACGCCAATTTGCTTTGCTCTCTCCCTGACGGAAAATACGAACAAACACTTCTTGAGTGCAGTGCGTGAACCCAGTTCTTCCTGTTACCAATACAGTAGTTTAATAATCTCTTCTACCCTTCAACGCTAGTAGTGCTCCTAGCATTCTTCTTTATTTTTTTTTTTTTTTCTTCCTCACTCCTTTATTCAAAATCATTGAAGACTTGATTCTAAAATGTAACTGTATGGGTATCTGTCGCGTTATATTTTCTTTCTTTTTTTTTTTTTTTTTTTTTTTGCTTGGGCTATGACTGTGTCCTTTACTAATAGTTTGTTGCCACTACTCCGGCTCGTTTGATTGTATAACTTCGAATAACAGGTGCGGCGAAGATCAGTTGATCCAGTATTGTGCCATCCTAATTGGAATCAAAGGCAACGTTTACACGACGCCGTCCTGGACCTGTGCGAGTCCATGGTTGTAAAACTGCCTTCTAGGATTCAGTCCATCTCCTTACAGTCCCAGAAAAGCCGCTTGTTGATGAGGACATAGTTTCCGTCCCGGTCACTGCAAAGAGTCAAAGGATGTTGAGTGCGTCTTGCAACAATAGAGACGCGGCTCCTAAAATCGCTCTTGCCCACCACGAGTACAGACGTTGATCAAGGCGAGTATAAATTCCTGGATTAGGACACTTGTGAGTCTACTTTCGCAGATCATGGAAGCGAGATTACCCGATTACTCGCAGGATCCCTCGTCTTCTCTGGACCGAATGTCCCGTTCGTGTTGAAGGTAGAGGTGTATGGCTGCAGGAATTCTTGAGACCCTAAAATAAAGACCTTGCATATCTAGACTGGAATAACTACATTGTAAAGGCAACAGTCCACAATCGCTGCCAATGCATCCTCAATGGGACAGCTAAGTGGAATACTCTTGTCACTTCTGCTGTCATTCTAACGGACAGTCGCATCATTGTGGGCTCTACCAACGCCCACTTTAATCCATTCTCAGGAATACCTTGGTTGTGAGACAGTTGCGATCGAAATTCCATAGCGACGCAACGTTTGAATAAGATGTAGCTGTTCATTTCCTTTTCCGTGAACGCAGGTACTTGTCTGTGACCTTAAAGACTCTCTGAGAGCACTTTTTGGAGAATGCCCGAGTGGTACCAAGACAGTTATATATGTATTCTTTCTTCTCTTCAATGATTCAAGACTGCCATTGACGAGTTGGTTGAGAAAGGTATCAAGGACAACAAGGATAACGTGCAAATATTGAGTGATTTGTAGGCTTTCCTTGCTGACTTAGAAAAGCAAGATGCAAGTATCAGCATCTTGGAGCCTGTCAGCCGTCGCCTCCATACCTTAGTTGAACACTGCGGTTACCATATTTCAGGACTGAACCAAGCCGTGGCGACAATGACAGATGGAAGCCTGAATCAATGTCCTATTTAAAACAAAGTTGAATTTAAACGGTGGTGAACAAAAATATCCATTTTAGTTTCATTTAAATATCCTAGTGAGGGCTTGCTTCATCATCATGAACGTTGGCATCAAGAACCCTTCGATCTTGGCAATGAGGCAGCTGCCTTGGAGAAAGATGATCTGCCACCGTCGCTGGATTAGTCGTTTGACTAATCTATGGCGCTGCTAAACAGAGAACTCAATCTTTTACCTTATCTCAGATCTGACCCCTTGCTGCTACATAAAGATTGGCCACGAGCGATATTTTTATCCAAAGCTCCATAGCATGGAGAACTTTTCTGGCAAGATCCTCACGATCAAAAGGCGTATATCAAAAAGCTCTTGGCCGCACAAACGTAAAAGATAAATCTTTCTCTAGTGATCTATACACAATTTGTGCCATTCAAATAAATTTAGGGACATTCATGCCTATGAAGGTCTGTGCGCCCGCATGTTTTGGATTGATTGGATTGATTGGATTGATTGGGCTGATGGCTGGTATCCCAATTGTGGGTCGTAGAAAAGCGAACTGTAAAGCAGTTCGGCTGATCTATAAACATTTCACAGATGGTGAACATGAATCAATGTGGTGACAAAATACGGTTAGTCTACCTTTTAGGATAGCCCCTCATACTTTTAAAGTCTTCATTTGAAACGAAAAGGCAAAGGATAGTAATGCTTTAGTTCATTTTGTGATACTATCTTAGTCCAGGTGTGTCCTAACCCTAATACGCACACATATAAAATCACTATTTCATGATCAACAGCGAAGAAAAAAAAGCATCATAGAATCAGATCAAGTAATAGGAAAAGCAGTTCAGGAAGATTATAGACGAGATGATAACAACAAACATCGCCATGGAGCCCGTAGAAGAAAAAAAAAAATGCTAATAAAAGATTCCTAATTGTCCCTGAGCACTGTGATTTACAACACCGCTGGGACCTGGCTAATTCCCTTTCTGGTTAGACTAAAGTCCATTACGAATTTGTAAAGAACTTTTTAATTGATTTGAACCCGCCCAAAACAGGCAACAAGCACAAGCCCTACTATCTCGCAGATGAACAAACAAGAGACATGGCACATGCGCAGAGTTTTTTCTTCCTTGGTGTTGTGATGATAATTGCATAATTGATTTCTCTCCTTTGTGTCAACAAAATTGCGAATGGTTAGCAAGTGAACCTACTTGTTTTCTACCTCGTTTGCAATTGACTTTTTTTTTTGTGGGTTAAAGAAAGTTGAGAACATTCAGAATAATTTTTTTGTGTTTCTATTGGTACCAATCAGCGTATTTATATTACTTGTGCTATAGACTATTGCTATAACCATAATCGTAACCATCTGTATTCATTTTTGACTATTGAGGAGAAGCATGTTCATACTCTTTGAATGAATTTATATATTTTATAAGCTATTAAGAGAAATGGTAAATGGTGTATAATATTTTGTTAGTGATTGTGCGTGTAGAAGGAGATTAAGAAGGACGAAAGATCCTAAGAAACAGATATATATATACTCACTTTTCTTTTGTTATGTTCAGGATGGGTGGCGGGGTGCTTATTTTATTTGTACAAAAATATACAAATGCCCGAAGAAACATTTTCGAAGTAAGGTTGGTGAATCATTTGTGCAGTAGTGCCGATGGGCTCATCCTCAAACTGAGCTACTATCATGCCTAGAAGCTAGCAGTCAGGTACTATTTATTAGGCTGAGCTAATGGCATTGGCTGGTGGATAATGTACTAAAAAAGACTGCAGCGATGGCATCCTTCGCCTCCCGTTGGCTCTAATTCCATGTACACTACCAAACACCCCTAACTCGCTCCTTCGTACATGTACACAATATTCATTTGAATATTTGACTGTGCACTCCTGTTCTAATCCAAATCGATTAGTAACTCTCAGTCACATCTGTGCCAACACTAGACTCCAGACATATCGCACTAAATACCACCCCACTGTTCTCCTGTAACATGTGCTTCAAAAAAGGAAAAAAAGAAAAAGGAATGATAACTCTACTCGATGTTTATATTTTAATGTCTCCGAAGAGTTGCCATTGGTGCCCAATGCGACCAATTTGGATCGAGAGGTTGAGCAGCGAGTCAGCATTCATCTTTGCTCCACCTTGCTGCACTACTTTTTTTTTTTTTTTTTTTTTTTTTTTTCTATTGTCTAAATATAATATTATTGTCACTGAAATATGTTGTCTGTACAATAAATCATCTTACTATTGGCTATCTTCATGACCAACCATCCATCATTGGATTCTGTCGTCTCATGACAAGTTTTTTTTTTTTTTTTTTTTTTCTTTACTGCACAAGTACACAAAAGACCCAACAACATGATTCGCCCTTTTTTTTCTTTTTTCTTTTTCAAGAACAAGTGGATGAATAAAATAACAAAAAAACCTCTTCTTCTACCCTTTATCTCTTTTTCTTTTTTCTCTTCGCTTTCCTTTCCCCTTTGTCCTTTCCTTTCATCCATTCATCCTTTCCTTCCTTCCTTCCTTCCTTCTCTCCTTCCTTCCTTCCTTCCTTCCTTCCTTCCTTCCTTCCTCTTCATTTCTCCTCATCGCTGACTCTCTTTTTGCTTACATCATTGATCCTGTCACAAGCTCACTTTTCCTGACCTCCCCCTTGTCACTCCTCTCTTTCTCCCCGCCTTGTCTTTCTCTTTCTAGTTCATTAACCCTGTCTTTATATCCTTCCTCTCAAATCACATCTTGCTCTTTTCTCCTATCCGTTGCATTTTCTTTTTTCTTCACTCTCTAACCGCCACTCTATCACATTTAATGGCCGGTCCCACCATGTCAGCCTCTCATATTATCCATCGCGGACGTAGCGTCTTCTCAAAGCTCAACAAGAAATACAGGCTCCCTGTCTCCACTGTCTCCTCTGCTAGTGGTGCACCTATTTGCTCTTCGTCCTCTTCCTCTCTATGTCCCTTCTCAACCACTTCTTCCTGCGATTCATTCTCAAAAGCAAATGCACCTTTGGCAGATACTTCGGTTGCTTCTGCAGTTATTCAGGATCCTCAGGATGCTGCCCGGGCTCAACGCCTTTTTGAGCTTGCTCAGCAGTTGCTCTTTGGCCGTCACGGCCACACAAAGGACGAAGCTGCGGCTGTCGAATATTACCGTATGGCTGTGCAACTCGGTCATTTGGAGGCGCAGGGCGCTCTCGCTTTTTGTTACGAATTCGGCCTAGGAATCCAAGCGGATTTCGTAGAGTCTGAACGCCTTTACATCCTCGCTGCGGAACGAGGCAATGGTCTTGCCATGTCTCGCCTTGCTTTCTTGCGCAAGTATGGCCGTCCATCTGTCAAGATCGATCGTATCGAGTCCGAGTACTGGCAGCAAAAGATCAACCAACAAGGCCCCTCCGCCTTGACCTGGCTCATGGAAGCTGCCTCTGTCGATAACCACGACTGCTGTCAGTATGCTCTCGGTGTCTGCTTCCATGATGGTGTCGGAGTCGAGAAAAATGCAACTGAAGCTTTTTGCTGGTACCAAAAGTCTGCTGAACAAGGTAATGCACGTGGCCAAGGTATCCTTGGCTATTGCTATGGCGAGGGCTTTGGTGTGGAGCGCGACCGTCATAAGGCCATGTACTGGTATCGCATTGCTGCTGAACAGGGCGAGTCCGTAGCCTTGTATAACATCGGATACTGTTATGAAGATGGTCTCGGGGTCGACCGTGACCCTTATGAGGCCGTCAAGTGGTATCGTCGTTCCGCCGAGCTCGGCAATGCTTTTGCTCAAAACTCACTCGGATATTGCTATGAGGATGGCGTCGGGATCGAACAAAACCTGGAGCTCGCAGCAGAATGGTATACAAAATCAGCAGAGCAGGGTTACCCCTGGGCAGAGTGCAATCTCGGATACTGCAATCAGAACGGTATCGGTGTGCCTAAGGATGATGCCAAGGGCGCATACTGGTATCGTAAGGCTGCTTTACAGGGACATGCACGTGCTCAACACAATCTCGGATTCTGTTACCAGAACGGCATCGGTGTTCCTAAGGACCCTGTCGAGGCCGTCAAGTGGTACATGAAGTCTGCAGAACGCGGTAACATCTTTGCGTTCCATTCACTTGGATATTGCTATCAGAACGGAATTGGTGTTCAGCAAAACCTTGATGAAGCCGTATACTGGTACTATCTCTCCGCTGAGGAGAACCATGCGCCTGCTCAACTCTCTCTCGGTTATTGCTTCCGTAATGGGGTCGGTGTGCCCAAGGAGCCTAAGGAGGCTGTCAAGTGGTTCTATCGTTCTGCCATTCAAGGAAACGCGCTTGCTCAAAACTCTCTTGGATTCTGCTATGAAGAAGGTCTCGGTGTTGAAAAGGATCGCAAAAAGGCTGTGTTTTGGTATGAAAAATCAGCAGCACAAAACAATCCTTGGGCTCAGTGCAACCTTGGCTTTTGTTATGCCAACGAGATCGGTGTGGACCAGAACTATGAAATGGCAGTCAAGTATTATTCTTTGGCGGCCGCTCAAAACCACGCTCGTGCTCAAGACAAGCTAGGCGTATGCCTACAGCTCGGTCAAGGAATTGCACAGGATGTTAAACTTGCTGTCCGTTATTTCAGACTTGCTGCTGAGCAGGGCCATTTGGCAGGACAATACCATCTCGCCAATGCTTTGGTGAGTTGATAGACCTTGGTTTTATGTAGTATTCTTGATCGTCCAAGGGTGCGAATCCTCATTATTATAGATCTTTGACTGATTTTTTTTTTTTTTTTTTTTGAAAAAATGTTTGGCAAAATAGGAAAAGGGCTTGGGATGCGATGTCGATCTTGAGGAGGCATCTATGTGGTTCGAGCGTGCTGCAGCAAACGGATGCAGGACTTCACATGAGCGACTTCAGCGTTTGTTAGCACGCGCATGTCTCCAGAATGGCCTGGAAAGCAACTATAACGGGCTATTCCTTGGTGCTATTGGACACTGTGCCCCTGCAGCATAATTTATTGATCCTGTTTCTATGTTTCTATTGTGTATTCCCAGGGCTATGAAACCCCAAGCTCTTCATGCGTCATATTCCATTTCTTGCATTCTTTCCTTTTTTTTTTTTTTTTTTTTTTGTAACTTATATATCATCCATCTTCCTGTAATTTTATCGTAGCTGTTTTTGTTAGTTTTTTTGCTTTTGTTTTTGTTGCTTGTCTTGTTTGTTTTTGCTTTTGGTTTTTTTTTTTTTTTTACGAGAATCTTGCTCTTCCAGTCTCATTATACACTAAAACAGTCGAATAAAAAGAAAAACTCATTTATCAATTCAGAGTAAACTATGTTGGGCAACTTTTCAACCGATGCCATTCCTCTATTGTCAAACCAGCCATCCAATGCCTCCAATGACAAATTGTTTTTCCAGTCATGGATTACATTGCCCTGAATTAAGATCTGCCTACTCAGCATCCCGATCACAGTGATCTCTAAACGAAACCCAGCTGCCTTCCAGTTCATCTTTCTATGTGTCTTTCGGGGCCACTCAATGATAAACATGGTAAAATTTTTATTAACGACTCATGTCTATCTGGAGCTTTGTTCGGTCTTTTTTATGTTCATTCTCTATTAATCTTCCGCTGCTCTTCCTTCCCTTTTCTCTCGCCCCTACTTTTTGTTCCAAGCCCTCTTACACTCCTTGAATAGATCGCATCGCAAAGGGCCTTTCAGCTGTCGTCTTTTCTGAGACCAACAATTAAACAAGATCATACCGATCACCCCACCATCTGTATTCATATTTCTGCTACTATCTCCCCATCTACGAATCGGCCAAACATCTGGCACATGGCTACCACAAAGAACATCCTCGAGAATATTTTTGGGATGCTGGGGATCATCTTTTGGAGCTTACAGTTGTTACCTCAGGCCATTGATAATTACAAAACCAAGTCTACGAAAGGTCTATCCTGTTCCATGTTTTTCATTTGGACGTTGGCTGCCCTGGGATTTGGATCATATGGCGTAGTGGAAGGGCTGTCAATCCCTATCATTGTCCAGCCACAAATATTTGGCTCGTTGTCAGCATTGTGCTGCCTACAATGCCTTTACTATGGCAAGAGGACCCAATGGTCTATCAAGAACACTATTATAGGTGGCATTTTAATGTTTGTGGCTATGGCGAGCATTCAAATTGCTGCTATATATGCTACAAGGGTAAGATATCTGATGTTAGTCACTGTATCTATCGCATTGTGCATTGAAACACAGAAAAAGATCTTTATTTTGTATATAATGACCATGTTTGCATTTGCAATAGGCAGGTAAAGATCATGAGGTTCTAGGTACGACGATCGCAGCGGGACTGATTCCTATCATTCTACTAGCCATTGGATTTATACCTCAGTACATTGACATCTATAAAAGCAAGTCCGTAGTAGGTGTTAGCATGGCATTCATCGCTGCGGATGCTATGGGCGCAATGTTTTCGATTATCAGTCTTTGCTTCCGTGATACGTTCGACCTCTTGGCTACACTCAACTATGTCGTAGTCCTAATCTGCGATTTCATTATTTTTGGATTTTATGTTTACTACAACAAAATGAATCCACAGATCAAGGATAGCAGAGTCAACAATGAAATTGAAAGGGCGAGGAAGCCAGAATCCACAATTGTCACCATTAGGGAGTCTCAAATATAGGAGAAAGATCATGTATACTTTCCTTCATAATGAAAGTAGAATTATAATTCCAAATACATTTACCGGCTTGAAGAAAACCTTATTTATCCATAGTTATACTATTCTCATATAACTTTTTCACTGCTTTACTACTAATATGTTTATAATCCAACATCCATGGTCAAATATATATACCATATTATTTGAAAATCTCTCATCATTTCTCCTGCATCTTCATGCATAATAAAACAGTAGCAAGCTCAAGCAAGGTAATTAACCAACAAAAAAAATAAATAAATAAAGATAGGGTGAAGACGCGTCTTTGGCTCGTAACTATTAGTAGGATGCGTGGGTAAATGTATTTGCAAGCGACTATAGGAGGGAGTTATGATGACAAATGGTGGTTATTTTATGCGATACAAGTGTCGCAAAGTCAGTGGCAGAAAGAAACGGCTGTTCGGTCACATCAAGCCAACATGCGGTAAATACTTCAAGTGCATCACTTGGCTTAAACTTTAGCATTCCCAGCTGCCAATTTAGTTGTACAATATGCAAAGACAAAGATAAACAATGCTCGCATCCACCCAACCCCTACATGTAAATGTACAGCAACAGATCTTTGTTACTACTGTTGTTTTCCTTCTTGACTATGTACAGGAATGCAGTTTAGACATATCATACCAACCGGGTGTTTCTTCCGTTGGCTTATTGAGCCAGCATGTAAGGAATCTGCAGCTTCACCCAACAGAGATGGAGAGAAAAGTTTTAAGAATGATAGACAGATAGTCTACTGAAGCACAATACAACTGTCCTTACGAACGTATTCTACCCTTATATTAATTGAATTAGCTCTAAAAAGAGCGATGCTGAATAGACATGAAGACAGGCATTCTTTGCGGGGCTGTCAAATTATCTCATAATGTGAATGTGAAGGTGAGGACAGTAATACGTGATGACAGACTACTATATGCTGAAGACTGGGATGTTCACGACACTAGGATAGATATACTTTCTTTTTAAAGTGTGTCCGCCGTACGTGTGTTTTAAAGATAGATAGGAAAAGACTGTTGCACTAACTTAACTGTATTCTGTTGGAATGAAATGATATGCAATGTGTATCCACATGCATGAACACAATGTTTATTTATGACCCGATGGATAAGGAGAGGGAGAATGTGGCCTGTTCAGTTGTATGGAGGAACGGTGTGTGGCCTGATTTTCTGTGCTAGCCTTGTCAATTATATCTACTATCTCAGCCTATTTCGCTTCTAATTGACCAAATGGCCCAACAGAATCAGACGGACTTTGATTTATTTTTTTATTTTTTGTAAGTTACTTCGGATAGGATAGGTCGGGACTGAAATGCGAACTCTTCACAGCATTTGAAAGTTGTTCATTTCTTCCATCTCATTCCTATTCCTCTTTTCCTTCTTTTCTCATCTTCACCACCACTCTCCTTGCTCCCACTTGTTGCATCGTCTAGATATCATCCCGTTCTTGTTTCTTTACTGTAGAGACATAGCCAGACACGCCTTGGCTCTCTACCTCGACACCTCCCTCTTGCAGTCATCTCTGGTTTCTCATCAGCTATCATGACCGGAAAGACCCATACCCCTGAGGCAAGAGCCACCAAGGATCATCATCCTCACGATAACAGCACGCATGGTCGCAGGAACAGTCACCATCGCCATCATCGCACTCATCATCATGATGATCTTGATACCATTGCATTGGATTCTCGCTATCAGAATTCAGCTCTGCGTCGCTTTCTGCACACATTGGCCTCAGTTACCACTATGCATCCTATCGAATCCATATCTCTCTGTTTAGTCCTAGCCTCATTTGCATACTTTACTCTCTTCAATACCATCCGCCATTCTACCTTTTTTGACATCAATAATGTAGTAGTTTATCAGCCTGCTACTGTCATTGCTAAACCTGGCATGGACAGCTTCATGCCCTTTGACAAACGTTCCAACAAAATCCCTAGAAATGCACAACAATTACAACTGAATCAGGTTTTGATTACTGCCGATCCTTCCGTTTCTGCGTCCTGGACTACCGCCGAGTGTAACGATGGTTGCTCAAATAATGCGATGAAGAAATCTCTACTTACTTCTGTTCTTCAGCTGCAAAATCTGATCGAAGATCAGGTCTTAGTCTCACCTATTCACCTCTGGGATAAAGATATGCAGAGCTTTATCAAAGATGGTGAGGTGCTCACTACTGTCACTGAAAACATGGATACTATCGACTATCTCTTCAAGGAAATTCGTTCCACTATCGTACCTGGATCCATCAATGATAGTACCTCGACCCTTGCATCTGTGCGCACCCCTACCCCAGCCTTGGTGCTATCATATGCGTTTGATGCTAATGGTCCATTCCAGTCCAGATTGGCACAGGCTTGGGAGTCTAAGGTTGCCCATCTGCACACACCTACCATGAAGTCACAGTCTAGGATTCTTCAGGACGAACAATCGGCTCTGGCTTGGATTGCCGTTGCGCTGCTCGATGTCACTCGGAAGATCCAGGGCTTAGTGCAGGTAGAGAGTTGTTATACATCTTTCTTGACCGGACTGAGCACTTTGAATTCGTGTCTAACTCACACTGCATTTTTTTTTTTATGGGCGATCAGAAAGCAAGTACAATCGACGTTTTTGTTATCCTGACAGCCTACTTCATCATGTTTTGCTCTTTTGGTCTGCTCTTCCACAATTTACGCAGACTTGGCTCCAAGTTCACGCTCGGTGTTTCCGTGCTTGTCGGCGGCGGATTTGCATTCATGGGTGCTGTTATTACCGTCCACAATCTTGGTATTTATGTTAATCCAATCCAGCTCTCTGAAGCCATCCCCTTCTTCATCATCACTGTTGGGTATGAACGTGCCTACACACTTTCCAAAGCCATTCTTCGCCCTAAAATTGCTACAGACCATGTCCCAGAGTCCATCCAAAAGCATGTTGTTTCTGCAATCGAGTCTGTCGGTCCCATATTGATCCGTAACTGTGCCATCGAAATTGCAGTTTTGCTCTGCGGTTTTCTCTCGGGCATCCCTGGACTCAGGGAGTTTTGCTTGCTCGCCGCCTTTATGCTCTTCTATGATCTGTGCCTTCTCTTCACTTTTTACACCGCCATTCTTACCCTTAAGCTGGAGCTGCGTAGGATCCGTGAGAGCAGCAAGTCGCCTGCATATTTCAGAGAGCTAACGTTGATAGCCTTGCTCGGACACAGCGCTGAGACGGCTGAGAAACAAAGTCCCGCCTCAGGGGTCCATTCTACCAAGCCAGAAACACGCATTGTGGCCAGGATGAAGCTCGCTATGATTGTTGGATTTGTTGCTATGCATCTTTTCAATGTTTGTACCACTTTGACAACCCCTATTACTGTAGACGCGTCTTTTGGTTCTTCTGTCGATGTCTCCAGCCCCACGGTTGCCCCTGTCCTTGATAGCCTTTTAGCAGTGCATCGTGCATCAAACCTTAAGGATCTACCCATGATTGTCGAGGTCGCTCCTGCGCTTACTTTCCAGTACCAGACTCCTATTGCCAGCACTGCTACCCAATGGACTGAACATCCTGTTGAAAAAATGATAGATCTTTGGTCTTACTTGATTCAGGATCCAGTGCTATCCAAATACATCTCGCTGACCCTGGCTGCTTCACTGTTGCTCAACATTTTTTTGCTCAACGTCGCTAAGCAGTCTCGCCAAGGTCTTGCCGCACCTCCATCTCAGACCCAGATCTCCTCTTCTGCCTCTGCAACAGGTCCTTCAACCACCACTGTGACAACTGTAGTGGCGACGACGACTAAGATTGCCGCCACGTCTCAGCAAAAGGTGCCTGCCAAGGTCCAGCCTACACATATTCCAAAAGTCGAGTCCCTTCCAGAGCCTCAGCCAGCCTATACTGACTCGGATTGCAATAAGGAAAATTGGGCCTTGGTTCGTCCAATTGAAGAGTGCCTGGCATTGGTTAAGACTCCTGGCGGTGCAACCTCTGTAACGGATGAAGAGATGGTGATGCTTGTCAATAGCAACAAGGTTCCGTCATATGCCCTGGAAAAGACTCTTGGTGACCTGACTCGCGCAGTCAAGATTCGTCGTGCTCTCATCTCGCGTGCATCCCACACCAAGACTCTGGAGACCTCACTCTTGCCCATGCATCATTATGACTACTCTAAGATTATCGGTCAGTGTTGCGAAAACGTGATCGGATACATGCCTTTGCCAGTTGGTGTTGCAGGGCCTTATAATGTAGACGGAGAGATGCTTTATTTACCGATGGCAACAACAGAAGGGACATTGGTGGCTTCGACCTCTCGTGGATGTAAGGCTATTAATGCTGGTGGTGGAGCAACTACCGTTTTGTTAGCAGATGGCATGACTCGTGGGCCTTGTGTTGAATTCCAAAACGTAACTGAGGCTGGTGCCTGTAAGAGGTGGCTGGATACGGAAGCAGGCTTCGAGGCCATGCAGGAGGCATTCAACTCGACTACACGCTTTGGACGTCTGCGTAAGCTCAAAGTGGCCGTTGCAGGTCGCCTAGTCTATATTCGATTCTCAACAACAACAGGAGATGCTATGGGTATGAATATGATCTCCAAGGGATGTGAGCGTGCTTTGGAGGCCTTAGGTGAAAAGTTCCCCTCCATGATGGTTATTTCTCTTTCAGGAAACTACTGCACAGACAAGAAGCCCGCGGCGATCAACTGGATTGAAGGTCGTGGAAAGTCTGTTGTAGCTGAAGCAGTGATTCCTGGCAAGGTTGTCGAATCTGTGCTCAAGACGACGGTCCATGCTTTGGTTGAGCTAAATACTAGTAAGAATTTGATTGGATCAGCCATGGCAGGCGCTATGGGGGGTTTCAACGCACATGCCGCCAATATCCTGACTGCCATATACTTGGCCACTGGTCAGGATCCAGCTCAGAATGTCGAATCTTCGAATTGTATCACACTCATGAAAGCTGTCAACGATGGTCAGGACTTGTTGATCAGCTGCACCATGCCATCGATCGAAGTTGGTACTCTGGGTGGTGGAACTGCTTTACCCCCACAGGCCGCCATGCTGGAGATGTTAGGAGTTCGCGGATCTCATCCTGAGGTCCCTGGTGCTAATGCCCAGCGTCTAGCACGTATTATTTGTGCTGGTGTCATGGCTGGTGAACTGTCGCTTTGTGCTGCTCTTGCTGGTAAGTTAATATTTTGCGCTTTTGACCATCAACATGACCCTTTTACTGTCAGTCCAATAGGAATTATGCCGCTTGGATTCTTATTTTATTTTTTTTATTTATTTACTAAAAAATAGCTGGGCACTTAGTCAAGGCCCACATGGCTCATAACCGTGCTCAGCCCGCGCAAACTGCCATCACTGCAGCTCCCACTACAACCGCTACGACCACGTTGACAGTTGCCTCGTCCTCGTCCGTAGCACTCACATCATTATCAACAGCATCACCATCATCATAAGCATCTGCAGGAATCATAGAGAAATCCTACAGCAAACCAAAAGTATCTACATTTTCTCCTAGACAAACACCCCTCTCATTTCTGTTTTTATTATTTTAAACAATCATTAAATGTTATATTGACGACAAACAGTCTACTTGACAATGCAGATTCCTGTTTATCTGAATACACGGTCTAATTGTTGCTATGAATTCCGATTTGGGCCTTATTTTCTTTACATAATTGTCTAATGCTACAACTACAAATTACCACAAGACACCAAAAAAAGAAAACCTGCTTTGACAATCTTTTTGTATTTGCTGATGTCAATCCATCAACATATATCTCTCTGTGTAGAGAAAAGATGAAAAAATTAAAGATATGAACGAATAAAGGAATGAAAGAAGGGGATGCCAATTACACGAAAGAATGGAAGTGATTGAACGGGGATGAAAGAATCACAAGTTGCTATCGAAATCCGCGGTGAGGCCACGCGATACGAGGACGGCATTTACTGTTTTGGCCGTTGAAATGGACAAACTCTTCACACAAAACCACCACATCCATACCTCCCAGTCTTTCTATCCCTTTCCCTTCTCCCAAGTTTTACTCCATCTTCTCTAGTTCCTTGTCTCTTTTTTCGTCTAAAGCCATGGCTTTCTCACCTTCCTCAACCTCTTATCCTTATCTTTCAGACCCATTGTCGTCTTTTCTCTCAGCACTTCAACCTGGCTTTCCTGAACCTTCATCTTCACACTCATCGTCGTCCGCCATTCCTATACATTTAGATGGTAGTGGCCCCCAAGCTTCAAAGGAGGTTGCCTGCAACACACAGCCTGATATCCTCTCTGAAAAGTTAACAAGAAAGAGCGTACATTTGAGCAAAGAATCCCAAGAGTTACTTGATCCACTTAGCAGCATTAAGGACGATAATACGAGTGTGATAATCAACGAGAATATACGGGCTTCCGAGTTTTCCAACCTTCTAGGAGATAACTCTTGTGCAGTATTGAGTTATACAACATCGCAGCAAAGCGCATTCCTGACATCGTTAGGTCCACTACTCTGGGAGGCTGACCGACTAGAGCGGTTACTCGGCCTAAACGACCAAGATATCGCTGTAACTGGAAGTCCTTCCGCCCATCAACAGCAACAGCAAAAACAATCACTACCACAACAGCCACTACAACGAGAGCAACAAAACCTAAATTCTATTATACCGCCATTCTCCATCTGGAAGGCGGAGAGCAAGAAACTCAGTATTAAAGAGGAGTTTGTTCACCCTGGATTCTATTTTCTTTCTAATAATGATCAAGCTGAGGGTCAATCTTCGAAACCATTGGCTTGTAGTCCCACGTTTCTTAAGATGCCTCGGAAACGATCATTACGAGAGGATGGGGCCTCTAGCTCCTCTGTATACAGTCCTGAAGGGTTAGGTATGAGCAGCAGACACGACCTTTCAAAGCCTGCAACTGTGCTCACAACAGCTGGCATATCAACGCCGCTGCAACCTTGGCCACCAAAGACGCTATCGATGCCCACAGCGTTTTCTCATACTATGAATCCTAGCACCAGCAGCCATCTAGTCACGTCTCTCGTGCAACAGCAACAGCAGCAAGGAGTATACTCGGATATCTCCTCGACTCACCCGTATATGGTTGCATTCTCATCTCCCCTAAGAACTAGTTTACACAGTGACAGCCGTAACCACAGCCATAGCCACAGCCATAGCCACAGCCAGAACCAGAAGTATCTCTCGCCTTCCATGCAGAATGGGGAATCTGTCGATTACCAGCAATCCCCCACTATAACAGCAACAGCTAACATGATCGCTGCACAGGAATACCCTCCATCCAGCGCTCCTCAATCGCAACCACAATCACGCAAAAGACGCACCTCAAAGCTCAAAGCGGAATCATGCTCAAGATCCATGTCCACGTACAACCAAATGTTATACAAATATTCTTCACACTTTCCTCTAAGTGGCATTCCTCCTCCACTACAACAGCAGCATCAATCAACTCATGACTTCCTATACCAACAATGTTCTCATCCCTATCTAATACAGAGCCACCCACAACAGCAACAGCGGTCATACTCATTTTCTCCGGGCAGCACTCCAGAGCCTACAAAAGCCAGCAATAGCCAGAGAGTAGCTCCACAGTGTCGTCGTAATCCCGGTGAAGTTCCAGCAAGCACGCTCCCACCAGACCTCCATGAAGTGTTGCTGAGCCTTGCCCAGAATGCTAGCAATAACTGTGGTACTGGCAGTCATCCTGCTACCACTCGCAGCAACGCTGAGACCAGTCGGACGATCGCGAAGAGGCAATCCGAGCCTGCAATAAGCTACAGCCATATTTGTCCTCACAGCAATGACTGTTCTCACTTACAAAACCTTAGTCATAGTCATACACGATCTCTAGTGGCAGCTGCATCTCCACTGCCTACTCCTCCTGCCATACCTTCGCTAGCTGGTAACCGAAACGATATTACATCTGCCGTATTCAAGACTCAGGATAAAGCAATATCGAGCTCTGATGTAGCCTTGAAGGCGAAAACAGGTACAGAGGTTGCAGCGTCAGAGCCAGGGGTAGGAGCGAGTATAAATACAACTGTTGTAGGACAATCGAAATCAATACCTTTAGATAATACTCTCAATGATAATAACGGTAATAATGATAAACAGGACCTGCATGTCGCAGCTACCTTTGTTCAGAGCCTAAGCACAGTGACGACGTTGGATCCTACGGCATCCAAGCTCATTGACCAACTTTTACTGCAGGACTACCTGCGCACTGCAGCACCTGCGATCGTTGCTTCAACTGCGACAGACCTTGCTCGCTGTAGCAGCCATCATGCCAAACCTCGTTTGCCTTCACCCTCACCTTCACTATCACCTGTGCACTTGCACCCAACTTTGAAACCATCAATTTCATCTTCGACCATATCCCCATCTACTTCTTTGCTGTGTTGACGTTCATAGACAAGATTATACTGCGAAGTGTAAATAGGAAGCAAAAAAAGTCATTATTGGCATCTTTATTTCTATAATGGTCTATTTGTCCTGATTTGAATATAAATAATTTTAATGAGCATGAAGCATGATGGTTAGTCTCGTCCATCAACCTTTTTGATTAATCCTCGCCATATATCCCGGCTGACCCCTGCTCCTGCTCGCCAGATGTCGAAAATTTCGGATGTCTTGAGCGGCTCTGTGGATTGCGCGCTGTCAACTGAGAGCGCACGCGCTCGGCGGGGCCGGATTTCGGGTACAAAAGCCGTTTCCTGGTGAGGAGCCCCAGATAGGATTCGTTTCTGAGATGCTCGGATGAGCTCACGATCAAAAACAGCTCTCCTGCGTCGAGATCCATCCTTCTCACTAGATCCATGGGCAGCCGGCGTCGCCACCACATACGCAACTGCTGTGCTTGTTGCAGCCGCACGCTGAGAGAGACTAGTGGTAGGCATTGAAATGGTGCCTGGACAGACATGGACAGACTCTGCAGTAGCCACCGGCTCTGTCTCAGCTCCAGTTCCTGAAGATGGTACTAATAATGTGTCGGATTGGGAGGAGGCTATGCTTTGCAGTACTGATAAGTCAGGCGAACCTTGGATACTAGGCTGTACTGATACAGCTTTTGTTCCGCTATCTTTGTCAGAGATTTCGGGCCCACTTCCACGATCATTGTTGATTAGCCCTGACAGGATTTCAAGGTTGGTTCTCGCTTGACTATTGCCCTTGCTACCACCATTGGTGTTATGACTAATTTGAGTGCTGGCTTGCTGATCTGTCATCACCCCTTTACCCTTATACGCTGATTTGCTGACGGCTCGTCGAAGAGAAGAAGAAGAGCTAATAGGCATTTGACTTGATGCGCTTCCTGATTGCGGTTGAGATTGGAATAATGAGCCTAAAATGGATGATGCAGGTACCTCGCGTCGTAAAAACGCTAAGGCCGATTCCCGTCCGCTCGTTCGGCCTAGACTCTTGGTGATAGACTCTTGATTGTCTCCTAAAATAATGCCTTCATGAAACGAATATGCATGCTGTGGCTTGGGCAAAGTCTGCTCCAGAGATGCAGCTGATTCTGATGCTGAAGCTAATCCTAATAAACCCTCATACGCCAGCCCGGTGTTTGTTCCTAATGGAGATCCTACTGCTGGCTTATCAAGTGTATCCGTTTCAGTTGCTCCTGGTTCCTGTGAAGGATTGCCGGAAAAGCGGCGGGCATCAATCCATGAATTAGTCGATATGGGCGAAGACACGGTTGAAGTTGATGGGGTTGCAACTGTTAAGGCGGACTGTGTAATGAGTGTGGGCTTGGAGACAAGTCTTGTAGCTACGTTGGGCATGGCCTCACTGGTGCTTGGATTTAATGATGCCATAGGATCAACTTTGTAAGTATGAGTGGCGGCACTCTCAGTCCCTGCAACCCTTGCATTTCCTTGACTGGTTGAGGCTCTAGCCGATAGCGAAGAGGGAGTGGATGCCATCCAGTGCTCCTGGAATATATCTTGCCTAGTAAGGATATTTGAGGCAGGAGCGCCCGCCTGAGTGGAGATTCCGATTGGACACTGTGTTTTGTCCGGCATTTGAGAGTATCTGGACATACTGGACGATCGTAATGTCGACGACGTTTCTCCTTCAATGGTTGGTGCTGATCCTGGAAACTTGACTGTAACCAGTGGGTTCGGTATTTCGCCTCCTTCTGATGTGGACGATGAGCTTCGGAAGGATGCAGCAGGACTTGATCTATCTGGCGAAAAAGCCGTTTTGATGGGCTGCTCGGTTGGCAATCTGTCAAGCGGTTGGCTTTGTGGGACTGAATGCGAGAGCATGCCTTGAACAGATGCAGTCGTAGAAGTAGCTCTCGGAGGAGAATGCAACCCGTCTTCGTGCTTAGCATACGGACCAAAGTTAATATCAATTGCTCTTGTACGCGACGATGGTATCAATGGCGCCACGGCTACACCTTCAGTCACATGGATGGTGGTGGATCTTGCCGGCGACATCGTAGCCATGGCCGCCAAGGACCTTGTAGCGGATAGTCTTGATCCAGCTACAAAGATGGTGTTAGGCCTTGACAAAAGTGGAGCCTCTGCTGAGATGGATGGGTTGGGCGCCTTGGGTGCTACTGGTTTTCTGGGGGATGAAATCCAAGCAGAATCTGCAAACACTCTGGATGTTTCCGCTATCACTAAGTCTGATTTGCTCTTGGATATGGCTGGAATGTCCTTAGATGTCTCCACAGCCAAAATGGTTGATACATTTTGTACTCCTAAGGCCTTATTGTCTTCAGTTCCTGATTGGTGACCATTCCCACCAAATACTTTGTTAAAGAAACCAGACACACCAGTGGACGCAGACTCCAGAATGCGAGGTCGATCCAGTATCCCCAAGACGTTTCTAGGCTGAGTAGACTTGTTAAGAGCACGGTCAGATCCCCTTACGCTCATATGCATCTCAGCACTAATGTGCCCATGAACTTCAAAATTGTCGTCATCCTCGGAAGGTACATCCTCTCGCAGAAAGTCTTTCTCAGCCTTGATGCGATCCTGTTCCACTTTCAGTACATAGCTTAGCTGAAGCTCATTGATTGTCATACGTAGTTTGCCAATTTCAGACAACATCTCTTGTACCATGTGTGCCAAGGGAAAGAACTCTGCAATAGTGAAACTCCAGTCTTCCTCTCCTTCTTCTCCTTCTTCTTCTTCTTCCTCTTCCTCCTCCTCCTCCTCCTCCATTTCTTCATCATCATCATCATCATCTTTGTTCTCTCCTTCGTCCCCTAACTGCCCTTCCTCTCCCTCGACTGAATCACCGTCCGGGTTATTATCCACTCGTTCGGAATTGTAACCTACATCATCACTGGGTAAGGTCATGCTAGTCTGGCGCGCAAATAGTTCATTAATCGGATCAGTCGCCTGTGCCTCTAGCCACCTGAATCTCTCATTCAAATTGTTGACATCTGTTAAAACATTTTCGATAACGGAGTTGGACATTTGAGATAGTGCTTGAATATCAAACGTCCTTCGGAGCCTACGGTTCAATTCCCGTGTATCTGACCTACACAGGCGCTCGAGTAGATCGGTTGCAAGTGTATGAAGTAGTTGGTACGGACTATGTTCATGATCATAGCGGCGGCTCGAGAATGCTTCTGACGCAGTGCTGGCCTCTGAGGGGAACCTTCTGTCGCGCGCTGGTAGAGGCGACCGTAATAAAGGCGAGCGCAAAAGTGATGAACGCATCGATCGGACAGAGCGCACACTATACCGCTTTTTGCCTTTATCCAGTTTACTTTGTAGTGGCTTGCTGAAGAGAAATGTAGGAGCATACCCAGTTCCGGCTGGTATTGTGTCAATAGTGATATTTTGGTTGATAGAGAGACCGTCCATAGAAGTTACGGGACTTTCGACAGATTCTGGTATACCTCGAATTGCGCTGTCTGATTCTTTAGACAAAGGGGTATTGGTATGTGCTTGAGCACCATTATCCTTATTCTGACCTTTGACTTCTTCGGCGACACCTTTGACACTTGCTTTCCGTGCAATTTGCTCCTTAGCGCGCTTTCTAGATGCTTTAGAGGCTTTGGAACGAACGCTAAAACTGTCTGTGTCTTTCCTCTGCTCACCAAATGCGGCGGCAGAATGGATGGGTTGTTGTTGAGCCACGGCTGCTGCGACCACACCAACGCGCCATGCCTCCATCATATGCTGGCGTCGCTCCACTATCATTTGTTCCATATATTCTGAGCTTTTGCATTGCCGCGAATCTGGTATTTCGTCTGTACTGGTGCTTTTTGAATTCCCAGGATGAATACAATGTAGGCTGGATGGCTTCATGCATAATTGCGGCCTCCTATCGCTACAAATTGATCTTGGCCGATTCTTCTTGGTAGCTATTGTTTGAGAGAAGGGGTCTATGCTAAAATGATGTTGTACTGGTTCCGAAAGTCGTCGTCGCTGGTATGGCGGGAGAATACGCTGATCCGAAGACGCTTTTGGCCATTGAGAGAGAAGAGAGCAGTCAACGCCGCTCCACGGGCGTGCCACAGGCAAGGATGCTCCGCCAGAATTATCTCCGATAGCTATACTTTCATTGATATGACCAGGGGACAGCTCCCGCCCCTCCTCCAGCAGATACGTTGCGTTAGGTTCTAGGATGATGGATTGTGAATATTCGCATCCCGAGGATAAGTCCAATGGTGTATTAGCTTCAGCCTGGGTTGCCCTCTGCAGCTCCGCCGACAGAAATGATATAGAATTTACTTGATCATTGTGGGAGCCATTTCGTTCCGTGTCTAAATGGTTTCTACCTCTGGCAATGTCAGATGAGCTTCCCATCATGAAAGAGACGCTTCCGTCTTCCCTGTTTGCTTTATCATCCAACCTTGCTGATGGTAAAAGCACAAGAGGTCGATGTGCAGACTTTGCCGATGATCTATCGTCAGGTGAATCGAGCATTTCCATTTGGGTCTTCTAGTTTGCCAAAACATTTCAATAGCGTTAATCAAAACACATAAAAATACCGTGTGGTAAATTGGCAAGGAAGATCAGAAAGAGAGAAATGGAGCAAAGGGAGAATTAAAAAAAAAAAAAAAAAAAAAAAAAAGGTTGTTGAAGACAAGAAGCATGGTCTGTGCGCGTCATTGAATCAGTATAAAGATTTGCTTTGGACTCTTATTCACACGCACTAGTCCATTCCCACTTATTCCCTTTCTCTACAGAGAAGGTCCTGAAGCTGGTCCCGAGAAAAATGATAGCGATGATAAAGCCTTCGTGGTGAAAATAGAGCAACGGTTGTCGGGGGAAAAAATTGAATGGGAAAAGGAAATTAAATAATAAAAAAAAGTTTGATAAGGGATGCAGCAATGACAAAGGAGCTGCATGATGAGCTGCTAAGGCTTCTTTTCTGAAGTTACTGAACAAAGTGACAAAAAAGGCGAACGAGTCACAGCAAAAATAGTACTTACTTCGACAAATCTGGCAACATACCCAGGTTCATCTTGATCGTTTGCACAATCACTCATGTCCGATGATGGATTGGTGGGTTTCTCAGGATGATATCTGTTCTCATGATCTTCATCAAATTCGCAACCAGAACTAAGCATGTCCATATCTACATCTGCGTATATAGAGCGTTGGCCTCGACCAATGTTAGAGGCGGGACTGGATATGCTAACATTGTGTTCGCGTGGTTTGGAACTAGTGGGGTTCATGGGTGATCGAGATGAGAGTACGATGGAATCAGAACCTCGTCTCATTTCGGATGTGGATGTCGATGTTGAAACAGTGGCCGCGTTGTTTGAGTCTGAATGTGAATGGTTAGTATGCTCGTAACCTCTGTTTGTTTTCCGCTTTAACTCTTTGGAAGAGCGGTCCAGTCCGGTGCGCTTATGAGGGGCAGAGATCGATGAAGGTTGTTTGCCTTGACTATAAAGCCTTTCAAGCTCTCCAAATACACTTCCGCGCACGCCAGGCGAATGAGGATGGTGTCGAGAAGCATTCATGTAAGGAGGAGGCGACCCTGCAACAGATCCAAGAGTCCCGATGTGACTCGCAGCATCCAGACCCCCCCCTACAGGCATATCGAGCCCACTCCAAGCACCCTTAGGCATAAGAAAGTTTTCGTTATTGTCTATCCGATTACCGTACCAGTGTTCAAATGCATGACCCTGTTCATAGTCTTCTACTTGTGACCGTAGGGCCAGTATTTCGTTCCTAGTATCCTGCAACAGATCACGGTATTCATTTAGCTCAGAGCGTAATGTCGAGTTGGTTGTAGCGAGTTCTTTGATTAATGAGATCAATTGATTTTGTGCGGCGAGTGGTGGATCAATGAACGAGGATGGATAGGGCGGTGATGAAGACGGTGAGAGTTGATGCATACTCATTACGGTTGATCCCTGTGATGGCCGTTCTTGTTGGATTGCCTGGCCCAAACTACCTTGAGGCGGAGAGCAGAGCCGGTCGGTTGTTTCTTTGAGCCAAGCAAGCGCTTCTTTACTTTCGCGCGCCAGCTCTAACTCCTGCTGCTGTCGTTTGAGGCTGTCATGGCGCTTAGACAGAGTCTCATACTTGCCTTGGATCGTAACAAGTTTTTGTTGTAATGCCCTTTCTGATCTTTGCACCTCCTGAAGTTCATCCTGTAAAGCCTCGATCTTCAATCGACTTGCATCCTCGCGTTCCTGCAATGCTTCCCTCTTGATTCTTTCTATTCGCAGTAGGTCTGAATCCTTTTGTCCATCAGCCATCTCTTTAGTAAGGTTAAAAAGCTGTTGCTCTGTATATTCCAGCTGAGCAGAGACAAGCATGAGTCGTTTTGCTGTTCTTGCCTGGTCACTGACAGCCAGTAACCGCGACTCTTCGAGTTCCTGATTAATTTTCGCTAGATCTCGACTGGTCTTTGCTAATTTTTCAATCTCCGTCATGGCAATTCTGAGCTAAGAGAAAGCAGGAGCAAGGGGAACGATAAAGATGTTAATGTTTGTTTGGCTCACTACCACATCGTTTATGACCATGATTGTTTTAGTCACAGTGGACAAAACAAAGGGATGAGGACAGACGTGACTACTGCATGCGCACGGCATAATGGGGTCAGACTTTATTATTTTTTTCTTTCGTTCCTCTGCGGTACAAAGACGATCAGATTGGGGAAAAAAAAACAGTTTAGTTGCATTTCTACCTTACCTCTCGTTGTAGCTCATTAACAATTGGGCGATGATTCTCCTGCTGATACAGTCCTTGCTCTGTCATATTTATTGATTGGCAATTTAGAAGAGAGAGACGGAAAAGGATTAATAAACGAAACGAGGTATTGACATGATCTGTATGGTGGCATTATTGGTATTATTCAGATACGTCGACTGTGAACAGAGGCGTGATCGAATATTGAAACGATAAATGGTCATGGACCGATGGTGATGACTGGGGAGCTATCACCTTTTTTTATAAATAAAAATAAAACATACCAAATGTTCTTGTATGGGTCTGTGAGTGCTCCCTAGCAGTCTCAAGTCTGTTATCCATCTTTGCAGCAATCCAATGAGAACAGGCCTGTGCCTGAATACAATAGCAGCCCTCCGATTCTTCCATTGCAAAGATGCCAGTTGGTCAACAAAAGGGTAGCAAGCAATTTCAGGAATGCAAAGAGAGTTCAACTAAACAAGAGTCAATAGAGAGAGAGAGAAAGTGCATGTGCCTGTACGTCTGTGAATGCGAATAAAGATCAAATGTAATAAGCGTAGCGTAAGTAGAAGAGTGAGTACATGAAAGTGTAAGAGCGTGGGACTGCAAAGAAGTGAGGGCGTATGGGAGTGAAGTAGATGGAGGAGTGGAGAGGTGAGTGAAGGAGTGAAGGAATAAAGAGAAAGAGTGAGGAAGTGAGAAGAATGTGGGCAAGTGAGCTTGCAGAGGTACGAAAAAAAAAAAAAAAAAAAAAAAAAAAAAGAGTCGTGAGTGATTATGTGAATTGAGGGAATGACTGGCGGAAGGCAAGTGAATTTTAATGCTCTGTAATGAGGAAAACAAAACATTGCAATTCCTTCATCCCTCAATTGCTCATTTCAGATGATGAAAGAGCAAATGCATTGATTTAATAATAAAACTCTTTATTTATTTAATAGTTTAATTAGTTGACTTGCCTGCCTCGGTTTTGAATTTGCAGCAGCAGTAGCACTAAAATGGGCCAACCATGTTTCAAATTCACATCCCATTGCACTGTGCAGGGACCAACAACAAAACATTTCAGTAAAATTGAATGATGCTCTGACTTAGCTTATCACAGCAAGCAATTCTACTCCTTGTCCATGTTGATCAATCACTGGCTCCATTGCTTTCTTTACTACAAAAGCTCGTACATCATTTTACTCGTTACCTGCTCATCCAACATGACAGACAACACCTCTTTCTTTTTGTGGCTGGATTCGCTAGCATGTTCTAAAAAACGGTTTGAGAACACAGCCACATCAAAAAATTTCCTGCAGCGGCACGCAGTATCCTCCCAACATTCCGTTTTTGGAAGTTATTTAACGACATTGTAATCAACAATAGTGGCAATCAAGTTGCATTTTTATCATCCACAATAAATGCCACGCCCTGATCCTCGGATAATTCTCTTTGTCTCACTTTTTTTTTTTTTTTTTTTCTTTTACTCCATTTCAACTTTTGGTTTCTTCCGCAGGTGGCCAGAGCCACCTGGTCCTCCGCCATGACTGAGCTGCCCTACACCAAGTCCTACGCTACCCTGTGACGACACCAGCTTCATTTCTCTTGCAAATTCGTCCGCACTATTCGATAATCCTGACCGTGGGCTGGGGAAAGCATCTGGTGCATCAAGGTCTCGGTGCATCTTGCTATGCTTGTTGTGTTTGCTGTGTCGTGCACCTATCGTGTGCGTATTCCCTCCCGCAGCTGCGCCAGTAGCCAATGGACTCTGACCTTGGTTTTGATTCACAACCTGATTGCTTGAATGATGGCCATGGCTCGGGTGCTGTCCATGATGAGGTCGATTGCCGCCTGGTCCTGATCCGGGTCCTGGTCCTGATCCTGGCCCTGGCCCTGACCCTATTGAGGGTGCGTTCATCGTAGGCCCATTCATATGCTGCGCTTGCTGTTGTTGATGCTGCATTGGGTTGGACGATATCCCAGGTGCGCCAAAATTGCTTTTATTAAAGCCTGGTCCGGGCATATTGCCATGAATATTCCCATTGGGATTCAACTGGTTCTGTGGAAATGGTCTCTGTCCTGGACGTTGATCTTGACGGAAAGATGGATTGGTAGCAGTCTGTGAGTTATTGCGTTGTTGTTGCATATTTCCACCAGGAATCATCGGTGGGATCCCATTAGATGCCATAGCCAGCTTGTGCTGCGGAGTTACAGGGATCTGAAATACATATTGGTAGGAGAAAGTATACTAATCAGTCTCTGCAGTCCATAGTCGATTAAGTATATGACTAAACCAAAATAGCAAGTATTTGAATCAGCCTACCATGACACCAGCCTTGCTGTTGGGATCTTGAATCCATTCAAACTCGCTCCAGTTAGGCTTTTCAACGAAAAGCATCGTGTCCTCGCCAATTTTCTTGTACTTCCCAAATTTCGATGTAGATAGCTGTATTAGACCCCTAAAGAGTTTTGCCTCACTAACGTTGTGAAGCACCAAAAAAGAGAAAGAGTTGATGTGTGACCTTAGAGACTAAATATCATGACGATACAGTGAAGATAATGGATATTGGATTATCAGTGAACCAGGTTGCTTACCCTCCCTGGATCCGGACTAGGTCACCACCTCTTAATAATGCTCCTTCTTCACCCCAGAGCACAAGAACTATGCTTCCAGTCTTGTCTGCAACAAGGAATGTGGTCAATAGCTGGTTGTCGTATGTCCTCCGGGGTTCTGCAGCTGTAAGCGGTAACAAAAGAAAAAAAAAAAAAAAAAAAAAAAAAAAAACTAAACATAAGTTTACAGCAATATCAAGCAATGATGTAAAAAGAGGAATAGAAATAGAGAAGTAAGAGTGAGAGACTTGCCTTTTTCAAGGAGGATACACTCGAGATTGAACCCACGCATAGAGGGGCGCAGATCACCAATGTTTGTGAGGGGAAGTCCATTTGCACTTGTAGAAGAGGTAGGAGCAGGTATACTACGTATGATGCTATTGTTGCTACCGCCGTTGTTATTGCCTCCATTGAGACCGTTGCCGCGGCCCATGTTGTTCCTATTCATGGTGGCGAATATTTCAGCGTTCTAACCAAGAGCAATATAAATTTGGCCTCTAACAGTAGAAGAAAGATACGCGAGAGGATTATGTAGAAATTTGAGCAAAAAAGAATGTGACAAGTGTATATGTGTGTTTCACAGAGTAAATGGATTAAGAGACGAATGTGTGTATGAATGTCTGTGTGTTTGCGTGTCTGTGGTCTGAATGGAAGGTGAATGTCTGTGCACAGAAGGAGAGAAAGAAGAAGAGGAAGAAAAAAAAAAGAAAAAAAGAAAAAAGAAGTCAATTAGAATCAAAAGAATGGAGGGAGAAGAAAGCGAATTTGTAATAAGTAAGGAAAAGAAAAAAAAAAGGAGAAAAAAACTGTTTCTTCACCCTTTTATACATTACTGACGACGCTAAATGTGACTGTTTGCTCTTGGTAACACGAGAATACAGCCAATGGAATCGAAGGAAGTTTTGTCTGATTGAGAGCCATCTTTTTTTGTTCTACACATGCACCCTTACTTGTTGACATGATATACATATGTATCCGATACCACAGAGTAAGGAATAAAAACGCGTCCCTAGGAAGCTATCTATGGTCTGGGTGGTAGTAAAGTATCACAAGCTCCATCAGTATACACTACCGTTCCGGATCCCGTCTTCTCGCCGATTCGTCAACAATTGTCTTCGAAAGAGACTCGATTGTGTCGAATAACGTCGCTCTTGCAAACTAAGCCTGCTTAGGCCGGCGAAGAGCCGCTATTGGCATCATATAAGATGAAGCAATCGGTTCAGGCCGAGGCAGTAAAATAATCAGTTGTCATTCACGCTTTGTTTCCTGATGAGGTCAACTCCAGTACAAGCAAAGCTCGTTATTGAGTTGAATCCAGTTTAGAGGCTAACGCTTCATAAAAGCGCTGTTTCTGTATAACCAAGAGCCTCCTGGCCGACTTTGAGAGAGTTGACACTGGATGATAATAAAGGCTTTGATCTTATTTATAGAGTGCTTAAAAATGACCACGTATTTTCCATCACTGCTTCCTTGGCTGGCTATGCAAATATTATGAGTACTAATGGCACCGATCGCTTCCGACACCGTGTAATAAAAAGATGTCTGAATGTTATGGTAAACTTAACATCCGATATTTTTGATACCATCACTGCTCCTCTAGCTATATCCAACGTGTTTCTTTCTTTTTACCGGCCATCCTTTCTCTCTTCCAAACTCCAGCCAAATATGAAACCGATACTTCGAGCAAAAGCCAAGGAGGCTACGTAGCCGAAGCGGCATCTAGGCCTTATGTTGAACAATTAATCACATGAGTAGCCTGGTGCAAAGCCCAAATCCATTATTTAATCCTTGTCAAAGGCCATTAATTAGGGGACTTAATCTACTTTCTCTACTTTATTATTATACACACCCCTCAGCTCATGGTGTAAGGTTCCTCAACTCGTGAAGCCGTCAAGTATCTCAACCTCCCTGCTATTCGCTGTTAGCCTTCGTTTGACGGGTAAAGAGAACACGATAAAAGGTAAAAGAGATCACCTTGGGGGATTTCAGCTGAAGCTCTCTACGATCTGAGAGCGAACATGAAAAGAGGCTTCTTTAGAGCGGTTGAGGCTACAAATGAAACCAGTAAGCTGCTCCCATAGCCTGCCTCTGTCACCACAATTTAACGCCGCCTGAGAGGAGCAGTATTGATACCAATATGTTGTCTAAGACCAGCTCTACAGAAAATAAAAACAAAATAAAATTACCGATTGCAATGTTGAAAAATGGAAATAGGCTGGGAGTGATTTAACTATTATTTTGTAGTACAGTTCACAATAGGTGTTAGATTCACAAGATCCGCCATGGCAACCTTCGGTATATCTAGGATCATGTTCCAAGAAGGGTAACAACTCATTCAGTCCAAGGGACAGACAGGTTCAGTGAGGGCCTTATGATGTGGCCGCACATGTCATATTATGGGGTTGCCCTCCTGATGGTTAGAGTCGAATACGACGTTAACAGTAGTAATCCTCTTTTTTAGTCGTGCAGGAGTAATTAATCCCGACTTGGTACTCTTCTAGCCCAACTATGATGAATGAGCCTGTATTCTAATAGAGCATCATAGATTAGTCTTCAACTATAAATCGTGCTTGACTAAAACACGTAGGATATAATATATGATATGCCGCAGCGCAAACACGTGTAATTGACAGAACTGCGGCTGTTGTGATTTGATGATGTGGCGGAGTCTGTACTCCAACAACTCCAGTTCGTAGATGCCTTATAGATCTTTCCCTATTTAAACGGTTTCCATCACTTTTTACATCTTTCAATCATTCTTCTACAAATCTCCTTTTATAACGAAGCTATTTGTCTACACCTATCATTATGTCACAACACAAGATCCATAGCACAACTGAACATGACCATGCTGTGTCACCAACAGCAAAATTAGCAATGCCATCAGCACCTCTTTCGATCTTTTTCTTGCCACCAGAAATCATTTCTTCGCTCAGTTTGAATTCTCAATCCGAGATTCTTAAATCAGATCCTTTGTTGGAGAATCATACTATAAATACTGCTGTTAATCAAACCTACGGCTCAGATACTGTTGCAACACCTGTTCCCACCAGCCTTGACTCAGCAGCTCCCTCTTGCCGTATCTGTGGAATTACTCAGTTTGAGAGCGTCGAAAAACAACGCGAGCATGTCAAGCTTGATTGGCACCGGTACAATCTCAAACAACAGCTTTTGAATAAACAGGCCAAACCCATCTCAGAAGCCCAATTTGAAAATATGATCCAAGATCTTTCAAGCATTTCCGGATCAGATACTGATGACAGTGATTATTATTCAGACCTCAACAACGACGGAGCAACGGGCAGAATCAGCTCATTGATGAAGAAAATCGAATTGTCCGTCAAAGAAGGCCAGGAAGCACGTGAGCAAGACCCTCTCATGATTTATCAACGGCAGCGTGCTGATCAACAGTTCCGGGAATCTTGCTCGTCACCTTTGATCTGGTTCACCTCCTCACTTTACAATGACACTGTGCGTCTGGGCATCTATAAGAACGCGCTGCCTAATAAAGGCCAATGTGAAAATATAGTGGCATACCTTCAGTCGCTCCAATTCGATATACCACCACCAGTCAATAAAAAGAAAAACAACAAGGCGAGAAGAGAAGCTAGGAGACTAGCGGCAGCGGCAGTTACTGCAGAAGATCCAAAGGAGGCTCTTCCTGCAATTGATGAACAGATAGATCAAAGCGCTGGTACACCACTTGTAGATTCAATTGAAACTGTTGCGGCACAGCAGGATTCGCAAGCACAGAACAATGTTCAAAACCTCGGCATGAATATGGGTGAGAGAGGACAAGAAGATGGACAGGAAGAAGAAGAGGAAGAAGAGGTGGAGTATGAGCCCGACTGGATCAAATATCAGAAGCAGGCCAAGCAGAAGCAGAATGCTTCTGCTAATCCTCCCCATCAGGCACGACTATGGACTCTGATCATGATTGGAGGAGGCCACTTTGCAGGCATGGTTATGGACCTTGCAGGCCAAGTTTCATCACATGGCCGTGATATGAAAGTTATTGCCCATAAAACATTTCATCGCTATACAGGTAAACAATTCAATCTAGGGCTTTTTTTTTTTTTTTTTTTTTTTTCCTGCCATTCAGAACCTGACTCATTGTCTGTACAATATATATTTATTCTAGTCCGACGTCAGCAAGGAGGTTCGCAGGGATCGCATGGGATCGCCAATTCCGCAGGAGCACGTGTGCGCATGTATAACGAAGAAGCATTGAAACTTGAAGTCCGTGAATTGCTTGAGGGTTGGTCTCACTGGATCCAGCAAAGTGAATGTGTCTTTGTTCATTCTCCTGGAAACAACCGCCGGGTTCTATTTTTTGAAAATTCGGTGATCTCTACTGCAGACCGACAAGGGCGTCTTCGTTCCATCCCCTTTATGACAAGACGGCCTACCCTCTCTGAGCTCAAACGCGCCTATCTGGAGCTAACTACAGTCAAGGTCTCTGTTCTCAGTCCGGAAGCATTGAAGCAGAAAGAGTTGGAAGAGCAGGAGGCGCTTGAACGAGCATTGCGAAATTCTCAAGCAAGAGCTACATCACTGCTGGAGGGTGGTAAGAAGGCAAAGCAGCCAACTATGACGACATCCAGCCCATCCCCTGAGCTGATCAAACTAGTCGAGTTAGTCAAAAAGGGTCGCGCTGAAGCCATGTCGAATCATATTCAGAAGTATGGTATTGATGTCTCGCAGCCTCTGCCGTTGACAACCAGTACAGAATACGATATTCGTAGGACACCCACCATATTGCATGTAGCTTCTCACCACGGCCAAGCTCAAGTTGTCAAGGCGTTATTGGAGAAGCATATGGCTGACCCGACGATCACCTCAACCATATCAGGACATGACAATGATAGTGGACAGGATGATTCTGAAAACAAATCGCTCTCGCTCGGTACCAGTTCATTAACTGCATACGACGTTGCCAAGGATAAAGAGACACGAAATGCTTTCAGAAGAGCCATGGCATTACTACCAGAGGCATGGGACTGGGTTGGACAGGCACATGTTCCTTCTGCACTCACACCAGAGATGGAGGCAGAGCAGGAGAGAAAGGCTAAAGAAAAGGCACGCAAGGTATTGGAAGCGGAGCGTGAGCGAAAAAAGACGAAAGAGCCAAGCCGATCTAAGATCCCTGTTGAACATAACTCAGCCTCTAGGCTAACGGTGACATCATCAACATCACCGCCCAGTCTATTGGCCAAGAACATGGCCAGTGTTTCAGCCGCCCATTCAAATCTATCACCCGAAATGCGGATGCGTCTAGAACGTGAGCGACGCGCTAATGCTGCAGAAGCTCGTATGGCCGCCATGCGTCAAGCAGAGACCATTCGTAGAGCTGTCCAAGAGGGCAAGAATATTTGTGTGACCTGTGGTAAGAGTCTAAATGACTTGACACCATTTGACAAATTTGGGCGCAAATTTTGCACCACAGAATGTGTTGCCAAAGGCCCTGCATAATTCAATAAAATATCAAAGAATGGTTGAGAAATCTTAAAAAATATTGATTCATGCTCCTTGATTTATTTCCATGCATGGTACAATGGAAGATCTTACTAATAATACATTGATAAATCAAAAATTAAAAAAAAAAAAAAAAAAAAAAAAAATATATATATATATATATATAAAAAGTTGCTTCCCATTATGATACATTCGAGCGTGGGGAAGATTGTCCAGAAGCATAGAGCCAACGCATCATTAAAGCTCCAATATAGGCTGTCCATTCATCAAGACCAAGGGTTGGAGGCATGTCGTGCCAGACGAGGTCTTGATCTTCGCGCTGCTCGCTTGCTTTAGAAACAGACAAGGCGTATGTGTTTGGCTCGCTGTTAAGCGGGAGAGGCTGAGCGCTTATATTTATACTTGTGTTAGGCGTATGGTTAGGAGCAGCTGTCTTCTTATTATCGCTTCCCATAATACCGCTTGATGAGATCATAGGCGACGATGCAGCTGATCTGGCAGTAGTACGCTGTGTTAGCGAATCTGTGGTCCAGACTGTGTTGAACTGACTACTAGGTTGAGCTCCAGATGATCTGTTCACATCAGCACTGCTAGGCCGTCGGTCATTGCTCCAGTCTGGAAATGAGATGCTACTAGGCATGGAAAATGGATCCAACATGGCTCCTTGACTACCCGATGCGAGTGATGGCACGATAGTACTGCTCGTATTCTTTTCATTCGCCAGTGGACTTGTTGCCTCCGACTTGCGACGTGCATCATCCAATTGAGGCGAAGTGGTCCCGTGCGCTAGTGCTCTCACAGTTATAGGGGTCAACAGACCGCTCTCTTGTGCCTTGACCCTCTTGCTGCTGCTGTTGTTATCTCCTGTAGAGCTTTCAAACATGTTGGGACTGATAGTTGAGTGCACCAACTCTGAATCGGATTCCAAAGTCTGAGTGATGGTGGTGTCCGTACGACCCGGTGAAGGCGATGATACCGATGGCTCAGTTTGGACCGGGGATTGAGCACCCAGGCCAACCATGGATGGTGGTGGTCGGTTTGACATGGCCGGAGATGACGATGCACTAGATTTCGATTGATTCATAGCTGCGTCTTCCTGCACTCGAAATCCCTGCTCCACGTTATCGTCGCCCTTGTTAACTGGTTCCTGTACCTGTACCTGTGAGCTTTCCTCGATATGTTCTAATTCAATATCCATATTGTGATCAGGGAAGCTAATGCTTCTGCGGTGCTGCATCTTATTGAACTCGTCATCATTAACTAATAAAGATTGAATTGCCATAACTTTGGAGCGACATTGCTGCCGAAGTTTGTCCTGGCATTCTCGTGGGCCAACCAACGCATCCTTGTATTGAGATTCCAACACCCAAGATGGTCCAACCGGTGACATTTTGAACGTGTCAACTTCAAGGTCCTTTAAGCTGACATGTTTCAAATCCAATAGATCTTCCAATACCTTGGCTCGGCGAGCAGCGCTGACCCAATGGTTAGCCAAGAACTTGAGAGCATCAATACAACGCTTCAAATTAGTTTTGGCATTGATCGTGTGATTAGACAGAGTCTCATTGGAAGCAGACAGTACGGGACTAGGGAAAGACGATTTGCTTGGCTTGCGAACGCTCGGAATGTTCATGAAATGGACAATGCCTGCCGAAAAAATGGCATACAGGCAGCTGATGAACATGGATGTGAGAGCCTCGGTGTCCATGAGTATCTCGGTAATATCTGAAATAGTAGCTGCGGCTTGTACGCACAATGAGGCCGATGTGGGAGACGTAGACATTTCAGGCCGGTGAAGTAGGATGACAAGTGTGTTGAAGGTAAGGTGAAGGAAAAGACCATAGCGCGGTGAATATGCTGTAGGGATTTGCAATGACTCTGGTAGATTCTGACGCCATTCTGTCAGGGCCTTGTCAAGTGCAGAGAACACTGCATCACTTGTATCCACGCAACTCTCTCGATCCTGATCAAATCCATTCTCGAAGTTTTGGATAAATGCGGAATTTTTGCTGCTACTTTTGTTAGATTTTAAAGGAGTGCAGTGTTTAGCCTTGATAAATTCCAGAATGTCGCCCTGAATCTTGGACAAGGTCAGCAGGTGGATAAAGTTGGCAATAGTTGCTGGTCGAGAGAGCACCGTCCTTCCTGTGGTAAAATCAACTTCCTCATCTTCATTCTGAGGGAACCCAGTTTCACAGTCCTTGTGCATGATCGTTAGAGGTCTAATCATTACTGTACAGTGTTAGCGTAAACCGAATGCAAGAATAAAAACAATAAATGAATAAACAAGCCTCCTGATCTGATTACCTTCCAAGACCAGCACATATAAGTCGATCAACCACATAAAGAGACCACCACGTCCGTTTGCGTAATTCACATTGCAACCTATTTCTGTTGTACTCCTGCTCCGACGGCTCTTTATTGAGACCCAGATCTTGCGCCATCCGAATTGCCATTCCCACATATAACCAAGCACGCTGGCTTTCGCAGAATCCCATTTGCTGTATAGCCATCAGAAGGAGAGTCTGGATAGTGGCGATTTGAGAGTTGTCGTACTCGTCTTTCATGAAAAACTTTGCCCTTTCGTAAAAGATGGTACAAGGGGGCCGTTCCACACCATGTTGGGGAGTGCGGAATGCAGTATTATCACTAAAGCGAGATGCAAGGCCCAGAATGGCAAACAATAAATGAGAAGGAGGTGATTCACTTTGGCGGATTTGATCCAAAATCGTACGTGCATGAAGCATGGGTAAAACAGGGTGAATTGAGCGAAAGTGCACTTCCAGTAGATGGTCGATAACGTCAATCGATGGCATGATCAGCGCTACGTCCTTGCTATTAGTTTCCGGAATATGCATGTATCCTGTCAAGGGGTTGGAGAGTGGATGGGTCGTCAAAGACGGTCTGTGTGTAACTAGGCGATGTGAATCCATTTCTTGGCTGCTATGACTGCTACCGTTACTAAAGCTGTGTCGATGACTCATATTGAAACTGCTGTTGCTTCCACCGTTAGTGGTGAGGGTCCGTTGACGATCTGACTCGTGCAAGGTATGGCTTGAATGATGTGATTGTGTAACATGTGAGCCTGGTCGAAGATGATTTTGTGACATGCGACTATCTGTGTAGCCAAGAGACTGATTTGAGCCTGTGGGCCTAGCCTCACTATAGTTTGATGAATAAGGTGAATGCGAGGACTTTTGCTGCGATTGCCGATGCTGATGCTGCTGATGCTGTGGTGGCTGTGGGGAGAAATGAGGTTGATGCTGGTTGTGGTAATTGGAGTTGACACCATGAGAGGAGTGAGCTGGAAGACGTTGTGGTTGTGGTGCATTCTGAGGACGCTGAAGACTTGAAGAAGATGATGATGGCAGCGGATGGCGCGAATTTTCATATGATTGATAGTGGTTCGAGCGAGATATCGCCGTTACTGATGAAAGTTGGATATGCGGTTGATTACGACTGGAGTTAGATCCTTGTGTGGTATTGGTATCCGGATGCGCGGAAGAATTCACGTGAGAAGTAAAAGTCTGGGTCGAAGATTGTGTTGTTTGGCGACTCGATGAAACGTGGTTTCCCGGTAGAGGGCGATGAAGTTGCTGTTGTTGGTGTAAAGGTCGAGAAGTCGAAGAAGATGAGCTAGATCCTGGCGATGGGGCCACATTCTTTCCTGCAGACGAACTAGAAGACCCAGCACTTGTGATTACCTTGAAGGGGAAAAAAAAAGGTGTTAAAAGAAGATATTGATCGTAGAAAGTAAATTAGTCAATAGAAGCTACTTACATGATTAATTTCCTCGTAAGCCTTGGATCTTCTCAGCTTTAGTCCCGTCATTTCCGCTTCTCGAGCCATAGCGTCCAGTTCGGCACGCACAATTTCAGCACGTGGATCCTTGTCCTTGACCAGTCCGCCCAAAAGGCCCTCCATACGATGGAGGCGCGCTTCTATGGCCTCGATATAGCCTGTCATCATGGGGACAATTTTACCTGAAGTCGTTAGCAGATGCAGGGAGTGAGTCTTTGGGAGAACTTTTTTTTTAAACAAAAAATGCGAGACTGGATACATTCCAACATGATTACTTACCCTTTGGTGGGCCTCTCTTTTTGGTTGGATCGTTGTATGTGCCTGCAGTCGTAAGAGAATCAAAATGATGTTAGTCTAAAGATTGTACCGAGCATAAATAGATCACTTCAGGTGAACAGACATGGTCTAGACCCTTTTTTTTTTTTTTTTTTCTTTTTTCTTTTTTCTTTGACTCTTGTATTGATTTGCATTACATCGACTTTCTCTTTCATATTACAATTCTAAGTAAAATTGACAGAGCTGTGCTTACATTCATAATTGAAGGTCTCACAATTTGTGCAAAGGGGGTGGATGGCGTCTATTCAAGAGGGGTTTAACACAAAGTGACAAAAAGCGCTCAGTGACTTGAATATTCCTACTGTAATCGTTGTTGTAATCGTCTCAATCGATTTTTTTTTCTTTTTTAGTTCCCTTACCACATTTGACTTTTTTTCTTCGGCACGAGTCGCATGCCTGTTGATTGTAATTTAAATGTAAAGAGAAGAAATTTAAATCTGTTTTCATGTTAGATTCAGTTATAGATCAAAAATATAGTCATCGTTGTCGAGATGGCAATAATAATAGCGGTGATGGTATAGCAATAGTAAGTAGTATTGACCTTGGACACCCTAAGGCGCTTAGTATCAGCCATTGGGTATTGGCTACACTATAACTGAATAAAGTAAATGAGGGTGGTTGGTGGCGATGGATAATTGTTTGTAGTGGAGGAAGTGATGCTTTATTGTTATTGTTCTTATTATTGTTATTACTCTTGTTGTTGTTGTTGTTGTTGTTGTGCTGTTGTTACTGTTATTATAATTATTAATATTAGTTGCTTGATTTGAGTTGTAATACTTTGGTTAAGGAGGTGTTGGGTCTGATGCTAGAGAGGCATGCGTAAATAAAGTAAAAGAAAGATAGCTGTGTAATCTTCTGAATGTACGATGGATGAAATGATGGAATTTAATAAATGAAAAGAGAGACGGCGAGGAAAAAAAGAGTGAAAAATGAGCCGAAAGAGAAAAAAAAAAAAAATAGAGTTCTTGTCTCATGCTTATTTAGTTTAATCAGTTCTTCCGGGTTTATTCTTTCACCATTTCCCTCACATTGTGCTTTGCTCTTTCTTTTCTCCTCATGGAAACATTTACCAACAATCTCTCCACAGGCCACAGGACACCCCACTGACTGATAAACTAATAGACTAGTCTAGTCTTCTTTTAATCGAGGTATGGTTAATCATTTTGCCTGTCAAGAGTTTTTCGTTTATCAGCATTGGACGAAACCTGCGCCTCTTCTTTCTTCCTTTTTCTTTTTGACAATCAAACGATAGACAAACAACCAGACATCTAGTCAGTCAACTAGCCAGATTCACAGATGGAAAGAAAGAAAGAATCTTTTTTGCTCCGATTAAAATTGGATCAATTACCCGGAATTTTGCCGCGTGCACGTGACAGTCACGTAGCTGTAGTCCACAACCCAAGCAATCCATTTATCCTCCCTATTTTTCCCTCTTCTCTTTTGCTCTTGTTCTTGTTCTCTTTCTCTCTGCGTTGGAGGCCATTTGCCTTGGGGACACCTTATGTTTCCCTTAACCTAGTCTATTGTCAAAGACTGCTCTGCTGTTGCTGCTCCTTTTGAAGATTTGTCCCCAGTGGCAAGAAGTCTCGACTCACTTCTGCACGAAACGAGCAGGCATCTGTTTTATATTAAAAAATAACATTCCAATATACTGTACACATTTATATGATGGTTAGTGTATTACATAACCTGTGTATCTATGTCCTCCCCTCATTAAGTTTATTAGGTGTAAATAAATAATGTGACCATCATACGTTTTATTAAAGAAGGATTACTGCTGCTGCGACGGCTGCAACGCCAAGCATGGGAGCAGAGTAGCTTTGTGCAACAGCAGCATTGGTCCCTTGAGAAGATGAAGCACTGACCGTGGTGGTAGTGACGGTAGTGCTGGCAGGGCTGACAGAAGAGGATGCGTGGGTTACGGCCGTAGTAATGGCAGTTGGTGACACAACAGACGATGGACCTGTAGTAGATGTCACAGGAGCAGAAACCTTCTTTGGTGCAGGAATAAATGGAATAGATCGAAGAAAATTAATAAAAGTCTCTCTTAATCTTTTTTATAGGTCGAACGCGTCCATGTTGTCAACTGACTTACAGGTACATCAGGATCAGACGGGCCAGAATAATCACCAGGGATAATGTATGCACAACCAAAAGTAGATTTGCCTTGAAGAGTACAATGGTCAGATAAACAATACAGAGAGATACAATAGAGAGTGTTAATCAGAAACAAGAAACTACACTATATCCTTCTGAAATCAAAAATACTACAGAGCCTCTTACCGATGTTACAATCCATCTTCTCATCACAGCAACGGATACAATAAGTGTTGGAATGAGGCTCAATTAAATTTACATAGTGATTGTAGCCAGCACATGCCGATCCTTCAATAGATTATAAACAAATCCGTTAGTATCATTTCCAACTATTACATATTCATTATTTCAAATATATATATATATTTACCAACAGGTGCCTTGATATCATATTGGCCACCCTGGTCAGTCTCGGCCAAGCTGTATTTAGTACGGTCAATCTTGCCAGTAACCTGGACGTAACCCTTGCCAGATGCAAAGTTAGCCGACTGAATGAAGCCGGGAGGGAAGATCTTGGCACCAGGGGCATCGACATCCTCGTTGGTGCAGAAGGCAATGGCAAAATCTTCACTAGCAGCAATATCACCGCCTTCCTCAGGTGGCATCATCATGCACCAGTTGGTACCGGACTTGATCTGGACAATCTGGCCCGGATTGCCTGGGGCTGCTGAGATAACTGAGCCAAGGAGAAGCACTGTAGTTGCAATGGAAGCAAGGTTGACGAGCATGATATGTATGTGTGTGTATGTGTAAATGCGATTGGTACTGTGAGATGTGTAAATAATACAGGGAGGAGAGAATGAGATTTAGTGAAAGGGGAAATGAGAAAGAAGAACAGAGTCGAGTGGAGTCAATCGTAGCTGAAGGTGGGGTTTAAATAGAAAATGAATCTTCTCAGGAGAATTACCAATGGGTGGATAGGATGGATGGGCGTAAAAAAATAATAAAAATAATCTTATTTTGGAAGCTTTCCATCCAAGAACAGGAAATGAGAGAGGAGCAGAGGCACGATTCGTGCTCTTTTTGGTCGGTTACCGGGGTGCTGACATATTTTAGCTCTTTGTTTATTATGCATTAGTTCATCCCCTCATGTGAACTACAAATACATGTTTATATATTTTATACATGTTTGTGTACATGTCCATCGTTGCTATGCCCATTTAATCTGAGATGTGCTCTCTTAGCACATGTCTACAGTTTAGCTTGTTCCTGGAATGGACCTACGCCAAGACTAAACAATCTCTTTCTCTATGAAGTCGCTTGAAATGCCATCAAAGACGTTATAACTCGATAGTGGTCCACATCTATGCCTTTGTCTTGCTCAGATACTTGACAAGTTGGAAAAGCTACTTCCTAGGCTTGGTTCGTCTAATACACACATTACACATTATTAATATGACCAACCATTTCGGCTATCACTGAACATAAGGCTCGGAATAGTATCCAGGGAGAGCATCCCTTGGTTCAGGGCTCTCAATCATAGCCTATTGGGGTCTATCACAAACATAGACTACATCCTTTATCATCATGGTCCCGTAGGTACCAAACACTCGGATTCGCTCAAGACGTTGTGGATGATAAGCTTAAGCAAGCTGAGAGATAAAAATAAATGTTCGAGAGTCAGAGGTAAAGTGACTGGCGAGTATGATGACTGTTTCAGTGCACAATGTCGGCTTTTCCTAGGGTGTGCTGATAGATGAGACCCATCGGCATATTGGTGTAATCAGAACCATGGCCGGTGTGCTTAGTACCATGGCGGCCTTTAAACTAACCATGGAGCTGTTTGCAACTCAAGCCTCCATTCATTTCAATTCAAAAAATATCTCAAATCGTTATTTTTTTAATCAGTTTTCACTTCTGTTCTCACTATTTATATTTAACCCATCCTCATCCATCCATCTCCTTCAGGTAAAGAACCCATCCATCCATGAAGCGGGCTAGTTATTATTTTCGCTATGACGAAACAGTTTATACAAATATATATATATACCGTCTTTTTTTTTTTTTTTTTTTTTTTTTTTTTTTTAATAATAAAAAGGTAGCTTTGAGTATAATATGAAAAAACTATCTTGATGCATCACATTTCTGACAATAAATAAAAACTTACAAATTTGTGAAGGTGCCCCTAATGCCTATGAACTTGTTGACTTGAACTTGTCGGATCTCATTTGTGTAGTTTAAATGGGATAGGCACACACGCGCAATGTTCTCAGATCCGACCATCTTGCGATCACAATACAGCTAACAGCTTCGACAATATTTGGACCTGTTACTATGACTTTCCAGGAATGCGTTGCAGTTGAGGCGGACATTTAGCACATTTAGTATCAATGTAATACTCTTGAACACCAACAACTTCGTATCCATGAAGCCTCGCCTATTTGAGAAAAATAAAATAATATAAATAGAAGAGAGAATGGGACCAAAATGCTTTTTTTTTTTTTTTTTTTTTTTTCGATACTTACTCTCGTCATGAATTACTTTTTGAACTCGGAATGCTTCGAGGACAATCCAGTTTGTGTGTTGAAAGAATCAAGACTGATTGTGGAAACTGCAGAGTTGGAGGCATCAATCTTGCTCCCGTTGTTCCCTCCAGCAATTTGAAGGATTGAATCAATCTCATAGTCGTATGCAGCTTTCTGGACTTTTCTCGAGCCCCAGTCTTTCGTAGGTGACACTTACTGAGATAATAAGACCGAAGTCATTCTCCCTCTTCATCCCTGTACAGGTACTCCAAGTACGAATTGGCCCCTGAAAGCGTCATGAGCGGTAGCGCTGAGTCGATCATATCGATACCGAGTTGGGCCTTTCTCTCTTCAAGCATTGACGGTACTTGATATATGGCGGGTACAAGAACGACCGAGGGATGGTGGTGAAGCAACGAACTTGGGGCTCTCCTAGGCCTAGAGTTACTGCAATCAATGTCTTCACCTCTCTAGGATCTATCACAACGACAAGCGGTGTCGGACCAGAGCTTGAGGACGTTCCATCGAAAACAACCTCGATATTCTTCAGCATCTTGGAGCCTCATTTCCAGTTGATGCTAGAGGCATGCGCTCTTTCTGTATCTGAAGTGCCTGACTCATCATCCAAGGAGGCTGGACCAGAGTTACCTGAGGGCACGGAAGTACGTGGTGCTCCACCCCGCGCACGCTTCGTAGCTGTAGACGAGAGCTTACTTTTGGGAAGTCTGCAAACATTCCTGTTTGGCTATTTTTCTCGAAAAAGTAGTCAATCAGGCTTCTGTTTTCTGAGTGATCCTAGCCTACACCTGCAGCTGCTTTGCTGAGGCTCCTATCTTAACCTTTGAACAATGGGGCTGTTTGTACTACCTTGGAATGGAGTCAGAAGAAAGCAATCTCTCTTATCTTCAAGATAAACTTATAGAAGGGTACGGTGGCGTAGAGGAGATATCACCAAGCAGGACGTCGACGTTCTCAATTATCTTATCATAAACTACTGTGAAATGCTCTCAGAGCCAATTGGCAATGGTATCAAGGTAATGGCCTCCGAGAAGCATAGGCATTGCTCCATCATAAAAGAAAGATGTTTACGAGGATGACGACAACCTAGAATAAATATATAACTCGTTATCTGATGCAAGATTTCGGCTCCAATTTAAAGTACAATTGGAATAGCGACGACTATTCGATACTTTTATGCGCTTCTACTCCCATGAACTGTGTCATAAATTACTTTTTCCCTTGAACCGTAAAACGGGCAAATTTGCCCACTTAGCTTTCATCAACTCATGGGCAGGTTAGACAGTCCTCTATGCCTTCTATTAGTAGAAAACAACTGCCAAGAATAAGTGAAATCAATCAATAAAAAAAAGTTAGCAAATACCAAGTATCAAGCTATATCATCATGGCGACTATGTTCATCTTTCACTTGCCTCCACTTCCTTGCTCATCTACCAGCTTTCACCATTTTTCACTAGCCTAAAGATAGACAAATCACCAAATCTCTACCGCTATTGTTTTCTATCTCCTTCCTGACTTCTTTTTTGATAGAAGTATATTGCCGAGCCAGCCTTCATACTGATCTAAAATTTGTCATTCGGGACTTTTTTTTGTAGGCTCAAGTCCTTGCCTCTAACAGCAAGTGCCAGGCCAAATTGCTATAATATAGAGCTGTTGGCATTCATAGATATTCCACTAGTGCACGTTGCCACTGTACCAACCGTACCAGTTCATATCGCTGTAGCATATATCCCGTTAAAGGGGTTCTATGTTTTGCGGCGCATAGTGTAACAAAGAGACAAGAGGAAGAGAATAAGAAACACGATAACATAATAAAAGAGTATGATGTTGTATATTTATACAACACCCGTAAACGTAAATCATAGACATATTGTTTCTATGTAAAAGTCAATACCAGGGATGCAATCTCTGATACATCAAAATTCTTCCATTTGTGGCGGGATTATAAAAGGGTTGAAGTCTTTTGGATTCTCAATCCTATTTTCCCTCTGCCTCAAGAACAACAGAGTCCTCACCGGGGCTTGCGACCTTTTTTAAAAGCCCCCCTCGGAGGAATGTATAGCCGCGTGCGACTTGAATTTCCTCTGTAAAAGAATTTGGAAGGTTACCCCATGGTCCGTGCGCGACACAGTAAGGTCCTCACTCACTTGCCATGGTGACTGTTTGATGCTTGTTGGTTTTCCAAAGAATCGGTTTGAACTACTCGAATGAACAGATTCACTGTGATATTCAAAACAATAAAACTTGACAGAAAGTCAGTTAATTCTCGAACCATGAGGCAAAAAATGCCTCTGAAAGCTTCAACAGGATTATGGTGCGCTTTTAGGACACAGGAAGATAGCATTGTCTCTTTTGAGCAATGAGGGATATGGGTTTGTTCCTTGGAGATGAGCTTTTTGAAACTACACCTGTTGCTAGTAAAAATACAAATGGTTCCTATTTTCCGCATACTTTCAGCGCTTCCATTATCAAAGGGTACATGTCTGTCGAAGTATTGCTTGCAAAAGTTAATGTCAATGCCTAAAGTATTGTTTAAGGGACGACGCAGAGTGGTCAATAGCTTGTGGCAGTGCTCAAATATGTATACGATTTCATGTGGAGCTCGTACGATTGTTAATAATGCAGTTAACATATTGCGATCGTACTCCTCTAATCTGATCTACATGACATATGTCCAGTCAGACTAAGTGGTTCGGCTGCGATCAGGAATCCCAGGACTCCGGACCCTTTTCTTGTTTTAGCGAAGTTTGTTTGTATAAATCGAGATCCTCTCTAATCTGATGCAACATGCCCGCTCCAAACTGTATCGGATCAAATAGGGTCGACTGTATCACCGCCACCGCCACAGCCAGCCACAGCCACAACTTCAAATCTCAACATGTCACAGGAGAGCATCTCTCTTTTTTTATCTGCAGAGAAGTCCACACGACCAAGAATTAAGTATCTTTGGGAAACAAAAATGATGGTCCAAAATGAGCTTGCTGTTGATGTTTATCGCGTTGACAGAATCTTTTAGTCAGACTTGTCACGGCGTTTTTTGAGTTCTGTGCGTGCACTGCAGTAGATTGGCAGGCCAAATAAACAGAGAAAAGAGCCCTCTCCGTTCTCTATCCGCCCCCATTTTTTTTTACTCACACACTCATCACTTCATCCCATCCACACCTTTTGAACTCTCTTCTCTCTTTCTTTCTCTTCTTTCTTTCTCTTCATCCACTTTTAACAAACACAAAATAGACTCACAGATGACCACTCCGCATAAACTCGGCGTGTTGGTCGCCATTCCCATCAAGGGCAGGAAGCTCATCAACCGCAGTGGAGGAAAACAATCACCATATGTCCAACTCAAACTTGGTCCAGAGCAAAAGAAGCGTACACGTGCATCTCTCATCGCCTCGGTTGAACCAGAATGGGATCAAGAGGCAAGTTAAATGAGCCATCCATCCCTCATTTCCTTCTCTCTTCCCCCTTTTTTTTTTTTTTTTTTTTTTTTTTTTCTGCTGACCAGTCTCTTTGTCTGACATCTTTTTTTTTTTTTTTTTTTTTTTTTGCATACATGCCACATCTCTTTTGGTCAAAATAGGTTCGACTAGATGTGTTTCATGGTCAACTTGACATGCATGTTGCTGTCTATGACGAAGGCAAGAAGAACGAACTCATTGGCGACGGAACCCTATTACTGCACGAAGTTGTCGACAAGGGCGAGCTCGATGGTAAAAAAGGAGTCTCTTTGTCAGCAGTATAACAAAATGGCGCATCCAGGAACAATAGGGGCGGAGTATAGACAAGAAACTGACAAGTGATAACATTATTTCTTTTCATTGGAAAAAAAATGTTCTTAGTATGGTTCCCTATTAAGTACAATGGATCACCCGCCGGCGACATTTACTTTGAACTGACCTTTTACGCCGCGGTAAGCGAGTAAACATTAGTTTTAGGAAACGTGTAAAAGAGAAAAGAGGGAGGAAGATGACAAAACTTACCAAAATGAAAAAGATCTTTGAGCATGGAGAGGCATTATTTCTTCATTCTTCTTGTTTCGTTGTTCGGTCATGTAGCTCTCTAACCGGTTGATTTTTCTTGCTTCCATCATGGTTGTTTGTTTACGTTTGTCAGGCACCTCCACCTGCAGCTGGAAGCACGCCTCCTGTCTCTCAGGCACAGATCCAGACACCGATCAGACACACTCAGCCAGGATTCCAGAGCGGCCTCGGAATGCATGGAGTGCCACACACGCCACCAACCAGCGGCTTCGGTAGCCCCGCAGTAGGCCCACCTCCACCTTTTGCAGGAAATATCTATCAACCTGGCTACAGTGCTACTCCACGACCATTCGCACCACCACAACCTTTCTCACCCGCCTCTACACCATATGGGGGTCCTCCTGTATCAGGACCTGGTTTTGGTGCCGCTTCTCCATTCCGCCCACCAGGTGCTAGCCCATATCCTACCAACACATCACCTCAGTTTGGTAACGCAAGTGCTCCCGGAGGAGGACCCTATCCCAATCAGATGCCCCAACCCTTCCTTTCAGGGCCCCCTGGCAGTAACGCTTTCCCAACCAACAACATCGCCAATAACAACAACATGCCACCAAGATTCCCAGTACCACAACACTCTGGCCCTGGATTTCCACAAGGGCCCGGTGGAGGCCCTCCCAACAGTTTTCCTAACAACGGACCAAACAACAACAATTTTCCTCATAATGGTCCACCCAATAGTTACCCCAACAACAACTTCAATAACTTCAACAATGGTCCCAACAACTTTAATAATGGCCCCAATCATAATAACTTTGGTGGGAATGGCGGACCCAATGGCAACTTTGGAAACAACGGCAACAACTTTAACAACAACAACAACAATAACTTCAACAACCAAAACAACTTTAACAACAACAACATGAGCCAGAACAACCGCAATAACAATCTCTCAACAGGAGGTGCTCCAGTTACACCTCTGATGCAATACAACTACAACCTCGAGAGTTTCCCTTAGATTTATCAATAAATATGCAAAATACACACTTCACTTGAAATTCTCATGTTGGAAATACGCAAAGAATCTTGCTGAACTTGAAGACACTCATTCATAACCGCCAAAAAGATGAAGTTGTAATGCTTCATGGCATCATTCTATCTGTCTCTCACTTACATCTTTCTTCATTGTTTGACTAACGATCCTTCAATGCGAATGACATTTAATTTCACCTTGTTTTATTTTTTATCCTTCTCTTTATCGGATTACTTGATCTACTATTTTCAAGTATTATTTAGTTTAGAAAAGAGTAACATATCCGAACTTGTCGTTGTAGCCCTTGGTGTCCCACTTGCTCTTAGCCAACAAAGCATCAACCTTCTCGGCGATCTCGGGGCGAGATTTAAGGACATCATCGACCTAAGTGGTTATAAAAATGATAATTATCATAAGAAAAAGAAGGTTAAACTCCTAACACAGCTTCTAACAACATGTCTCCTGCTCTTCTCAATCGATGAACCCATTCCAATCTCTTCAAGTTTTGAAGGCTCTTTTTTTAAAACTTTGCAAAAATTGAAAAGTAATACGTACGGTAAGCTCATCAATAGGGCGAGAGGTCTCGATGTTCTTCAAGGTGGCCTGGAGATCAGCAAGTTCGGATTCGACCTTGGTGGCAGTTGACTTGGCACGCTCAAGCTAAAATATTTTTTTAACAAGTTAACAAGCAGACAGGTCAGATCATATGTAATCCTCATTAACAGAAGACATGGTGGATGATGATGTTATGACAGTCGTATGTATTTCGGCTGAATGTAATCCTGGAAAACTTGTAGGAATAAAATGAATTGATTGATTATTGTTGAAAAAAAGCGAGAAAGGATGCAAATATTTATATATATGCCGTGGAAGAAGGAAAAAAAAAAAAAAAAAAAAAGTGTAGATCTTAATCTTATAAAATGAATGTCATGAAAATGAAATAAGACGTTGGTGATGAAGAGATTTGATTCAATTTTTTCAATTGTGATGATAATGCATCATTGGATTGTTGTCGATCAAGTTGCAGAGTGTGTAAAGTGTAAATGGGTTGAATGGAGCAAGTAAAAAAGAAAAACACATACAGCCTTAGCCTCAACGGCTTCAATGGACTTGATCTGAGCCTGAACATCATAAGTGGTAGGCTTGAAGGACTTGAAGGCCTTCTCAAGCTCATCAACAACAGCCTGATTCTTGAGAACCTTGCGGTAGTGAGCAAAGTCAACAGCGGTCTTCTGCTCCTGAAGATCAGTCAAGACGCGGCGAGCCTCCTCATTGCGCTTACGGAACGCGCTGAGGGCAGCGACGGTCTCGGTTTTAAGGCCAAGAGAGGTGGACAATTTTGTCCAATCAATGTGAGCAGCAGCAGTCTTAACAGCAGACATGATGGATGATAATGGAGAGGAAAAAAGAGGAGAGTGGAGTGGGGAGGGTGGAGTGATGGAGAGTGAAAGAGAAGAGTGATGTTAATCAATCATTCAATTACAGGAACCACTGGACATGCAGCGTGCAAGAAACAGTGTGTTGATTTTTCCATGTAAATAGTACAGGGAAATATTTTATCGCATGTGTTGTACGCAATTTGTTCCTGTTGCACCCGGGGCGCACAAAAAAAAATATGTTAATACGCTTGCAAAGCCACTCTTCCAGCATCAGGTAGCCCCCACCACAATTAGCAATTAGTTGATCATTTCATCCATCGCTTCTTATTTCGTTTCTCAGTTGCCATGTTTGGAATCACTCGTTGTATCATGCGTGGGGCTTCTAGGCAGCAGCTCACTGCCAAGCGTGGTCGTAACCATTATAAGGGTAAAAATTAAACAATTGAAGCATACAAGAGCTGGAGCTGGCGACTATTCTATTTGCGATATGGAATTAAAAATTGACTGATTTGTTGTCTTTTTTTTCATTCTATATTCCGGATTCTGGCTCTTTATAGGAACTGGAAGTGGCTCTATGGGTCGCCATACTAAGCGTGGACGATATGTGATTGAATGGGAAAAGGTCCGTTCGTTTGTAGTGCCAGATCTGACTGATTTCAAGGTAAATAGATGGATCGAGCAGAAAATTTTCCTCCGCTGTTACTCTTTTAAGTTGTATATCGTCGTCAATTACACTACGTTCGCCTGGATATAGTATTTGTATACAACTCTAATAATGCTTTATATATATATATATATTATTAGTTATTGCCCTATGTCTCCCGTTCGACTCAAAAAACCACTGGAGCATTCACAGCAAAGGACTATCTAAAGAGAATTGAAGTGCCCACTCCTGAAAAGATTACTTCGTAAAAGCAATCTGCTTTAAAGATAGCTGTTATGTCAGGATCCAGGTTTATGGCTGAGCAATAGAGCGCTCAGGAACGAGAAATATTTAGCAGCATGTTCACATTATTTACTCTATTACACTATCGTTTTTTTTTCCCTCTTTTTTCCTTTATCTTTCTAGTTTACTTTCCCCATTGTATATTTACTTTACAAAAAAATGTCATAGCTTACTGTTATAGAATACATTCATATATTTTCTGGTTTAAATATTGATGATAATTGTGTCGTCCAAAATGAAGGGCTTTGTTTGTGATTTGAGGAGCAGTCACAAAAAAAAAAAAAAAAAGTGTAAATACACAATCTACAAACGTTGGAAACCCATTCCTTCCTCCTTTACTTTTTTTTTTTTCCAATTTCATTCGCTCTGTGGGATCATTGCCATGGCTGGGCCAAACAAAAAGCCTTCTGATAGGGGTTATAAGGCTCAAAAGAAGGATTGGAGCAATAATAATGTTAATAGCAAAGGAAAAGGCAATGGCAACAATTACAACAATAGAAACAGCAACAATAAAGGTCTTGGAGAGGAGGACAAGAGCAAGGTTCAAAAAGCCTTTGCCTCAGTAGTGAAGGGACCTTCTGCTAATGGTAGCATCCCAAAGGGCATGCTTACATCAGCCAAACTAAAACCTACCAAGGTCAAACTGACCTTTGAACCATCACCGCAATGGTACAACAACGAACTTGCGGTGTTGGAGGACGATGGGAAGGAACATCATATGCTCGAGACAACACTCACTCAAAAAGTCAATCAGGCTACGCGCCTTCTGGAAGAGGAGAACACAAAGTATGATGAGAACCCTAATCTATCGTCTTCGGACAAAAACTTTGTGTCAACTATCATGTCCTCTGGTACTCTGAACGATCGTGTTTCAGCCCTTACATTGTTGGTGCAGGAGTCACCTCTACATACTACAAAGAGCCTCGATAAGCTCATGAGCATGGCTGAAAAGAAGAGCAGGACAGAAGCTGTCAAGGCAATCGAGAGTTTGAAGGATCTGTTTATTGGAGGAATATTGCCTGATCGCAAGCTCAAGTACGTGTGTTAGCATAAGACCTTCCAAGGAGAATATAAACATGTCTTTTCAAACTTTCTATTTTACTTTATTATATATATTATTTCGCAAATACTAATTAACTTATAATATACCGTTTACCTCAACCACAGGTATTTTCAAGATCGTCCATTGACCCATCCTAAGGCTTCGAACGAACATCTGATCATGTGGATTTTCGAGGATTATCTGAAGAAGACTTTTTGGAAATTTGTGCAGCTACTTAAAATCCTTTCGGACGACCCTGTTGTGCATGTTCGCCACCGCATCCTCGGCTTCATTGCAGAGTTAATGGCTTCGAAACCAGAACAGGAAAACACCTTGCTAGAAATGCTCGTCAATAAGATGGTAAGACCCCCCCCCATTTCATTTTGTGAATACTGGTGAGTATTACTGGCTATCCAACATTTCTAGAAATAACATTAATCGTGTCTTTTTTTGTCTCTTCCCTATTTGTTTATTTTTCTTTTCTTTTCATGACAATGATTCTAATAGGGTGATAATGAAAACAAGGTCTCCGCAAAAGCATCATTTGAGATTCAGCAACTGTTGAGAGCACATCCAGGGATGACTATGATTGTAGTCCGCGAGATTGAGCGATTGTTAATGCGCCCTCGCGTCTCACAGCGTGCACAGTACTACGCCATCATTACTCTGAATCAGACTATTTTGAACTCACGACAAGTGGATGTCGCCAACAAGTTGATCGACATCTATTTTGTGTTCTTCAAGCGCATGTTGGGAGACCAGGAGTCACAGGTCAAGAAGACAAAGAGTTTCTTGAAAGAGAACAAGAACAAAGTAGACAAGAAGAGGAAGAAGGATGCTGGAAAGTCCAAGGGACCACACAGGACACCAGGAGAAATCTTGGATATGCAAGACGCAGAAAACTCCAAGATGATTGCCGCAGTCCTTACTGGAGTCAACCGCGCATTTCCTTTTGCCAAAATTGATGATAAGATATTCACTGCTCATATGGACATCATCTTCCGCATCACTCACACTGGCACTTTTAACACCTCGATCCAAGCCCTGCGTCTGATTTTCCGCGTCATTACTATTCAGAAAGCTTCTTCAGATCGCTTCTACAGGACCTTGTACGAATCCCTGTTAGATCCTCGTTTGATTTTAACTTCCAAGCAATCCATCTACCTCAACCTTCTCTTTGATGCACTTCAGGCCGATCAGTCCCTTCCAAGGATCAAGTCCTTTATGAAGCGTCTTGTCCAGTCTTGTGCGCATCATCAGCCTCCATACATCTGCGGAGCTTTTTTTTTGATTTCAAAACTTATGGAATCCAAGCCTGGTCTTTCTGACATGATCAGTCAGCCTGAAGATAATGAAGAAGAGAATTTCAAGGATGTCCCCGAAGATGAACCAAATGGGGAAAAGGATGGAGAAAAGGATGAGTCCAAGGAAAGCGAGAAAACAGAAAAGAAGCTTCCCTCAACTCCAGTAGACAACATCAAGTATGACGGAAGGAAGCGTGAGCCTTTATATAGCAATGCGGATAAGACATGTCTTTGGGAAATGGTAAAGTCAACTTGTGGCCATCCATCCATTCTTTATTTTTTTTTTTTTTTTTTTTTTTTTTTAAAAAAAAAAAAAAAAAAAAAAAAAAAAAAGTCAAGCATAATACTAACAGCGTTCTATCCTCTTTATTGTCTCTTTTTTTTTTTTTTTTTTTTTTTTCTATCTTTCTTTTTTCTTTTTTTGTTAATTGCAGATACCATTCCTATCACATTTCCATCCTACAGTTTCGTTATATGCTGCTCATATTTTGTCTCTCCAGCCAATTGAGGGCAAACCAGAGTTTTATCAACATGCTCTAATCCACTTCTTGAACCGCATGGTGTACAAAAACCCTAGAAAACAGAGGGATGATGTCAACACTGCATTGGGTACTAAGGGATCGTCCATCATGCAACCTATGGCTGCACATCGTGGAGCGAGCATTATGCTCAAGAAGGGTGGTGGAAACGATGTCAATGTCAACACGGAGGCCTTTTGGCAAAAGAAAGAAGAAGATGTTCCTGTTGATCAAGTCTTTTTCCACAAATATTTCACGCAGAAGAAGGCCATGAATCCTGCTAGTACTAAGAAGAGCACCATATCAGCAGGATCGGATGAAGATGAGGATAACTTTACAGGCTCCAAGAAGAAGAGGAAGGACAGTGATGAGGAGGACAATGGCTCTGATTTGGATGAAGATGAGGTCTGGAGGGCAATGATGAATGATATGCCCAAGGACGCATTGGAAGATGTGGATGAAGATGAAGACGATCTGAGTGATGCTAATCTTGAGGACCTTATGTTGAGTGACATTGAAGAAGAAGAAGTTGATGAGTCATTTAGTAACGATGAGGCTAATTGGAAAGATGATGAGGGTGACGAAGACGAAACAAGCATGTTTATGGATGAGGAGGAGGATATAGTTCCCAGCGATACGGAAGACGCTGTTGAAGAAGAGTCTGATGAAGAAGAAAAAGGTAACGAATGTGAATTGTTTATGTGAACTATTTCAAAAAAAAAAAAAAAAAAAAAAAAAATTGCACTCGGTTATTAACGGTTTTTAATATCCAATTCTCTTTTGGACCCATTAGGTCGCCATAAGAAGCGTAGAAAGAAGGTAGCTCTGCCAGTGTTTGCCTCAATGGAGGACTATGCACATCTCATTGATCAGGGCGATAGTGAATAAGGGGAGTTATTATCAGACCAGACACACATTTCCAATCAATACACGATTTCATGCATCAATAACATTTATCTTTCATCATTATTTAATTTACTTCCGATGTTCCGATGTAACGTGAGGATATGGTTCGTGCACGATAAACCCAAATTGAATTAACATCGAGAGGCATGAACTGTATCAAGCAGTGACTCGTACTGATGTACTGAAAAAAACTTCAGTACGAGTCACTGGTATCAAGGGAAAATGATATGTAGAACTTGAAAATGTCTTGTTGTCCAGTACAGTCGAAGGTGGTTTTTATGAACAAATTTATATTGAAATTGTTTATAAAAATGAATGAATTGACCTCCACAAAAGATGTATTTTAGAACGTGAAAATTAAGACGCAAATGACACAAAAACAGTTTAATATACCTTTCGTCCTGCAAGTGAATCTCCCAGGAGAGTCGTGCACAGCCATGCTAATCCACTGGGTCGGGAGACGCATCTTCTGATGAGCTTACTAGTTGGACTCATGGAGGAAATTCAGCAGCTAAAGTCGATAAAGGTCATCAAAAGTAGACCTTTAGAAGGACGATGGAAGTTAGGTCAGGTTATAAGTCCACTTCGTATAGATATTGCATTTGGCTTCAGAGACCATGTCTACATGCTTCTTCCTGGAAAATTACATTATCAGAACAAAAAAGCGTTGCAGCAGAAATCAAAATGGAAGGCAGAAGGTTTTTTTTTTATATGACAAATACACTGAGATATGATGGTCATCATTGAAGGAAAGAGAGAGCCTATTTACATTTTATTCAATTCTGCTGGGACAAATGAAAGTGAAAAAACTGCCCAGAAAGAAAAAAAAAAAGGCGATGGATACTAAAAAGTTGAAGGAATGAGGAGTAGTTATCTCTTTAACTATACTGCACATTATCAAACACGTTCTCTCGCGTCAACTCTTGCATATCATCCTCTGCAACGTTATTGTCTTGACGGAGATCACGGTTCTGACGACCGTATTGCTGAGAACGTTGAGTCTCGGCTTGTCGTTGGGACCACTGGCCTTGGTTCACATCATCGACTTGACCTCTTTGGCTCTGGCCCTGGGTCTGACTCTGGTTTCGGTTCCGGCCTAGATCTTGGTCACTGATACTACTGTTCTGGTTCACGTCCGACCAAGAGCTGTTCTGGTTCTTTAATGAGTCTTGTTGCTGTTGACCAGACAGGTCTGCAGCATAGCGTTGGTTCTTGACCTTGTTACCACTCGAGATGGTATCAGAGGGGAGGTTGCGATCCATTGTGTGTACGTTTGTCTGTTTGTTTGTTTGTTTGTTTGAAAGAGATAAAGGACGTGAAGATGATGGCTGTTAAAGGCGAAGGGTTTTTATACTGTTTGCAATAGAAGTTTTATTCATCAGAATTACGTTTTGGATAAACAAATAACAACGCAATGCCGCATTGACCATTTGCTCACAGAACACGTTTAGTGTGGGGTAAGTAAACCAATGCAGGTGCGTTTTTTTTCTATGCATGAATAAGTTAAAATGTGGCTGTTCTCTTGTGTCTCTGTGGAGGGAAGGGTAAAAGGGTAACAAACAAAAAGACTAGTGTATGTCTCTTAGTCTGAGACAAAGGCTAGAATAAGTGAAATTGGTTGGGTTGATTATCGCTCATCTTTCATCAAGACCTAATTGACCATGAACAAAAAGGACTTGTCGTTCATGATGAGCTTCATCCCTATTTCATGTGTATCATTTTTTTTTGTTTTTTGCATAATTTCTTTTTTCTTTTTCCTTGTTATTGGGCATTTGAGACAAACACCTTGCCATTTACAGCTTTGAACATACATAATGGCTTTCCATTTCTTTTTTTTTTTTTTTTTTTCTTATTATGAACCCCTTCCCACGGACTAGTAAGTTCTAGTAAAGTTGCTGTCTAGACCAGTAAGGATTTCTGTTTCTAATGCAATGTTTTATCAATGCATTTTTTATTTTAAAACATTTCTCTAACGTTCTTCCTTGCCAGCCTTCTCAGCCTTATGGGTGTGTCTGAACGGTGATTTGTACGCTCCCGCACTGTAATCTTGGGCTTCTTCCGCAAGGGTGTTCGAGTCTTGCTCCACAGGGCGTTTAGCATGTTTGTTCACTTCATGCTCTTCCCCCACATATTGCACCTTTGTATCATTCTCAGAACTTCCATTCTCTTGGCTATCAGTGGCAATAGCAGCACTAGCAGGGTCAACAGGTGCATCGGCTTCAGCCTTATGACTCAGAACGTCCCTATCGGCTCCTCTTGTGGATCCATCCGTAATAGGTTGCTCTAATGGCTCCTTATGCTCAAGTTCATGCTGCTTAATCTCTTCAGCTGGCTGAGACCTGGCTGGATCCGTTTCCTGAACTTCAGCATTATTGATAGGTGTTGTTGAAGCTTCACTCGATGGTTCGGTTGTTTCTTTATTACTTGCGAGCAAGTCTGGATCATTGGCCTCGAGTTTCTGGTCCTCCTTCTCATGAACAGTCTCGGCTGCCTGGTGAGTACTATCGACAGCAGAAGGAGATCCATTAGAAACCTCTGGACTCTCAGTTGTCGAAGAAGCATTCTCGGTTGCTGCTGCAGCCTGAGAGCCTGAGGATCTACGGGTGTTTGTCATTTTTTTCTTCTTCTTTAGGAAAATATAGCGCTGTTATTGCTTGAGGATGGTGATATAGAGATATAAAGAAGAAGAAGAAAAAAAAAGAAAAAAAAAGACCCAACTAGTAGATAAAATAAAAATAAAAAACCGTCGTAGTTCAGTTTTGCTTGATGAGAATGACACATCCAGGTCCTAACTGAAGGGTTTTTAGTTTTTTTTTTTTTTTTTTAGACAAAGCTGGACTGAAACAACCGTGTCATGCCTTATAAATATATAGAAATATAATATATCTATTTCACTGACCCTTTTAGACCTTGTCATCATTTTCATCATCTGTCAATTTTTTTTTTTTTTTTTTTTTTTTTTTTTTTCACTGGGGCATTCCAGACGCAATAAAGTTATCCTTAATGCGTCAATCATTATTTAATAATGGTACATGCATGAAGCGAGGGATTTTGACTAAAACAAAAAAGACACTTAAAAAAGGTTGCCTGGAATAGACTAATAGACTACGAGACTAGCATGAATGGTATATGTTCGAGTGTAGGATGAAGTTTTTGCTTGCTACGTACTTAGAGAATATAAGCGAGGACGTGTAGCAAAAGGGAAAAAAGACGAATAGAAAGGTTAAAATGTACAAAAACGAGAAAGAGAAGGAGAGATGGAAAGGAAGCAAAAGGAGGGGGGAAAAAAGTACCCATTACTCAAACAGAGTCATTGGAAGGGGGTAGAGGTATTGGAATATCAGTCGTAAGCCAATGCTCCAATAAAGGTCTCACAAACGGCCCACCACCATCAAGGCGTTCACGGAATCGAAAGACGATAAGGCTTTCATTCCTGTCTGGATTCAGCAGCTCTTTGTCGAATCTTTTAATGCAATAAGAGAACAAAAAGAAAGAAAAAAATCGATTCATTTAGTTCATAGTACATTAGGGCTCTTTTTCATTTATCAAAGCCATAGTAAAAATATATGATAGGAACATTAATAACTCAGAAAAGTAGAATCACGAATGAGCATTGCCTGAACTGTACCTAGTGAGATATTGTCGTAAGAGAGCCTTCATAATAATCATATTCTCGCCATCACCAGCATCAATGGCCTGGAACTCGGTCCCTTCAATTCCTTCTTTCCAAACATCAATCTCTGTTCTCTCTCCATCTTGCACAAGTTGGATTTGGAAATGGTCCTCGTACAGAACCACAGTACAGTTAGGATATTGATAGAACGCATTGTTCGGTCCAAATGCAATAGAAATGGTGGGGAAGTGCAGAGGAAAGGCCGTTATGCTGTTCTTGTAAGGGACTTTGTTATATAATGAGAGACTATCAGTTGCTGCTTCAGAATTCTCATATATTGATTCTGAATCCCTGTCCATATCCATGTCCATATCCATCTTGAAATCATTAGTATCTGATTGCGTCGAGGCGCTACTGGCAGATGACTCGAGTGTCTCGGACAAGTCTTGACGTTGATGTTGATGTTGATGTTGATGAACATGAACAAGCCCATTTTTCTTTTGCTTAGCCCATCCATTAGAAGATTGCACTTCCTTGTTCTCTTGACCGTATTGCTTAGAGCTCGGCAGGTGTTTAGGGGGCATTTTAGCTTGTTCATCAAGTTCATGGATAGGTACCATTCGTGGACCTGGTAGATTGTTGGGTATGGATACTAAAAGAAAAAAAAGAAAAAAAAAAAAATAAGTTTACGCCCTCTCTTTCAAAAAACCTTACAAAACAACAATAAAAACATGTATTTACTGGAATGTCGTTTCTTGACAGGGACAATCCTCTCAGTCTCTACGGTCTTTAATCCGTTAATTTCAAGCCTCGGACTCGACTTTTTTTCGAAATGATTGTTGCCTTGTCCTGGAGATGTATGCTTGTTGGCCGTCTTATTGTGGGTCTTTTTGTCTTCTCCTCGACGGGTATGTCTGTTCATTGCCAAAGATGTCTTTACGCCTTTTGAGCTAGACGAATGATGGGTACTATTGGACTCTTTGGTATTGGGTGAAGACGAAGATATGGAGGCTGCAAGTGGTTTTGGATGTTGATGAGTGTCATTCGTGCCCTGTAAGATCTTTCCATGTTTCCATTTAACGCCACATGCGTTGCAAAGCGTGCTTGGACCATCAGGACCCCGTCTCCACATCGGAGTGGTCGTGCACTCACAGTAGGCGCATCGCTTTTGCTGAGAGGAAGTCGAGGATGATCCCGACACACCATTCTTTTTGGATGCACCACTCACTGTGGCTTTTTTGACAGTGGGCCCCGATCCCTTTCCATTACCCTCCTTGAGTCGCTTTGATTTGGATGGCTTTTGGCCGTCGATCTAGATGTGTATGGGAATGAAATAATTATTAACAGTGAGTACATTTCAGGTGGGATAAAAGCTTGCGCTCCTCGCAAAAGCATATGAAATTGAAACAGGAAATCTTACCATAGTATCCATTTTCCGCTTCGCTGAGGATATGTTATGGTTTGTGGATGACGACTTTCCCGACCCTAAAATTTCAGAGGTTTCCTCATGGTAGGTTGGAGGTGTAGGCTGACGATTACGAACAGTCTTAGGCTTGTTGTATATTAATGATGGGTTGGTGGTGATACAGGGTCCCTTCACAGCCAATTCCAGTCCTTCACGCAATGCGGGTGTTGCTTTCAGAATAACCAAAGTTGTTGTCTGATGTTGTGAAACGGGGAGAGTGAAGGAGGCAGAAATCTTTGCAGATTCTGTATCATGGGCCGGTGTGAACTCTAGAGATGCCTCTTCAGGGAATAGCCATTGTATACCAGGGTTCTCTTTGAACTCCATGACGACAACATGCTGTTGAGAATGGTCGGACACAGATGATTCTTCCTTGTATAATTCCTGCTCTTGTCCTTGCTCTTGTTTCAAAGCCTTTGCAGAGCTGTAATTTCCTTGATCCATTGGATTGTAGTCTGGTGTTGTTGTTGCTGTTGCTGTTGCTGTTGCTAATGTTGTTGTTGGTGCGACAGAATGGAATGATGCGGGAGGACTGAGGGCGGTGTAGAATTTAGTATCGAGGAAAATATGTGGACCGATGTGGACTGTGCAGACTCCTGCCAGGGACACTCCGGAAGACACGGAGGCATGCTGCTGCAGGGGCATATGGCTTTTGTCGTTATTGTCTGACCCAGGACTGAACCTGCGAAATGCTGCGTGTGTCCAGGTCTGGCGCGACTGGCCCCAGGAGGCAGTACTGTGTGGTAGGAGTATAGAAACAAGACCAATGGAAGAGAATGAAGTTAGAATGGGCGATTCAAAACCATGGTGCGAAATGAACACCAACTATTATTACATACAGAAATTAATATAAAAAAATAAAAAAATAAAAAAATAAAAAAAAAAAAAAAGCATACGCTAAGTATCAGTCATCCGTACCTGTCAACATTGCTAATGGTTTGGTTTGTGTGAAGGTCCTGCTCAGTCGATCGCTTCTTTAGGTCCTGGTGTACAATAAAGTTAGCAGGTCGCTTGACCACTTTTTCTGAAGTTGCAGCGGTGACTGTATCCTTTGGAGAAGACATGGAATGGACTCGTTGCGTAGTGGGATGGATCGTGTTCATTTGGTCAGGAAAAGGAGCAACACGATGAACACTCACAACAAGTCGATTCTAAATAGCAATTGAAAACAAACAACAAAAAAAAAAAAAAAAAAAAAAAAAAAAAGAGAGAGAGAGAGAGAGACTAGGAAAGATAGGCAGAGTAAACGAAAAAAAGAGGAAAAAAAAGTGTGTATATGAGTGAAAGTGGAAGAAATCGAACAGAATAAAGAAAAAAAAAAAAAAAAAAAAGAGGGAGAGAAAGAGAGAAAGGAGTGAAAGGAAAGGAATGTGTGCGGCAAGGAGCTAACTAGCCATCCGTCACGGGCTGTCAGGCCGGGTGGAGAGACAAAATGAACAGATCACTAATGCAGTAACTGTTGTAAATTTGTTACGAGGTCAATGGAATGATGAGTATGGTGAGAGTAAAAGAAGAATGCAGTCTAAGAGGTAAGAAGATGAAAGCATGGATGAATAAAGTATATGAATGGTGATTGAAGATTGATAACGAGCGAGATAGAGAGAGAGATATATATATAGAGAGAGAGAGAAAGAGAGAAGCGATTAGTGTCAACAGATGGGAAAAGCAAGTATCACTGGAAACAGTGTTTTTTCTTTGGTGTGTGCGAACACTCTTTCCCTTTATTTGTTATTAGTAAAAAGAATACAAAATCAAATGGGAATGCATTCATTTTCATTCAATCACATGCATGAGAGTAAAAAAAAGCATTCTCAATTAGCTTTTTTTTTTTGTTTTAATGTGAATGGCAAAGTGCACTTACAACTTGAGAATGCACGAAGGAATAAAAAATGTAGATCGTGTAGGTTGATCCTTTGATGCGTGCAAAGAGGCGCAGAGCTGAGAAGGATAACAGAGCAAAGGATTGTAAAGTATAGGAATAGGAGTGAGAGAAGAGAGAGAGAGAGAGAGAGAGAGAGAGAGAGAGAGAGAGAGAGAGAGAGAGAGAGAGAGAGAGAGAGAGAGAGAGAGAGAGAGAGAGAATGGGAGAATGAGTTGATGGAATGAATGGATGACAAGGAAGCAAGGAAAGAAAAGAAAAGGAAAGAAATGGAAAGAAAGGAATGGTGCGTGAGAGTGTGAGAGTGTGTCTCTTTCTTTCTTTTGGTTTGCTCTTCTGTCTAGCTCAATCTCACTTGACGCTTCCAGGTAAGGTGATGAGAGTGATGGAGTTGTGGTAGTAAACAGGATGGAGACAGGTGACAATCATGAATGATTAATGAACAGAGGACGAATAAAAAAGAAACCCAATTTTTTGATTCCATTTCATTCCATGTCAATACATGGACATGACAAGTTTCATTTATTTTTTTTTATCATTCGTCATCGTTCTTTTTTTAAAAAAAAAAAAAAAAAAAAAAAAAAGTATAAGATTAAGCGCGTTGAGACGAACAGTGCAAGAGAAAGGAAAAAGAGCGGGCCTGGGAGACAACACATGAATAGACAAGGCAAGAGTCCTTTGGTCCTATTTTTCATTTTCATTTATTACATCCAAGATGAAAAAGGGATAAGGATGCATGCCTTCATTGAGCATATTGGGCACTAGTGGGACTTTGTTTTTTGAAATGGCTGAGCAACTGTGACAGAGACTGGGCCTGAAAAAAAAGTTGCTTTGCCCAAAAGTCAAATAAGTGACAAAGTTCCTAAAATTTATCGATAAATATACTAACAGATAGAAATACTAACTATTGTATTTACTAAATTCTAAACAGTTACTGGGCTTAGTTTACAGAAAGCTAAATTGAAAAACACAATTGTGTAAAATAATTGTTTCGTATACAAATTGAAGATCTCTTTCATCTTCTCATTTTCACATCTTGATCATTCATTCCATCTCTCATCCCAAGTATTCAAACAAACACATGAACGCAATCGGTTTTCATGCAAGTTCCATCTTTTTTTTTTTTTTTTTTTTTTTTTTTCAAAAAAAATTTTGCATGCATTCACAAGGTGCTTAGTATCCTGACAACATGCTTTTGATACATATATCGCTACTCAATATAGGGCGTCAATGGCGCGTATGCTGAAGATGCTATCATCGAGCTCACCTCTAAGCATCCTAGTTTTACACAACACACCTTCCGTACCGAAGGATTTGATACCCTGACTGAAGTAACGGACTTTTATTTAATCAATCCTGATCTTGACGCGTGGACCTATGACTGACTACATTTACACTTATATTGACATTCTAATTAGTTGTTTTCGAATATTCAACGCGGCACTGTTCGCCATGGGCTCATTCCAATCGAAAACTCCCTCTCTGGAACACTTCATTCTGTTCTTGAATTATTTGCTCGACAGGAACCGCGTCTCTGGGTTGTGGGCGAGTATACCTGCAGCGAGTCACATTACATTATGGCTCGTCCAGGCACTGAACTCAAAGGTATAAAAAGCTTGATCATCTGTGGCCTGTGATCAACATGCACATCCATAATTGATATCATTACTAATTTGGATCAGAGCAATCTAAAACTTTTTGCCCACTCGCCATCCTATGTAGCCTTCTTGACCTTTTCATTCTGATAATTATTTATCTGGCCATTATAGATATTTTTCACGTCATCTGCCACAAACTAATTCATTTACTATGATTTTTTTTTTTTTTTTTAAAAAAAAAAAAACTGGAGACATAATTAGACATTGTTGAGATCCAATCTCATCCTGCTATCCTCGAACAGTGTCAAGAATTCCTTGATGCAACGCTACCAGAAGGATACAGAGCTGTGCTCTCTAGTAATACAGCCAGTGCAGCTGAGGATGTCGCCAAGAGTAAAGAATTCGGCTGGTAAGGACATGCGAAAAAAAAAAAAAAAAAAAAAAAAAAAAAAAGTATGCAACCTGACTGTCCGTTTTAATATCCTTTTTTTTATATATACTTTTTTGCCTGCGGGGTTTAGTGCTGCTCTGGCAGGGAAACGAGCTGCGCAACTTCATGGTTTGGCTATCCTTGGATCAGATTCAACACCCAACAACGTGACACGTTACTGGCTTATCTCACGCCACCCAGTTTTGCAACCAGATCGGAGCATGAGTCCCAAATCATCCTTTGCATTAGTGATGAAGAACCAAGTCGGGGCTTTACATCGGGTCTGCTCCTGCTTTGCTCTTCGTGATATCAACATTACCAAACTAGAGTCCAGACCATCGTCCAGGACCATTACTTTAGCCTCACCATGGGAATACATGACTTATATCGACATTGAAGGCGCTCCTGGAAATGAGGATAATGTCAGGCGTGCGGTCGAAAATCTGCAAGAATTTACTCAAAAATGCATCCACCTTGGATCGTATCCCAGGTAAACGACATGCTCCATGTAGAACTAACTCTACGGACCATCGCGTTCAAAAAAAAAAAAAAAAAAAAAAAAAAAAGAAAAGCTAATTTCACTTCCACTTTAATGTTTTTACGAATGATCTTTCATAGATACTTACATGGAAGTCGACACTAGGATAGATACTCATTTTTAACTCGTTTAAATTTAATATATTTTACAACTTACGATAAAAATACAATGCGAAAATAAATAAATAAATTAAAAAAAATAAAATAAAATAAAATAAAAAGAATGCACAAAAAAGACTTTATCCTTTTTTCTTTTTCTTAAGAAAACTGCCAAATTTTGACGGTGCCATCACAATTCATGCTCACAATCTTCTCTTCATCAGAGCCAACCCAGATCAGTCCCAGACCTTCTTCCTTCGTGACCTGTCCACTCTCCGTCCAGCTCTTGTTGATATCGCTCATAGAGACAGCGCATTGATGGACCCGTTGATGTTCCAGTCGGTCATCCTCATGATTCTTCATTGCCATCGTCCATACTTTGATAGACCTGTCCATACTGGCACTGACTAATCTACCAGAACGCGATTCAATCGAAACACTTGATACTGCCCCACAATGCCCATAGAGTGTGGAAAGATGCTGAAACCGTAAACGCTTTTCTAGACGGGTGCGAGTATCTGAGGTTATATTTAACCAGGGAGTACCATAACTGCCGAATGTTGATGTCGTCGTCATTGTTGTCGTTTTTGGATTGATGATCTCCCGTGCCATCTGGAAGACATTCATGGTATTATCACTATGTGTCGTCACTACAAATGGCCACGAGATGCTGATGGTCGAGATAGGTCCTATCCGTGCATGATGGCCAACAGCAGTAGACTCGGCTGATTTACTGAAATATGTTGGAAAGATCAAGTCTTCTTCGTCTTGCTCCTCATCAATGATACTTGTACTCCCACCGTTATTAATATTATGCGTGTCATAAAAACCATCCTTGATTTCAGTCATACTGCCATAGCTGTCGCCCTCCGCTCCAATCTCCATCGAGTGAAGGATATAGTGTTCGTCGAACTCAATCTCCTGTAGCCGTACAGTCCAAGACCCATCATGGAGCTCCAATCCAAAACTAATGAGAGCCCTCCATTGTTTTGACTCAGTTCGTCTGCCCTTCTCTTTGTCATCGTCACCGTTTTCTCTCCTCAATGGACTATTGTCAGAATTAGTAGAAGTGGCAACTTCTTTGATCTGCTCCAGATCAACGCCTATGGGCGATTCTGTTGATGTCCCATAAAGTCTGTGCAGCAATCGGCACCAATGATGGGGGCTACTACGGTCCCCTCCTGACCTTTCTGTTGATGGCGGTGGTGACGACGCCTCTGACTGGATCAAGTAAATCGAGATGGCACCATCATTAGAACAGGTGATCAAGACCGGATAGAGGAACGATGCTGTTTGGATTCGTCCCACTTCACTCCAGGATTTTAAATCCATAGTATTGCCAATCTCTCGTAGAGTTGTCTTTGGATTTGTTTGTATATTGCCATCAACAGGCGATAATGCTGAAGTCGATGATAGATTACCAGCTATGCTTTTGCGAGCATCCGCAATTTTGGCTGTTACTTGGCTATCCTGCTGTCCTTGCTGTCCCTGTTCCTGCAGCTGCTGCGGCTGTTGAGCGTATTCAAAGATGGCAAAATGACCCGACTCGAATCCAACCATGACTTTTTGCCAACCACTTGTAATGTTCTTGACAGAAGAATCTAATGATAGACAAGTGATCTTGGGAAGCGTATGATCAGCCCTGTGCTCCTCTCTACCCTCTTCTTCTTCCTGCCGTTGTAGCGGCGTTTGCATCCGCTCCGAGCGATTGCTACTGCTGCTCCGATAGGTCTGCCAAAATTCAGGCTGGCCACCGCATCTCGTGGATGGTGATGATAGTAATGGTGATGTTGATGATGAGCATGACTGAGCGGCACTCGTCGAAGAAGAAGAGGAAAGCAAGTCGGTGACGGACTGAACTCTCCATAGATGAACTAGATTGTTAGGACTGACAATAAGGATGACAGATCCTTTAAACTGAACAATAGGTGGTGATTGAAGCGTATATCTCTTTGACCGATTAATATCCATGTTAATATGCTCGGTCGAATTGATATTCATCCCCAGGACATTTTGGTCTCGTAGGAACATATCTTGGACAGACACACTCGCTACTCTAGCTTGACCCATGATCCAATTGTAGTTGAGTTTATAGAGCGCCTTCCAGCACTGGTTTTGGTATTGATTTTGAGTTTGGGATTGGTATGACCTCCGTAGAAGTCCCTTTCGACTCTGACGTTGTATCCGGCCATTCTCGTCCTCATCATGTAAATCTTGCTCGTACACAGACCGTTTTCTCTTTTTCAAACGCTGTGTAGTATTAGTACAGTGAGTTCTGTCAATACTCTTGCTGTTGACGGGTGGCTTCATTAATGCTTCCAATTTTGCAGTGGCCATGGATGGGTTGAGTCCTCTTGGAAAGATGAACCTGTACTTCAAGAAGAGACGTCTCCAAAGCTAGATCATTGGCACAAGTATAAACGTTTGGTCACTTGTCAGTCAACATCGTTTGCAGCCAATATCCAAAAAAAAAAAAAAAAAAAAAAAAAAAAACTTTTAATACCATTTGATCATTGACTAGTCGGTGCCATAGCCTCGATACACAAGCACACTTGCCCAGATCAGAAGGCTCAAGGGCCTCGAGAATATGGAGTGCAATTTCCTCAGAAAAGAAGGCCATGGGATCTTTGTGCTTCGAAAGCACCGTTGTTGAAGCTGATGATGATGGTGTAGTGACAGCCAGAGGTATTGACTGTAGAGTTAGGGCTCGAGATGTATCTCCTGTAATCGACTCTGCTGGTGTTGGTGCTGTTGCTGCTACAGTATCCGCAGTAGCATCAGAAGAAACCCTCCATATCCTCTTATTGCTGCTCCTGTGAGCAGACATTGTAATATGAAAGCAAGTGAATAGGAAGGTAAACAAGTGAGAAGAGAAAAGAAAGAGTAATGCTCACGAAGAGGTCTCACAGCGAAAGAGCAACTGTGTATGGAGAGGGAAGAGAGTGTGTTGTGAAGGTGTGTGTGAGAGTGAGAGTGCTTGACTTGTCAAAGCAGTCCGACGTGATCGCATCTGTTGGGGAAGACAGGAAATATGGCAATCTTTATCTCCTTAGCTCACGTAGCAAAACATTTCAAAATGCGTTTGCTCTCAAGCAATGGTCATGAGTTAGATTAACGAAAATAAAAGAATAACGATGAATGCTGTTTTTCTTCTCATAGAGATTGGTATTGAAAACGAAAAAAAAAAAAAAAAAAAAAAAAAAAAAGACGCACTGGCAGGTTCAGGGATGGTACACGAGGAAGTTTCTTATATAGAGAAATGTCATCTTGATGTTACTTCCTTGGTAAAACTTGAATATGCAAGCCAAGCATCAAGCAGGAATGTCCAGCCAGGTTAACAGTCCACACAGAAGTCAGGCCAAGATTGGATGGAACTTTAGGAACGGTGTACTACGTTAAATACAAGTACTACCATAATCACTCCCTTGCTCAAGACAATTATCAAGTGGATAATAAACAAATCATGATCTTTAGGACATGTCCCCAAGATTTTCTGAATAGTTCATTCAGCTTTAAAACAAGCTTTTTTGTTCCCATAACTTCCAGTCGCAAGTAATTGATCAATGAACTTTGACAGAGGCTGAGGGGTTGCAATCCAATTACGAGTACCTTAAAATGAAATAAAAGAATGGATGGTGGATCCGGGTCAAGGCTACTTTGGTCAGGCTGTCTATGAACAACAATCTATTCGGTTTGTATTTTTTTTTTTTTTTTCCTAGACAGAACGCGTATCTATAGCATACATCGACCGAAGGTGCTATTAAACACACAGCATACATCATGCAGTAAACGAGGATCGCCATAAACTTTGTCGTACTTGCTTCATGTAATTCTTACACACGTGGCTTATCAAAGAAAATATAAACGAAAAATGTGGCTTCGGTGGAGGTAAAAGATGTTCCGAAAAGTCTTTCTTATCCTTATCACCTTTCCTCATCCACAAACCATCTGTAATTCTAGCTAGATCAGAATGATCAGGATGAATCTGCCGAGCTGAGAGATCAACAACAGGTGCATTAGACTTTTGTAGCTGTACTCCAAGTCCCTAGTATATGTGCTTTGTAGCCTACTATCTTTTATGCGATGTTACTTTCTATTTTTATTTCGGAAGATATAAAAGGCGATAGCACTTATAAAGGTATCTCAGTAGAGCTTTACATTAGTTAGCAATAAGGATCTTTTGTGTTTTTCTCTCATAATCAGCGATCCATCGTGGTCATTCTAATCAGGCAAATGTGTAGTACCCAAACATTCTTTTTTTGATCGAGTCAGGTAAATGATCCTCCAAAACTTTTTTCCCCATCAATTGATCCTATTCCATCGTGAATGGAATATATTTATGAAATAAGAGAAAAAAAAAAAAAAAAAAAAAAAAAAAAGTATTTCTGCTTATGATGTATCGATTTATCCGCGTCTAAACAACAGTGTTGATTTAAATATCGTGCCTTCCTTGATCTGAAGCAATAACAAGAACTATATTATTGACGAATACATCAAAATTAATCATTACCTGGGAAACTAATCTTCCATCTGATTTTTATTCTTTTCTCTTTCTTCGCGTTTAAAACAAAACAGAATTCTATAGAAAACTCCATGGATCACCAACATGTTTTTCAAATTCATCTTGTCTTGATAAAATAAAAAGAAAAAAAGATAAAATAAAGTATAAAAAGTAAGCAATTAGCCGTTAAATTTTGCAATATGAATTCTGCCATTGATGATACGCGATTCTGCAATTCTCACTCCAACGTTTGGAGAAGGATGATAAACAAATCACATTCACTATTCACTTCTGAGGCAATACAATTGTTATTTGATTATAATCAAGAAATGGATAATCAGAAATCTGACATTCTTTTTTTTTCTTTTTCTTTTTCTTTTTTTCTCAGGTTGCGAAAGTCAAGGTAATCAAGATTGTAGATTTCATGCATTCTATTCAAAGCCTTCATTTTATTTTAAAAAATAAATATATATAAAGTATATAAATAAAAACAAATCAAATACAAATATCAAAATTAAATAAATCATATACAGGTCATATCGAGAAGAGGCTCAATCTAGAACTCCTCTTTCGAGTGTGTCGTAAAAAAAAATGTCATAAAGAGGAAGGGTATTAATTGTTGGATGATAAAAGAGGTCATTTTTGTTACAATGACCCGTCAGTAGCTTCATCATAAGGAATTGGAGAACTTGCAAAGATATAAATGACGGATGTTCTAACGATAAATACAATGCGGAAAGATAAAAAGAGGAAATGTTGGCGATGTCGTGTTTGTATGTGGTATGTGATAGATGTAGTTGAATGAGAAAGAGTGAAGAATGTTTGCATGTGTGAAGAGAGTGTGTATGTGTCTAGGAAGTAGGTCCATGATATTAAAGGACTTCCCGGCATGCCTTCAGGCACTCCATGAGATTCTTGATCTGGTTGGTAAGAAGCTGGGCCTCCTTTGGATTCTCAGTCACCTCTAATGCCAGTCGATATACCTCCAACTTGTTCAGCAATGTTGCCATGGTTTTGTGTGTGGCATCGATCATGGCGTGGACTTCAGGAGCAACAGGGGCAGGGGCACGAGCCGCTGGTGTACCGTGCTCTGGAATACTACCATGTGAAAATGATGCCCCTCCATGACGGTGGCTGTTCCGTTCCTTGTCAGAAGTGTTGGAATACGTCGATACTGGACGAGATGTTGATGAAGATGAAGCATGTGCTGCTGGTACAGGTGGTACCGGTGGCAGTGATCTATATGAAAACTCGCTCACCTTGCCAATCAATTGCATATGCTTTCTCATTTCTTCATCTTCAGCCGTAACCTTCTTAAAAAATAAAAAAAAAATAAAAAAAGTTAATAACAAGAGTAAGAATATCATCGGATTTCAAAAGGTTATCAACACCGCCATGCTCGTGACAAAATAAATGATCATTCTATTGTTTGAATACGAAAAATGCATGGGGCCTCGGAGCTTCACTCCCTTTTTGCGAAGTAAAAAAAAAAAAAAAAAAAAAAAAAAGTTGATGTCATAAATTTGACTTACGTCCATGTCTTCACTGTGATGCCTGCTCAGCATTCGCTGACTGCTCAGTCCAAAGCTGGGTGACATTGGCGCAGGAGGAGGAAGGACAATTGGGCCAGATATCCTTCCATTGAGGTCTCGTTGCGGTCTGGTGAAGCCAATAGGAGGGCTTGCGATGGGAGAGGTGGTCCTATAGGCAGGCATGGGTGGCGAGGTGGCTCGAGGAACAGGAGGCATGGTAGTGGGAGGTGCAGGGAACTGAGAAGCGGTTTTGAGAGAGGAAACAATTGAAGAAGCGATCGTATTCATATTTGAAGGTCCACTTGTTGTCACAGGTGACGATGGTACAGTTGCATATTTGCTCTGTTGCTCGAAATGATCCTGCAATTGCTCGCGCTGATAACGAGTCTTGCAGAGCACACAGACTTCCTTCTTTTCAAGGCTCCTCATCAATGGCACCTGGACAAGATGAGGCAAAGCATAATGATAAAAATAAGAGCATGTGAGGATGCTGTCGTACAATGTCCTTTTGGAACTCTTCTCTTTGTACAAAGAAGAAAATGCGCTTTTTCGATTTGTTCGTCGGAAATGAACAAAGATCAAAAAAGCAAAGAGGGGGCAAAAAAAAAAAAAAAGTCGTTGCAACGCCGGACGCACAAGCGCTCAGATTTTATCATTTCTCTCTCGTACGATGCATAAAGCCAAGAATGTGTGTGCCTTTGCCCCATTCTTTTTGCCGCTTTGGAATGAATCGGCCCAACAGATAAACCAGGTTGACGGGAAATGAAATCAACAGTACAAAGAACCATGCAGTCAACTATAATAAATTATTAAAAAATAACTTACCCCATTGCATGCAGGATTAGGGCAGGGGTCCTGCAGCATCGCCCATCCCTGTAGTATCTTCTCACCAATGAGGCGTGATGTACTCTCATTCGACCCTTGTCTGCTATCGTGCAACACTGTATCCATTCCCATTACCCCTCTGGCTTCATCATCATCTTCGCCAATGATAGTAGAAGATCCAGGCTTGGATTGGTATCCCTCCATCTCCTCTTCTGCATCCTCAAAAAACTCGTCGTCATGGCTCTCTAAATCCTTTTCGTCATCCTCTTCTGGCAAATGAGCTCCCCCTGAGGGCTGCAATGTAGTGCTCTCGTGCATGCCAATGCCCGCGAGGCTGAGGTTTGTCACGATCGCTCCAGTCGAAGGTGGGGTTGGAAACCTGGGACGGGAGGGGGATGTATTAGACGTGGGAGATCCGACAGGCCTGGAAGGAGGAGACATTGGTGGCTGAATGTTGGCTTGCACCACAATTGAACACTGTGGAGATCGTCTTTTATCTCTGGATGGTGATCTGGGTGCGGGGGGCGAAGAAGGAGGCGAAATGAGCATATGATTTGGCATCAATGGTGGTGGTGGACCAAGAGGACGTGGGAAGGCGGAAGGCTTCAGAACACCATTTCCTGGCGGTGGTGATACAACATTTCTTGGAACGGGTGGTGGTGTCTTTGGCGGCATGGGCAAAGGCGTCGTAGATCGAGGAGGAGGAATGGTAGGAGGTCGTGGAAAGTCGTTGGTCAAAGGCAAAGGCTGCTGCTGTTGTTGTTGAACAACACCGACCATACGACCCGAAGGAGAGCGATAAGCTTTCCGAACACTCTCCATCACTGGATCGATGACGGAGATTCGATTGTTGGATGCCATTGGCCTGATCGGACCTGGTGCCTGAAGTACAGGCTGCTCGGCTGTAGGAGGTGGTGGTGGCAAGGCTCTGGCGGGTGCGCTTGACCTCACACTCTCTGTTATCATCTGCTCAGGTTGCTGCTGCTGCTCCTGTGGCTGCTGCAGCGAGTCTTGATGATGTTCTTGATCTTGATCTTGATCTTGATCTTGATCGTGTATGAGCTCTTCTTGGTGATGTTCTTGATCTTGATTTGGCTTTTGGTCGTGTACGAGCTCTTCTTGCTCCTTTGTTGGAAGCAGCTCCACCTGTTGTGCACTCTCCTTTTCATCCTCTTCAGCATCAACGGGTGGATTGATCTCGCAGTTGACACACACCTGGCTCGTAGCTTCCTGATTGCGCATCAGCGAAGTCTTGAATTGCAAAAAAACGCGATGCATCAATGCAGTATGATGAGAAGATTGAAAGGATTTCAGAAGAAAGGAGAGAAATGGAGATAAAGTGTGAGGGTTCGATCTGACGGTATTAAGTAGAACGCATGGCCATGACCCATAGCCTTATTCTATGTAGTGGTTTTCGTCTCCACATGAATGCGTGTACTATTTTAGGCACAGGGAAAATTTAGCTACCAGGCACCGCACCGTCCCATACGCTATGACAACATCATTTCATATGTCTGTATGAAGGCTTTCCATCCTAATATTAACGGTCGCTTTGCTCACATTTACATTTTGCCTATCTGTCCATGAGGTTGTTTCCCATGGCCCCTGCTTTTTTTGTTATGGGTCGGTCCGTGAAATGGATATTATAATGTGATAAGGGCCGCAGCGCAATATGAGCATGGGCATGGGGCAGTATTTAATTTTTTTTTTTTTTTTTTTTTTTTAATACGTAGTTTTAATTTTAATTCAATGGCCCTGAGTCCAAACGGAAGAAGAGCTTTGGGCGATGAAAGAATAACCACATCCACCCATGTTGATGGATTGATGGAAAACGACCACAACAAATACCAGAACCCATCCACCGAAAATACTTTTTTTTTTTTTTTTCCTATTTATTCTAGTCGAATGCCTCTTTGTCCCATTGATTCTACCAGTTTAGAAAAGGGCACAAGTCGGGTTGTTTCCGTTGCACCATCAAATCATCAGATATTAACCCGATATCTGTGCACTCTGAGGAAGGGAGATGTGTTGTGGCGCATCGTAAAAAAAAAGTGAACACAAAACACACAATCAAACACTTACATTGCAATCAGGACAACCATCATTGAGCATGATCTGTCAAAATCAATTAAATGAGTAACGAAAGTGAGTAAAAAATATTGAGTATCCGAGCCGGCGTTTCATGACAATAATTGTAAAAACAGCAATCTATCCTTACCCAGCCCTTGAGCGTGTACTCATTCATGGCTACCGAGACCTGGTCAAGGTTCGAGGCCTGACAGGCAGATTCCTGCTGTTGTTGCTTGTCACAAGTCGTAGAGACTGTTGTCTCAACAACTTGAGGTTGTTCGAGTTTCTCAGTAGTCATTGCTTAGTGAGATGAATGTTAAATGAATTATGAATTGCAATGGAATGAGCAAGAGTCAAGGGAACGAGCGCAGTTGCTAAAGTAATTAAATCGGTTGTCCTCGTTGTATATGTCGTAAATCGATCACTCTTTCCTGAAGAAGGATGAAAGGAAGCAATGAAAGAAAAGGAAGAAGTGGAAAAATGGAGAAATGGAGAAATGGAGGGGGGGGATCGTATGCAGGGGCACTGGCGGTGAAAGGGACGACAACAGTCGAGTCGACAAAGGAGAAGACGACGAGGGAAAAGACGATGAAGTGAAGAAGAAAGGAAGATAAGAAAGAGCTCGTGTGCAAGCAATTAACTTCTCGAACAAACAGAAAGACGGACGCTTTGACACTTCTTTTCATTTAATTCTTACTTTGTAATGAATTGAAAAATGAATATTTGTATATAAATATACTATTCTCTTCCCTGCCACATGCTACATGCACTTCCGTTCTTTCTTCTTATGCCTAATTGTGCAAACATCGATCAAGTATAAATATATACATAATAACATAATTACAACATCGCTATTATATATAAATCTACTTTAAACATCAACATCTCTTCATACTCGACTAATGCTCACTCTTCTCTTCAATGAGGGCTAATAATCTGACCTGAAAATGATAAAAAAAAGACCTCCGCCACTGACCCAAACCCAATCAAAAACATAGTTTATTGCGCATCAAAGAAAGGGCTCTTACTCTGCATTGCTCAAGCTCAATATGCATGATGGTAATGATGATGATGACCATGATAATGGCCAGGGACCAGGGCCATCCCATTCAGTGACTGTAAGACATATCCACATACTACTCTGGAGGGCTCATTCAATCCATTCATGATAAATCTCATACAAGATATATTTGAGATTTTTTGAGAATTACATTTCAATGAATTTATCAACAAGGAAAGCTTGCATTCCCCACTACCAATCAATAACAAAGTCAGCCTTGACTGAGGTTCGGCAACGGATACCCAACCCTGGCCGTGCGTGTATCCAGCCTGTCTAGGCCCAAAATATCAATGATCATTTCAGAAAGCTCCCCGAAGGCGCGCTCTCATCGTCTTTTCTGCGGCAACTACACGCAGTGAGAGCTGAAAAGAAGGTAAAAAAGGAAAGAGAGAGTGGCTGAGTACCTAGATAGAATAATAACGAAACGGTGGACGCGTGGAAGAAATTGGGCCGTTTTGTAGTCAATAAGAGCATAATATGGGAAGCAACAGAACCAGTCTAGGTCGTGGACCTAGCGATTCTCACCGCTTGAAAAGTGCAATAATGTCATTACCAAAATCTTCAAAGTCAACTGTTGAACCATAGAAAGACATGATTGTATCGCTAAAACACGAGATATGATTATGGCTACTAAACTGCAGGTTTTTTACATTGTGGACGGGGAAGCGACGGCTTTCCCAGTACGTGTCAACTGTTGGTCTCAATCCGATTTATTTTGGGGAATTGTCTATTTCCTGTTAAACACGAGCATATATATAAAATCCATTAATGACTACGACGCGTAGATATGCTTTGTCTTTAAAAGAGGTGTAGTTTTTTTTTTTTCCTCTCCTTTAAACTCGTCTTTCCTTTCACTTCTCTCTAATCCACAACATCCTTCAAGCATCATAACTAACGTCTTCCATTTATACTATCATTGTTCAGTTACTATGGCTCAAAACGATCTTATTGAGTAAATATGCACAGCTGGTATGTCCTCGGTTTGTTCTCATTCTCATATTTTTACTCATTCTTTGTCTTCAAACTATTCTTAGTCTCATTCAGCAGGATCGCAGCGCCCTCGCTGATACAACCAAAGGCTTCGCACAAGACACCAAGGAGAATCAAGCCAAACGAGCCAACGATGCTGCTAATCAAGGTAAATCATAACGCGTTTCTTTTTTTCTTTCTTGTTTTTGCCTGATTATTAGGACACTTGACACTATTATTGCTACATCTGTCATCGTCACCTTTTTTATTACTAGTCGCGATGTTCCTACAAGGTGAAGACATGGTCATCTACCCATCTATCAAGAAAAACATGCGTGAGGGAGCGGCTTTAGTTCAAGAAAGCCTCAAACGCCTGCGTCCTATCATCCAAGACTTGGCTCGCCTCGAGAGGATGAGTGTTGAAGATAGTGCTTTCCAGAGCACCTTTGACGACACATTCAATCGCTTCTTTGAGCACTGGGACCACGAAGATGTAAGTAGGAATAGAAAAAGTCAATTTTTTTTTTTTTTTTTTTTTTTTGATCAGTTGATCAGATTTTTTGTTTCCATCACTCATAAAAATTTCACAATCACCTTTACCCATATGTATGGCTATAGCAAACCTTGCGCCTTCTACGTGATGCTATGTGTGAAGCTGAGTACAACCTGCTTGGTCCTCGCTGGCTCGCTGTTCGCTTATTTGCCCCTTCTCGGTAAACAAAAGATTTTCTATACGCTCCATGTACTCTGATGAAACCAGGCCTCTTCACAGGAGAATAACATTTATTATTATTATTATTATTATTATTATTATTATTATTATTATTATTATTATTATTATTATTATTATTATTATTATTATTGTTGTTGTTGTTGTTGTTGTTGTTGTTGTTGTTGTTGTTGTTATTGTTGTTGTTTTCTATTCCTCTGTATAGTCCTATACAAGTCATTGATAGTACTGCAGATGCTGGACATGCAGGCTCTGTTATGGCTGTTCAGCATCACCAGCGCCAGCACCAACAGCAGCGACATCAATCGCTCACTCAATGCTTGAATGATCTCCTTGACACCGCTCAAGAGATGCTCTCAAAGATGAAGACTTCATCCGTTGGTGATGATCAAAAGGAACAGGGGTCAGTCAAGAGCCCGGAGCCCCAAGTTGGAAGCGTAGGCGATCCAAAGGCTGCCACTGAAGAGACATCCTCACTTGATTCTGATCATACACCACAGACTAAAGCATGCAAATGTGTTGAAACGTGCGATTGTGCCGCCAAGGACAATGTCTCAAAGCCTACCACAAGCACCGCTTGAGCTCAATACAAGCTGCGTTCCCTGAGCTGCCAATGAAAAGCGGTAATAGCTTTCATCAGATTACTTTTTGCTCTCAATGAAGAACTTAGCCTGATAGCGTTTTTCTACTGTAAAACGTGACTACAACAATTACTTGCAGATGATTTTATGCCAAAAGAGGAAAAAAAAAATAGCAATAAAAATGAAAAAATTGGTAAACAAGAGTATGGACCTTTTTTATGTATTTAATTATTTGAAAGCGTTTAGGTGTACATTTGTAAGAGTAGTGCGGATCAAATCAAAAAAAAGTCTTTTTCTTCCTTCTCCTTGCTGGTCGTAGTAAGCTAAGCTGTTAGACTAAAAAACTACTCGCTCTTGTAATATTGAGTGCTTGAACACGTCTCAACAATCAACTTTGCAAACTCACTCTTTTCTGAGCATCCTGTTGACTTGATGCCACGCTCGTCCAAGATCTGTCTCAGTTCCTTGGGTCGTAATTGCATCAGTTCATCATAGGTCTGTGTGATCAGAGGTAAGGCCACAGGCTCCTTACGGGTCGAAGATGCTTTGCTGGCTGCATCTTCCAATATCCTATCAAAATTAGGGTCCATTGGGTGTCCTGAAAATAGGATTTTGTTGTTGACAATGATAGCAGCAAAAGGGATTCCTGTTGCACCACTAGGCTTAAACACCTCTAGAAAAGAAAAAAAAAAAAAAAAAAAAAAAAAAAAAGGCGTGTTTTTAGCATTTGTAAACAGATAAACAACAAGAAAAAGCATTACACATATTGAGCGTAGCTGTATTTATACTTACTCGAATGCAAAGCATGATGCTTGTCTAAGACCACTGTGTAGTCCATTGGCTGGCCTTGAACAAAGTTTCGGATTTTCTATCATACACGGACGAGTGGAGATTGATATTTAATATATATGATAATATTAAATACTAAAATAAAATAAAATAATAACCTGTTCATCCTGTTCATTAGTGGAGCCTATAATAGTCACATCCACATCCTTGTACTTTCGTTGCAACTCTGAGAGATGTGGGATGCTATATATATATATATTTAATGCAAAATAAGTGGCATGAGTTGAAAGTTGTAAAGGATGATGTAATCGATTAAGTCTTTTTTTTGCCTTTATAAAGACAGGTAACTAAAGTACCTTTGAAGACAAGGCCCACACCAACTAGATTGATATAAATATTGATGTATAAAAGACGTGTAAGTAATGAAACAAAAACAAAGAGTCCTTTCTATTACATTTACATTTACATTTACATTGATAGGGAGGAAAAAAGTGACTTTACGTTGCCCAAAACTCGAGTACAACAACCTTGGTGTGGCCGTTTGGAACAGGTCCTCCAATGGTGATATTGGGATCACCTTTAATGACCACAAAATTATCAATAAA